ACGGTGACCTCGTCGACGATGGCCACCTCCTGGAACATGGCGAGCAGCTCCGCCTCCGTCATGTGCTTCGGCACCTGCCCCACGAACAGCTTCACGCTCTCCTCCTCCGCTCCACCACCCCCACCCCCACCACCACCACCAGCGGCGGCGGTAGCGGCTGCTCCTCCCCCCGCCTCCGCCGCCGCCGTGGCCTTGTCGCCCTCCTCCGCCATTGGGGCCCGCCCGCCCGCTAGGGTTTCCGCCGGGAAGCCGAGCTGTGTGCGTGGGCGTGGGCGTCGCCGCGTGCTCGGCTGCTGCGTCTGCGTCTGCCTCCGCTCTCCGCCTCGGCGCTTGCGGTTAAGCGGTTTTCTGGTTTAGTTTTTTGTGGGTTTAGGTGGTGGTGGAGATGATGGAGTTGGAGTTGGGGAGCAATTAATAATTGCTAAATGGATATGCATGCAGTTGTTTGTACTGCTCCTCTCTCTCTCTATCTCTAAACTTTCTCTCTCTACATGATGAGAGAGAAGAAGAAGAGGGAAGGACTTGAGAAGACAAGGGAGGGAGGTTGTTGTCCTTGTGATGTTCTTCTTCTGTTGTTATAACGGTTTTCTTGCCGCTTCCTTTTTTGTTTCCTTACATTTATTTTATTTATTTTATTTTTTAAAAACATAAATTATTGTGTCTGTTAGGTATTGTCTGAATTTTTTTAAGTTTTTTATCATGACTTATATATATGTTGTTATACTATGATTAATCAGAGAATTATGGTTTTGCGTTTCTTTTTTTTTTTTGGTCTTGTCTCTATCATGAGGTCACAATAATCAATTATATGGATATGACTAGTGCTGAATTTTATTTACGATTTTGCTATATCTCACTCGAAAGATTTCTTCTTATCTCTCACTCGATTTTCTCACTCAAATTTACAGTGTGTTTTCTTGTAAATTACAGTGTAATTTATGAAACTTACACCGTAACTTTTGTAAGTTACGGTGTAATTTTTGAATCTTCGCATGTAAGTTTTGAAATTTATATTGGATTTGGTCTTTTTCTTGAAGATATGGTAATTTAGTGTCCATTATGGTGTTTCTTAGTTGCTTTTTGCATTTTAATGTGTCCATTGGATTTTAATCTAAAGATTAAAAATCTGTGTGATATGATCATAAAAATCTTTCGAAAGATGCATAGGTACTCCCTTTTATTTACCATGTGTGTTAGTATGCTATTAAGACTTCAGTATGCAAAGTATGAGGTGGCTTAAAATTTTAGTTTTTCATGGGTGATAGAAGATAATGATGGTTTGTCGTGGAATGAAGGTTAGGTTAGACAGCTAATCAACCACGCATCGTGGGCATGAGTTTGACGAGCTCAAGATAATGGAGGTTATGTCAACTCATGGACCACTTCAAATTTCAAAATTTATACACCCATTTGTGTGCTGCAACTTGTATTAAGGACTCTGAATGCAGCTGAAATTTGGGACTACAACTATGTATTCATGTCAGCAATAGAGAAAATATATACTACTCCAACTATGTAATCATGTGATAGCGATTTGCAATTTCAAAAAACGGTGACTGAGTAGTGGATCATGCAAGATAAGAAAATAAAAACAAATACAATTGTGGGTTCTTTTAAAATTAAATTTGTATATTGAACACTACTAACACAAGTTTCGGTTTTGTTGCTAGATTGGGTTCCACCATGCATGCATGCATACATAGATTGGTTTCAAATGAAAGTAAATTAAATGGCAGCCATGGATCTGGGGAATGTTGGACAGGGACATAAAAGGCTACACAAGCCAATCGGAACAGCGGAACTCTCACTGTCAATCCTTCTAAAACAGAGCTGGCATGTTTGATTGGAGCTTGCTCTTCTCAACAAGTCTGTCTCAAAATGGAATAATTGGTTTTGCTCAGGTAAATCTGTCTAAATCGGTATCTCCTAATTGCGAATCAATGCATAAACATATACAAGGATGCTATATAATAGTATACGTAGTAGTAGGAACAATCTACTCCTACTTATCACAGTTGTCGACTTGTCATTGCCAGGTTCAAATTGAATCATACTCCATCTGTTTTATATTATAAATCGTTTTTATTTTTTCCTAGTCTTTTAAGTTTGATCAAATTTATAAAAAAATATAATAATATTTAAACAAACAAACATATTAACCATTATCAAAATACATTCAAGGTTACATTTAAAGAAACTGGTTTGATGTTGTAGATGTCGCTAATTTGTTTGACTAATAACAAAGTCAAAACGATATGTAATATGAAATGGAGTATTACATTGATATAACTATTCAATGATTCTGTGGTTACCTATTAATCTTCCCACATGAGCAAAAAAAAAAAAGTTACTAATGCAATGATACATGATCACTTGACTGTGAAAAAAAAACTCTTATAGAAAAAGATAAAGGACAGAGATTAGGAGGCTATGCTACTTAGCTCTCGATCCGCTTTTAATGATGGGGGTGCCCCATGAAACATGATCCAGATGTGTCTGAATGATTCGGGGCACTGCTGAAACCCAAAGCTCTCCTTGGATTATGCCTCCTGATCTTTAACAAAGCTGATCACTGTTTAGTAGTATTGTCGGATTTAGCAGGCACTTAAAAAATGAACCAGAATTGTAATCTTATCCATTTATTGTATATACTTCGTTGCAATTAACGACTTACCCAGATCCCTAGCTAATGAGCATTATATGCGGCTCCTTCAGGTTAACTTCAGCAGAATGCAATATTACTATGATTAATTGCCCCAGGTCCGAACGAGTCAAATCAAATCATCCTCTGTTGTGTGCTTTGGTAGCAATAATGAGCCAAATTGCAACTTTCTGCTTTGCGAGGGAAGAAGCCTGCAGATACAGTGACACACATTCTGCTATGCCCAGACTCCAGAATCCAGCCATCCAGGCCATTACCTTTTCAGAAAGAAAGCAGATGTCTTTACTCTTTTAATAACTGTACTATTACTCCTAACTGCAGCGCCATATAGGGCAGGCTCACTCATCTGATCGGTAATCACACAGCTGGTAGATATTGTACTCTAGTCACACAAAAAAACGAATCTAAAATTAGATATAACACACTCTATTAATAAATCTGGAGAGAGCTGTATCCAAATTCATAGTACTAAAATGTATCACATCCAATACTAGATTGGGTTTTTTTATGAGATGAAGGAAGTACTGGAAAGTGTCAATCTTAGATGAGAACCTCGACCATCCTAGCTAAGCATGTTTTCTCGGTTCACCTTTCTGATTGAGCGTCGAAACTCAACCCCCTGGTTTTCACCAAGTTTCAATCAGATTTTGATAAATTTTTAGTTAAATTTAATGTTCAACTTTTGAATACTCGAAAACCACTTGAAATTGCACTCGGAATCTACTTTGTCTCATGTTGAAACCTCAAAATTCCACAGTTATTTATCTGTTTTCGTCGAAAACATGAACCCTCCTTCCTCAAGAGAAGCTGAACAAATATTGGAGTGTGTACTGAAGAGCAGGAACCCAAAGTTACCCAGAGAAAGGACGGTCAGGTGTACAAACCGACAAGCATTTATACCACATTTATTACAGATGGAGGGAGAGATGGAGGCTTCAGCCGTTTGGATTTTGGTTAAAATTAAAGGTAATGTGACTGAAAAGTTATGTGTGATGTGATAAAAAAGACTGAATTTTGGATCCAAACTTTAGATCTAAACACAGCCAGAGATCCCAGCAGCAAATTGCAATTGTTAAAAGAGGGCAAAGTGTGTGTGCGTGTGTGTGCATTTCTAGGCTGGATTCCAGTGCAGCCACATGCGTTGTGTCTGCTGCCGCCGCGACCCATTTAGGACAGGAACAGCCAAGCCACTAGCCCGTGCTGACCTGCTAGAATTAACCAGGTGAATCAACTTAATACTGCTCTAGGGCTGTGATCTTTCCTTCGAGTTCCTAACCTCACCTCCCTCTTTCTCCACGCACACGCTTCCCAAACTATCAAACGGTGTATTTTTTACAAAAAGTTCCTATATAAAAATTGTTTTAAAAAATCATATTAATCTATTTCTAATTTTTTTACTAATACTTAATTAATCATATACTAATCAGTCACTCCGTTTCCGTGAGAAGGGGAGAGGTCCCAACCCTCCTAAATAACACAGCCGGCTCACCAGACACCACCAATCTGTCTCTGTTTGATCCTCGTTGTCAAGCCCACAGCTAAGCTAACTCACTCCTTTAATTGCTTAATTAACTCCACCTGACACTGACAGGACATTTAGGCAGCTGCTGACCGTACTCATAAATTATACTTCCTTTATCCACAAACACAAATATATTTCACGTTTAAATTTATACTCCTTTACAAAAGTGGTGGACCCCACCTACCATGATAAATTTTGTAAATAACCCTTTGAACCTATTAATACTAGAAAACAATAAAATCTAAATGGTTAGTCACATGTAAAATCATATTTAGATGGATATGATTGGCAATTTGCCGGTTCGTTAAAAAAAATATTTAGATGGATATGTCTATAGTAAAAAGATGGATAACACATTCTTAAAAAATGTATTTTTATTTATTTTAAATAATATTATAATGTATTTTTCCTGTAACAAAGCACGGCGGAATTCAGCTTGCAAGCATTTATGGATGACTACCAATCATCTGTTATGATTCCTTGTATTTATCAGTGTTGCACTGAGTATGATGTTTTCTACTAATCAGATACTACTACCTCCATATTTTAATGTATGACGTCGTTGACTTTTTATCCAACGTTTGACCATTCGTCTTATTCAAAAAAATTATACAATTATCATTTATTTTATTGTGACTCGATTCATCAACAAATGTTCTTTAAGTATGATATAAATACTTTCATATTTGCACCAAAATTTTGAATAAAACGAGTTATCAAACGTTGATCGAAAAGTCAACGGCGTCATACATTAAAATACGGAGGGAGTACTATAGTAATTTCACTCCATATTAATCTCTGAAATGCTTATAGGGGTATTTACGAATACAAAATTGCACTCATAGAAGAAACGCAATCAATGCACACACCAAACAACTCATCATGTATCGAGCTTATGATGATCAGAATTCATAGGTATTTACACTGAAAGAGCACACAGTACATGCTCAAGGCAGTGTGAGGGGGAAAAAAGGAGAAAAAAAAAGGCGATCACTTCTTGACGAACTGGAGGCCGTTGGCCTGGGAGTACCTCTCCATGAATCGCATGAACCTGTCCCACTCCCGCGGCGTGCGCATGACGTACTTGGCCTCGATGAGCGCCGGCTTGCCGTTGACGAACTTGGCGCTGACGTCCACCGACTGGAGCACGCCCTCGTCGTCGATCATGTAGAAGCCGGTGATGTCGCCGAGCTCTGCCGACGAGTCGAACACCGACGGCTGGTCGAAGGTGAAGATGGCCACGCCGTTGGTGCCGTCCCGGGACTTGGTCAGCCGCACGTCCGGGATCGTCTGCTCGTCGGTGCCCTGGATGAACTGGATCGCCGGCCTCGCCGCCATCATCACCACCTGCATCGACGGCCGACTCCGGTGGAGGGACGCCGGCTTCGTGCGCCGGCACTGCAGGGAGACGCCGCCGAACGATGAATGCAGGCTTTGGCTAGGGCCGCCTGACGAACCTGAAAAATGCCAAAATGCATAGCAGTAAATAGACTGATGTTTAGTAGTATTACCTTGATAGTTTCACAGGTAAATTAACATGGTGCATGGGTTATTTTGCTGTTTAACAATCAAATGCTACACCAGATATGTTTGATCATGGCTTGAGGCTTGAGCTGTTGAGCTCCTTTGGATCTTCTTGCTTAATATGGGTGATTTCAATGGGACAATCTCTGAGTAAAAAAAAATGTTTCTGACTGCATTTCTCAACATCCAGGTCAGATAATGCCATTTTTTTCTGAAACGTTTCTATTAAGATACACGATGTTTATATGAGCAAAGGTGTGTTGATTATGCTACAAGTAAAATATATTGTGTATGGACCAATTTATCTTCATTTCAGTCCTCAAAAATGTAAGAAAATTCCATGTCTCAATCCTGATTTCTGTGTATCAGGTTAATTCTTTTCCAGATATCTCTGAGCCAGTAATCACTAAAAATTTATACTACGCATATGTTTTTTTCTTTCCACATAGCTTTCATTCAGAGAAGAAAAGTTCGTCAGATAAGTCAACTACTATGAATGTGAGATATAAGCCAAGTAATCTGTGTAGCTCTACGACTACAGAGTTGAGAGTACAGTCCATTTTCTGAGCATCCAAGGCCTGAAACCTTGAACCACAGTTTAGTGATCAAATAATATGTGGCTAACTAGCTATGTGCTCAGTAGACAGAGGTATATTACATTAAGAAAAACAACTTAGCTTTATATCATGTTAATCCAAGGAAAATTACATTCTTAGCAAAGTATAACAAGCATGATGCAACAAAACAAACATAACTTCAAACAATCAATTCTGACCTATCAAAGCAAGAACAAAGCCCAGGAATATAATAACTACTTCGAAGAAATTAAAATGCAGCTTCACAGAGAGCCATACCTGCGGGGCATCGTCGGGGCTGTGCTCGTGCCGAGATCGGCGAGGCGACGGCGAGAGCTTTCATCACAGCGGCCATCCTGCTGCCGTTTGGTGGCTCTTGGAGGAGGTGGTGGTGGATGAGCGCCAAGGAGGAAGGAAGGAGAGGAGGGGTGAAATGCAGAGGGAGGTCGGGGTTTGAGTGGTGCAGAGGGGGAGGGGAGTGCAGAGAGCGATTGGGTGGTGGCGTGTCTCAAACAGAGCCATCCATCCATCCATGCTTCTGCTCATCTGGTGCCTATTCCCCTCTTATAACTACTTTTTTATACCATCCCTATGGAATTTAGTATTTGCATGTATACCCTTCTCCACATTTTTCTTAATACATTTTTAGATTTGTGACTTGCAAGGAATAGAAGAAATTACACATGGTTAGCAGCAGTTAATATATATGCATGGCTAAAAAATGATCATGAAAAAAAAAACTGTAGCGGAATCATATATTCAATACTTGTACCATGTTCTATCGAGCATGAAACAAGAAGTATCTGGGGTCTTGAGAAAAAAAAACATTTCACACATTAATGGGGATTTCGACCTGTGCCTATAATACATATATATAGCTTCTGTGGTGATTGAACTTACAGTTTAACCGATGATGCTGCGGCCACGGGGCTTCATCAATCCTTTATCTTGCAAAATGTCCCTGACTTGCACTGCGCCACTCCACATGTCTTGATACGCATACAGGTTAGACATGGTCACATAATATCCACTATTTTCAGGCTCCAGACAGAGCAAATGCTTGGCAACGGATTCACACATCTTCAGTTCAGATTTCTTGCTGCAAGCACTTAACAGCGCACCCCAGACTCCATGTGCTTGTTTCGATGGTAAACTCTCCACAAACTTATGTGCTTCCTGCAGCCGACCAGCACGCCCAAGCATGTCTACAACACAGACATGGTGTTCTGGGGTTGGGATAATCCCAAAATGTTCTATCATAAGATGGTAGTACTTCAATCCTTCATCAGTAAGTCCAGAGTGACTGCAAGCTGACAACAGAGCAATAAAAGTACTTCTTGTAGCTTTCACTCCAGAATTATTCATCTTCCAGAAAATTTCAATCGATTTCAACCCAAGCCCATGGAATCCAAAAGCTGATATCATGGAATTCCAGCAAGCAATCGATTTTTCAGCAGAAGATTCAAATACTCTGATCGAAATGTCCAGTCTTCCGCACTTACTATACATATCAACAAGTGATGCTGAAATAAAAACGTTAGTTTGCAGACCAAACCTGACCACATGCCCATGAATGTTCTTTCCTTGCCTAAGATCCCCAAGTTGAGTGCAAGCACAGATAATGCCGACAATAGATATTTCATTGGGTTCAAAATCCTCCATCTTCTTGTAGAACTGAAATGCCCTCAAGCCTTCGTTATTCTGTGCAAAACCAGAGATCATGCAATTCCAGGAGCACAGATTTCTACCAACGAGACTAGAGAAAATTAACTCAGCACTTTCAGTATCTCCAAATCGGAAGTACATGGTAAGCAGGGCATTCTTTACCCTTAAATTGAATTCAATCAAGCGCTTTAGCGCCATGCAGTGGATGGACTTCCCAAGGGACTGCAGTTTCAGGTTTCCACATACTGATAAAACACTGACTAATGTAATGCTATCAGGATTTAGTGTTAACGTTGAATGCATAAACTGAAAGGCTTCTAACGCATCTCCGTAGAGTCCATTTTGTACACAGCCCACAATTGCTGTATTCCATGAAATAATATCTGATATGGGAGTTATGCTTTCCAGCAGTGAAAAGGCGGCCAGAGAGTCACCACAGCATATATACATGTGTATCAGAGAGTTAGCAGCTGAAACTCCAGTCAGAAACCCATACTTCAGGATGAAAGAGTGAACAGACTTGCCAAAGTTAAGGTCTTGTGGACAAAAACATGAAGGTATAACAGCTACCACAGTGCTCAAGGTGCAGCTTAGGCCTTCAGATAGTAGTCCTTTGAACATAGCTTTAGCCTCTTCTCCAAGTGAATCGTTTCTTGAGTAACCAGAAATCATTGTGTTCCATGAGATCAGGTCTCTCATTGGCATTGTCCTGAACAAAATGCGTGCTGTAGATGGGTCATTGCATTTCATATACAAATCAAGTAAGCTATTTCCTACAGAACACTCCTCGTAAATATGTCCTTTTTTTATTATGTATCCATGGACTTCTTTCCCTTCAGGAAGTAGGCCATGATCACCACAAGCTGAAATTATAGTCACTAAAGTGGCAACATCTGGCTGGTTCTTTGATCTCATTTCTTGGAACATACACATGGCTTCATTAACTCTATCATTCTCTACCAGCCCCTTGATCATAGCATTCCATGTTACCAAATTTTTGTTGGAAGTGCTTAGAAATACCTCCTCTGCAGCCTCTGGAAACCCAAGCTCATAATAGAATGTTATCAGGGAATTTGCCACCGAACTGGTAGTGTCTTCGTAACCGAGTTTGATCACAGAGCTATGGACAGACTCCCCAAAGGAGAACAGGTCCTTGAGATGAGAGCAAGCTGAAAGGACACAAGACAGGCTCACCTCATCTGCCTGAAAACTGGAACGGACCATTTCCTTGAAGTAATATGCTGAAATCTCAGCAAGTCCATTAAATAAGCTTCCACTTACCATAGAATTCCATGATGTAGTGTCCCTATATGGCATCCTCTGAAACACAACCTCCGAAGAGTAAAAATCCCCACACTTTGCATACATGTCCATGAGAGTATTCCAAAGGCTCAGATCAGTGTCTAGGCATCTCTTCAGTGCCATTCCATGAAAGGCAATCCCATGCTCCAAGCTCCTTGCACGGGACGCCCCCGACAGCATAATGACCATTGACGTCGAATCAATCACCCCAAGCACGTCCACCATCCACCGGAAAAGGACCACAGCATCGCCATAACGGCAGTTCAACGTCAAAGCACTGATCGCGGCATTCCACAGGATCAAGTCCGGTGCAGCGGCCTCGTCGAACACCTGCAGAGCGGAGCACACGTCGCGCACCCGGGAGTAGGCCGTGATGACGGACGTGCGCACGGGCGGATCCAGCACGGCCCCCGACTTGAGAGCCGCGCAGTGGAGGGCCGCGACGCCGTCCGCTTCCTCGCGTGACGCGCCCCTGCATGCGCCGAGCGCGCGCACGATGGAGCTGGCTCTGCGCGGCGTTTCGTCGAGCAGGTGGTGGGCATCCGCCGGTGCATGGTGAAAGCGAGCTGTGAGTTGGTGGAGGAGGAAGGGGTCGAGAGGGGAGGCGATCTGGACGAGCGCGGCTGTGGAGCGAACCGCGGTGGCGGGGTTCACGGCGGCGAGCAGTCGGGGAGTCCGGCGTAGCATCCACCGCCAGTCCGCCGCCGGCGCTAGGCGTTAGCTGCGGCAATGCGAATATGCGACCGCATCGTTGGTTTCAGGCTTCAGAAGGTTCGATTGATTGCGCGGTTCAGAAACTTCAGAACTCAGAAGCATAGGCCTCGACGGCCCAAAAGTTCGAGCCCATTCAACAAGGGTTTGGGCCCATTTGGGCTACGGCAATTTCAGCCCAGCTGGGAGCTGTTTCAAAGCCCAGCAGAAGGATTAATTTCGGTCAGTTTCAGGTTAAGCCCATTTTGATTCAAAGGAAATTCAGGGTGTGTTTAGTTCTTCGGGGGTAAAGTTTTTAAGTATATGGACACACATTTGAAGTATTAAACGTAGACTAGTAACAAAACAAATTATAGATTCCGCCTATAAACTGCGAGACGAATTTATTAAGCCTAATTAATCAGTCATTAGCAAATGTTTATTGTAGCATCACATTGTCAAATCATGACGTAATTATGCTCAAAAGATTCGTCTCGCAATTTACATGCAAACTGTGCAATTGGTTTTTTTTCACATTTAATGCCCCGTGTATGTGTCTAAACATTTGATGTGATGTTTTTGGCCAAAATTTTTTGGGATCTAAACAAGGTCTCATATGAATTTTAGAGAATTTCATTCCTATAGGAATTTTTTCTATATAGCCCTTTGAATCAAATAAATAAATTCTATAGAAACCTATGAAATACCTAATGCCAAGTTTTGGAGAAAAACTAACATAAGGTTCTACCTCATATAAACTTTCCATTGAGTTTTTATCTCTTCTCTAATTTCTGTGTTTTTCCTACGGTTCAATCAAACAGTTATTCCTGTGTTTTGCAATACTCTGTTTTACACTTACATTCATATCAAAGTCATGCATTTTCCTATTCCTACGTTTTTTTCAATCATGCAATTAAAAGGGCCCTAAACTTGTTCAGTTTTCAGTTGAAAGCCCTGCCCTAGAAATTCTTAAATAGAAGTGGTCCCTTTTTCAACTCTTAAATTTGTAAAATTAGTTGAAAGCAGAGCCAATTATGTAACCATGTCAACCCAAACAGACTAATTAACCCTAGGCCCGAGTAATAAAGTTCTAAGCCCAACTACACATATACAGCGATCCCAGTCTCATCAATACTGCTCAATCAAGTGCTTAGTATCTTGCCTAATGCTAGACTAGGCCATGCACCACAGTAACTAAGGGGGTGTTTGGGAGAGAGGGGCTAAAACATACTACCTGCGTCCCATATTACTTGTCTTTTTGAGTTTTTATTTATCAATGTTTGATCATTCGTCCTATTCAAAAAATTTTGGAATTATTATTTATTTTGTTTGTCAATTGCTTTATTATCAAAAGTATTTTACATATGACTTATCTTTTTTTATATTTGCACTAATTTTTCAAATAAAATAAATGGTCAAACGTTACAAATAAAAAGTCAAAAACACCATCTATTATGGGACGGAGGGAGTAAGTCTCTCCTCTAGAGACTTATGGTTTTAAGAGTTTAGCCCCTCTCTCCCAAACACCCCCTAAGCACACTAACTTCATCCCTCAATGATGTTGTTAATCTACTCCCTTCTCTCTTCCCCTAAAGTTTGGCAGGACAGCATCCAATCCTGACGTCCAAGACGACACGGCGCAAACAATGGAGATTCTTCCAACCATCCCTCCCATCTCTGGATGAGGAGCAGCTAGGACATTCACGTGACAAGCCTCGCTTAATAATACTAACACTCCATCCATTGGCCTCTTCTCACTACACGAATCTTCTCTCATAGACACACACTCGCGCTCACATGCTTCTTTCACATCACCATTTTCACCATTCCAGCATCTTCAGACACCGGTCGTGCTCTTTTGTTGTTCTTGGGAACCTCTGCTCAGCTTCCCTCATACCCAAAAGTCTTGTCAAATGTTCAGTCTTGTTTTTACCTCGACATCGAGCAGTAAACTTCACTGTGCATCTGCGTTGGATGCTGAGCCGGATAGTACGTGACACTGTAACTCCATTAACAATTACCGGAGGAGTGATTTAGTTTAGATGCTTATTGGCAGATTAATCATAAGGTAAACAGTAACAGAGGCGAATGGCAAATGGACACTACACGTGAAGAGACTGGGCAGGTCAGGGCTAAGAAGACATGGTCGACTGATCCCATCTTGATCATGCTCAAACTCACGGATGTCCTTTTCCTATCATTGGATGCCCTTTTTGTGTTTGCAGCTATGCACCAGCTTCCTTTCTCACTTCACATGTTCGTGCATTGCCGTTTTATACTACTAAATATCAGCTCTGTTGATTTAAATTCAGAACATTTTGTGAGAGTTGTTGTCTGAATGTTTCTGATTCAGAGACTCAAATGGACCTCTGGAAATGTGGTAATAATCACGCATTTGAACTTATTACTTTGGGTGACAACTTTTTTGACCTGCCAGGTTGAGAGTGGAACAGTGATATGGGAATAGGTAGAACAGTAGGACATTTTTGTTCTTTGTCATTTGTCCATGATATGTCAGGACAACAATGCACAGCTGGTCTTTCTACTGATCCTTGATTTGGTACCACCAGCTTTGCATAGCATAGCATATCTCATCCTTATCTTCAAACTTTTCTTTGATTAGTTTAACCTTAGCTCATGCAGTTATCTTGTAAACTTCTCCGAGAGAGCAAAGGAAGCTAGTAATTATTAAGAACAAATACTATTTGTTAAAATACTGTAAATTGCAAAAGAAAAACCATTTCCTTGACAAGTATGCTGGTCCAACGGCATCCTCTGATAGTCTGATTAGGAGCTTCCAATTTTTTATTAGACGGTTTCCAGAAACAACAGTCGATGTTCTTTGGTAGTAGATGCATTGTTCAGAGACCACGTGAGCTTCTCTTACCATGAATTAAACTACAAGATCACATGCCTGCAGTTTGATCATGTCTTAAAAAGTTACTAATTTCTTGGCAGAGTGGCAACGCCAGAAGCTTTACGGTAATCATGAGGTGATCATCAACCTAAAGAAACAGGAAAGAGAGAATATAGAATTTCGATGAATGGCGTTCCAGTTGCATACTGCACTTTCTGGTGAATTATTATGTTCTCTTTTAGATATTTTTTCCTTGTTCTTTATTAATTCATAAAGCCACACTTTTTTCAGGTTATGCGCAGTTCTGGAAAGAGAAGGAATAAATAATTCCCTAGCCTGTACACCGAATGGTTTAATCAGCATCAAATACTCCTAACATGAACACCAAAACAATCATAAATACCATTATTACTGCTTGAAGCAGAGTCACCGCCACTGTGACTGGCTTGTGGGCCCATCAAACCAAGAACAATTGGCTCGTGTATCAACTATCAACTGTTGATGCAGAATTGCAGAACATGAACATGAAACAAGAACAGGGAATTGGAACTGAAGTTTCAGTGAGTGAGAAGTGATAGGAACAGACTATTATCCTCTCTGATTTTATTACAGCAATGAACCAAGTAATCCCCTCATAACAACAATTACAAAACAGAAAGAAAAAAAAAACTATAGCATGTAGCCGCCCCCATCCAGAAACAATTACGTAAACTTGACAGAAAAATTTACAGGAGATCGAAAGCTAAAAAAATTTAGTGAAATGAAGCAACAATTTCTTCACAATTTTTGCTGCCAAGAATACAAAGCCAACCGACCAACCAACGGCCAACTTTTTTTCCTGCACGACTGAACCCGAAGGCTGCAACTGCAGCTGCAGCTGCTGTCGCTTGCACCACTCGCCCACTACACCAACCACATGGCCACTAGCCCCACGGCCACGGGGAGCGCCCACGCCGCCGCCGCCGCCGTCGTCGTCGACGGCGGCGGCGCGCGGGACTGGGCGGCGACGGCGGGCGCGGAGCCGAACGGGGCGAGCGCGGAGTCCGGCAAGAGCGCGTCGGGGTTGGGCGGGCTCGGGCTGGAGGGGATGGTGGGCATGACGTCGGACGGCGCCTCGGCGGAGCCGTCGGAGTCGGGCCCCGGGGACGGGAGCAGCGGCATTATGTCCGGCGAGAGCGCCGGCGCCGGCGGGAGGACCGCCGCGGGCGCGGGCGCCGCGTGCCTCCCGCCGCCGTGGCCCGGCCCGGTGGGGAGCCGCGGGTACTCCGGCGCCGCGGAGATGGCCGACGTCCGCAGCGCGGCCGCGGGCGCCGCGAGGACGACGAGCACGAGTACGAGGAGGAAGAAGGCTCGCCCGCCGCGCGCGCGGGCGCTCGCCATTGGTGGCCGCGTGCGCTGTGGGTGGTGAGGCGAGCGTGCGTGAGCGTGGGTGCGGGCGGCGAGAGCGAGGCGGATTGCTCGACGATTTGTATGGCGCGCGGCGTACTGTAGTAGCTGTAGATGCGTGTGTTTGCGTGAGATGTGAGAGCTAGTTCAGCGAGTGGAGTTTGGAGTGGTGGTGGTGGTCTCGGGTTTTGGAGTTTGGTCGGGGTGGGCCCGAGGCATGGGCCCAAGGCACATGTTGTATGGCGGCACGCTCGTACTGGGCCAGGAGTAGTAACTGCCGTATTTCTCGGCTAGGCTTTAGTGTATGTAAGACTTTTTAATGGGCTCAAAGTTTGGGCCAATGCTACGGAAAAGGAATGACCGTAAGAGCAAGTTTAATAGTATAGCCAACTACTAGATCCAATTCATCTATAGCCAATCTAATAGCTCATTCATACAATAGTTACATACTACACTATTAATATCTGGTCCCACCTGTCATACACACACTGCGTCTTAGAGTCCGTGCTATAGCTGGCTACAAATCTGTAGTCCGCTGCCATTCTCTCTCTTTATTTATCTTCTTAAAATATATTTACAGCTGGTTTATAGCCTGCTACTGTACTTGCTCTAATTTGGCCCAAGATAGGTCCAAAATGGCTCGATCGCTTATTCGGCAGCCCAGGAAGCAGCGAGCGTGCAAAGTGGTGATGCAACTGTGTTTCTTTGTTGTGAGAGTTAACTGTAGGCTGAATTAAACTATTCGCTGTGGAGTTAAAAAGTAGCCTTCCTCTTATTGTCTGCGTTTGTATTGTGCTTTTTTGAAAAAAAAAATCTGCATTAGAAGGTAACAGATATCATATATCATATATAATATAAGTAGATAAAGATTGAAGATGTTTCCGTGGTCCGTTATCTGTTAGAGTCGATTTAATGTATATATACCTACTAGAATATTTTTTTTAGTCGCCGCTTTCCTCTCACATTTTTTTTCAAACAGTTTTTTAATGGTCCGTCCAGTTTTTTTTTGCCATTTTCTTCCTCCCCTTTTTTTTCTCGCATGCAGTAAGGGCTTCTAGTTTTCGGTTTTTCTTTCCTCACCGTGTTTTTCCTTCGCTAGGCCGAACCCTACCTCTATCACCACGTCGAATTTGTCTATCCATGTGTTTCCTCCTCCAATGGATTACAAAAATCGATTCCCCACTCATCGCTCATCATTTTTCCTATGATTTTCTCCTTCAATTCGGCTTGGCCTGATTTAATCACCATTTAACTGTCGCCGATGATGGCCGGCCGGCAAGCTTCCTTACCGTTTTTATCATGAGTTTTGTTCGCTCCAATTTTAGAAAAACGGAAAGAGAAGATCGAGTGGATCAAAAGCCCTAAACCAATTTTAGGAGATCGAGAAAGACTCGGCCAAATTTGATGGGGAGAATCAGTTTAAGCATCGTAAGGGCATGGGCACGGCACCATCTTCTGGAGGGCTCCACATGTGGGTTGGGCCAAAAGAAAGGATTAAAAACATCTTATCCGTTTCAACGGATGGCCATTTTTTCAGTCATAAGTGAAAAAACAATCGCAAAACCTTATTCAGCTGAGTGTTTTATTTTGTAACTTGATGCTGCTCTGGTGTCTGGTCTTGTGATCGAAAGATATACAGAGGCAGCAACCTTCTGTAATTTTACGTGTCAACACCTTCTTCGTTTCTACATCTTTATGATAAAACAGCATTTTAGTGCTGCAGTGAAACTCTATGAAGGCTGCCGAGAGTTTGTTCAACATTTGTACAAAACTGAAACAAACACCTCCATATTTCAAAATTTAAAAGAAAAACAAACAAACACCGCCATTTCAGGACGTCAGACGTTCAGAACCAGGCTCAAAAGGGCGACACACAGCCCGTCAAGCGAAAGGACAGCTCCCCGCTGAACCACAGCAACATCTTGTCGAGGTCGAACACCAGAAGGTTCGTGTCCAGCTGCTTCAGCCCGAGCACCATCGCCGGCTCGCCGTCCACCGGCATGCCGCCGCCGGCCTCCATCTCGAGGATCCCCACGCACATCCCGCGCGGCGTCTGCACCATGTAGTTCTCGGTGAACAACCTCCAGATGCCCGTGGCGCCGGCGAGCTCCAGGTCGATCGTCGGAACGTCCCACGTCGGCGGCCGCTTCCGGAACGGGAACGCGCCGTCGTAGCACAGCTTGAAGGGCTCCACCGCCGGCACGCGCACCACCTTGGCGTAATCCGTTCCTCGTATGGCGGCGTCGAACGCCTCGGCGAAGGCGCGGAACACGTCGGGCCGCATGACGGCGTACGGCGTCGTGGTGCTCAGCACGACGCCGCCGCGGCCCGTGCGGGCGTCCATGTCGAGCGCGCCGGCTGGCAGGGACGCCGGGACGTCCCGCCCGTACCAGCTCACCGTGATGCCTTTGACGGGGAGGTAGTAGCCGGGGTTTCTTGGGTTCGTCAGGAGCGGGGTGTACGGGAGGCTTTCCGTGTAGTTGACGATGCCTAGACTCTCCGTCCCGATGTACACCGGCGTGTCGCCGAACGCGGCGAATCCGGGGAGGCACAGGGCGAACTTGTTGCCGAAGCTGCGCTGCGCGGCGAGCTGCGACGGCAGCGAGAGCGGCCGCCGGGAGAACCCCGCGACGCCGGTGGCGCCGGCGGGGAGCGACGCCAGCAGCCGCTCTGGCGCGCACGCGCCGACGGTGGCGAACGCCTCCGGGCACAGCAGTTTGGTGCCGCTGCTGGTGGTATTAGCCGACATGGCGAAACTGGTGAGATCGCCGGTGGAGCACTCACCGGTGACCGGGTTGAACGGGTGGGCGGTGCAGGCGCAGCGCGACCCCGCCTCGCGGCCGGACCAGAACCAGCCGCCGTCGACGTACCGGCAGCGACGCGGCTGCTGCTGGTTGGCCGCGCCGCACGCGCCGGACAGGCACGACACCGTGGCGTGCGTCGACGACCGGCACGTCGACCAGACGAGAGCGCCGGCGAGGTCGACGACGAGAGGGGCATCGTCTTTCTTGATGGCGATCGTGTAGAGGGAGGTGTTGGTGTCCCTGATGAGAGGGACGATTAGGGGTAGCTTGTACGCTGCTGGTGTTGCATGCTGATCACCGGTCGCCACCAAGCATGATAGCAACAGAACCAGTGACACAATGGCTGGAGTGTTAGGCATGTTGTGTATTCAGAAAATCTGATGGATATATTGGGAAGGTGATTGGCTGGCGACAGAAATGGGCATAGTTGAATGTATTTGTACTGCTACTTCAGGAGTAGTAGTTCAATTAGTTTTTGGTCAATATTTGTAGGGTCAAGATGCCACCGATCCATCATGCATATCAAGGAGTTGACGATGGCCTTTTAAATGAATATAAGAGCGAGTACTGTACTGTACACTGTTGATTAGCACCCACAGTTTGGATTTTAAGTCAGGGAACCCTGGTAAGGATCTGGCTGTATGTCTATCTGCAGTAGTACACAATTACGCATCACACGAGATCAATGGTAAGGGAAAATTGCCCGTTTGGATCGATCCAAGACAATCCGGCTCGGTTCTGGAGTCTTAGGTTATAAACATTGGGCTGGATTATGCCCTGATGAAACCATCTCATACCCATGGTCCGAGCAAGCACTAATCAAGGGCACGTACGGTTGTCTGACATTGAACGATTATAAGAGATAGATTATATAGAGTAGGACTTTATAAATATGGAGAAACATCCTATATGACGACTTTCTCCCGTTATATAGTGCAGCAAGGGTAAGTGGCTAAGAAACCCGATTTTTACAAATTCTCACCGACTAGTTTCTCGGAATCTTGAGTTTCCCAAACGGAGCCTAAAATAAGCTTTTCTGGCCTAGCAGGATGTTTGCTTTGGGGCAACAAAAGTACAAAACATGAAGGCGACTACAAAGTGAGCGCAAAAATCGAGCGATGTTTCACTGCAACTAGAAAAAAAATGTTTCACTACTAAATAGAAAATTTGTCAGCCTACAAAAATCGTGAAACATAGTTGAAACACCATTGAAACATTTTGTTTTCATGGATGAAACGTCAAGCTTCAACCCGCTGAAACATCACAAATATGAAAGAAATCGAAAGTAGAAATATGAAACACCATCTAAGTATCCATCACAGATTCAACCCCCAAGACACATCCAAATATATTGGCTGTAACATAAAAAATCATGAAAATGTACTGGTCTAGATCTGGTTTCTTCCTCCTCTCCGATGGTGGTTGGCTCCTCCGGTCTCTGTTGCAAATCCACACCAAGATGCTGCAATGCCCTTCTACTCCACTGAGGCGGGTAGCTGCTGCTGCCCAAGCCTTCGTCACCCCATCGTCGCCAACGAACATGAGCCGCGCCACTTACAGATTCATGTAGGGAGCACTGTCTTCCTACAGGTTCCGCCCATGCCGATGTCTGCAGAATCTGGCCGGGAGCTGCACGGGAAGGATGCCCCCCCCCCAATCCAACAGGGGCGCTGCTCGCAGCAGCCATGACTCGACGACACGAAGGAGATGAGCAGCATCTCTCCGACAACCGTTGAGAACTTGCGTGGGAGAGAAATGAGAGAAGGGGTCACAGGATATGTGGAACGAATGCCCAGTATTTTCTTATCCATCGGATGCTCGATGGGTAGCGTTTTTGAGGAAACATACGGGGTAGACCGAGTTTAACATCCATTTCCTAGTAGTACATACAGGGAAAATATGTAGTGGAAACCACATATGTAATAAAATCTTGAAAACTACTATTCGATTAAGAATTGGACGTCTAAAATTTATCCACAATAGTAAAATTAGTAAAATTTTTACTCATGATTGAGTAAAATGGTAGTTTCCACTTTCCATGATATCTCTATGCCCAGTAAAACAATTCGTAGCACTTCGATAATGAAGCACTGTCAAGACTGCCGGAAGCTTATTCAACACTGGTTCTGAACTGAAGCATACAACTCAGTCTAAGGATGCGGGAAAGCGTGGATGTTGGATTTATTAATTAGCTCGGTTCATAAGACGACAAGGAAGAAAGGGTTCTCTTCAAGTCTGGTGAGTTTGATTTATCTATTTGGTGATGACATCGGTTATCTGGCCATGGATTAGATCAAGTCAAATTTAAGACGGTAGATGAAGTTGAACATGGTCTTCGGAGAGTCTATGATGTGACAGCTAGGAAGAATTCAATTCACTTGGCAAGATGACTGTGGTGATATGAGAGAAGGTGGAGCAATGTTGCAGGTGGAGTCAGGAGGAAGAAATTACAAGGATAGCGGGAGTCTCTTGTTTACGGTGAGCCTGATGGAGGCTTGTCGGGGCAGCTCGGCGTGAGCGGCGAAAAAGGATCAACTCAAGTCTTGGTACACGAAGGTTCGAGCAAGTAACAGATTCGGATTGGCGTGACATATTCGCCAAGGTGGAGTTTGTTAGAGTTTGTGTCGAATATGTGTACGTAGTCGGTTACAGTTTAGGACTTGGAGTTGTACTAGGTGTAGGACTAGAGTATAAGTCGACTCTATCCTAGATTCTCTCATAAATAGAGGGGCGTGCCTGTTGTAACCGTATGGCGACTTAGCATAGCGAGAGGGAGCGGCTGCCGGCATCGACCGGCCGTGAGTCGTTGTAACTCTGATACGTTGTATATGCTGGATCAGGGAGGAGCGCCCGTAATCAGTGCCCCGGAGATGTAGGCCTTGGCTGAACTCCGTTATCAAATATCGTGCCTCGGTGTCGTCATCGTGTTTGGATCTTCTATGACGTTTCTTCCGCGTTTGGTTTCCGATGTGATTTCGGGCCGGTTTTATAACAGAAACATCCAAATATATTGGCTGGAACATCAAAAAAAATCATGAAAATGTATTGGTCCAACTCTGGTTTCTTCCTCCTCTTTGGTGATCGTTGGCTCCTTTGGTCTCTGTTGCAAATCCACACCAAGATGTCATAGTGCCCTTCTACTCCACCGAGGCGGGTAGCTGCTGCTGCCCAAGCCCTCGTCACCCCATCGTCGCCGACAAACAGGAGGCACGCTACTTCCAGATTCTTGTAGGGACCATTGTGTTCTTGCTGCTTCTGCCCATGCCAATGTCCGTAGGATCTTGCCGGGAGCTGCACGGGAAGCTAGGACGCCCCCTCCCCCACCCCCCAATCCAACAGGGGCGTTGCTCGACGACACAAAGGAGATGAGTAGTGTCTCTCAGTCCGCCGTTGAGGACTTGCGTGGGAGAGAGACGAGAGAGAGGGGGTCACGGGATATGTGGAACAAATGCTCAATATTTTCTTATCCATCAGGCGCTCAATAGGTAGCGTTTTGGACGAAATATACAGGGTAGGCTAAGTTTAACATCCATTTCCTAGTATACAAGGAAAATATGTAGTAGAAACCACATATGTAAAGAAAACTTAAAACTACCTTATTGATTTAAAATTGGACGTTTAAAATTTATCCACATCACCAAAAGTAAAATCAGTAAAATTTTCGGGAATGCTACATACCGGAATCCCGTCCGGACGGGACCCTTGCTAATTCAAAGAGGAACGATACCTGACCATGCACGTCCCGAGCAGCAGCAGCAGCCTGTACAGGGCACAGTGCCGCTCCAGCACGTACGCATGGCTGACATGGGCCGCGGCGCTACGGCGCCCATGCCCGCACCGTCGACGCACTACCCCGCGCGCGACCGCGAGCTCCTTGCCGGCAGCGCCGTCACCGGCGCAGGGGAGGAGGAGCCCAGCGCGGACGCAAAGACAGATGAGGAAGTAGAGCGCGAAGGTGCTGCCCTCGCCGCGTCGTTGGCGTGGAGCACGACGAGCACGTACTTGGCTAGCTCGTCGAGGCGGCGGAGGAAGCGGCCGCCCGTGACAAGCTCCGACGTGGCGTGGACGGTGGAGGATGCTGCTATCGGCGACGAGCTCCGGCGTGGGACATGGATGACGAAGGACACGACCGTCGGCGACGAGCTCCGTCGTGGGATGTGGATGACGAAGGACGCGGCCACCAGTGACAAGCTCCGACGTGGCATCGACGGTGGAGGATGCGGCCGTCGGCGACGAGCTCCGGCGTGGGGCGTGGATGATGGAGGACGCGGCCGCCGGCGACGAGCTCCGACATGGCACGGACGGTGGAAGATGTGGCCGCCGGCGACGAGCTCCGGCTCGGGACGTGGACGGTAGGACCATCGGCGACGATGCTTTAGTGCCCGGCTCCTGATATCTGGTAGGTATCGTCTGATACCTCGTATGTATCACCTTCTACGTGATAAGAATCGCATGATATCTGATAGGTATCACCTGATACGTGGTAGAATCGCATGATACCTGATAGGTATCACCCGATACCGGTTAGGTATCAGGACCTGATACTTCGCAAGTATCACCCTCTACGTGGTAAAAATCGCATGATACATGATAGGTACCATCTGATACCTCACAAGTATCATCTGATACGTGGTAGAATCGCATGATACCTGATAGATATCACCCGATACCGGCTAGGTATCAGGACGTGATACATCGCAAGCATCACCCACCACGTGATAAGAATCGCATAATACCTGATAGGTATCACCCGATATCGGCTAGGTATCAGGACCTGATACATCGCAAGCATCACCGACCACGTGGTAAGAATCGCATGATACCTCATAGGTATCATCTGATACCTCGCAAGTATCACCTGATACGTGGTATAATCGCATGATACCTGATAAGTATCAGGACCTGATACATCGCAAGCATCACCCACCACGTGGTAAGAATCACATGATACCTGATAGGTATCATCTGATACATCACAAGTATCACCTGATACATGGTAGAATCGCATGATACCTGATAGGTGTCACCCGATACCGGCTAGGTATCAGGACCTGATACATCGCAAGCATCACCCACCACGTGGTAAGAATCGCATGATGCCTGATAGGTATCATCTGATACCTCGCAAGTATCACCTGATACGTGGCAGAAACACATGATACCGGTTAGATATCAGGACTTGATAACCACCAGGTATCATTTATCAAGACCGATCCCACCATGTATCAAATATGATACTTGGCCATCCAGTTATATGGTACTTGATACCAACCGATATCACACACGATGCTTGTTATGAGGCATGGCACCCACTCGATATCAGACATGTGTGATGCCTGTTATGAGGCATGGCACCCACTCGGTATCAGACGTGATACCTGATAATAGAATTGATGCTCACCCGGTATCAGATGTGATACCTACCTAGTATCAGATTTGACACCTGGTAGCTAGGTAGGCTACTACTTGCTATACTGAACTAGTTTAGCTATCACATGAAGATTTTTTGCGTATGCACGTGGACAGAATGACAAACGATGGGGTGACATGACACACCTTTTGAGACACGATAACTGACATACTAATTGAACGGAAGGAATTGTCCGGCTAAATTGCTTATAGGCCTATACTGTCCGAACGGTATACCGGTATATAGCAGCCCCAAAATTTTTACTCATGATTAAGTAAAATGGTAGTTTCCAAGATATCACTATGCCCAGCAAAACAATTCGTAGCACTTCGATAATGAAGCACTATCAAGTCTGTCGGATTCTTATTCAACACTAGTTTCTGAACTGAAGCATACAACTCGTCGTTCAGGCCGTGACGGAGTGACTGATCACTGATCAGGTCGATCTTATAACCCGATTTGAGAAGAATATGAACAACCCGCCAAGCGAAAGGCCAGATCCCCACTGAACCACATCAGCATTTTGTCCAGATCGAACACCAGCAGGTTCCAATCCAGCTGCTTCACGCCGACCACCATCGCCGGCTCGCCGTCCACCGGCATGCCGCCGGGACCCATCTCGAGAACCCCGACGCACAACGCCGCCCCCGGCGCAAACACCAGGTAGTTGTCGTTGAACCACGACCAGGTGCCCGTGGCGCCGTCCAGCTCCAGGTGGATCGTCGGAATGTCCATGCTCGCCGGCCGCTTCAGCATCGGGAACGCGCCGTTGTAGCACAGCTTGAAGGGTCCCACGGGCGGGTGGCGCGTCACGTTGGAGTACGTGTACTTGCTCCTCCTGATTATGGCGGTGTCGAACGCCTCCGCGAACGCGCGGAACACGTCGGGCCGCATGACCGTGTACGGCGTCGTCGTGCTCAGCACCACGCCGCCGCGGCCAGTGCGGGCGTCCAGGTCGAGCGCGCCGGCGGGCAGCGACGCCGGCGTCTCGGGAACGCTCCATGACACGGAGATGCCTTTGACGGGGAGGTAGTAGCCGGGGATTCTTGGATTCGTCAGGAGCGGGGTGTACGGGAGGATCTCCCTGTAGTCGACGAAGCCTCGGCCCTCCATCCCCAGGTACACCGGCGCGTCGCCGAACGTCGCGAACTGGGACATGCACAGGGCGAACTTGTTGCCGAAGTTGCGCTGCGCGGCGAGCTGCGACGGCAGCGAGAGCGGCCGCCGGGAGAACCCCGCGACGCCGGTGGCACCCGCGGGGAGCGACGCCAGCAGGCGCTGCGGCGCGCACGAGCCGACGGCGGCGAACTCCTCCGGGTGCAGCGTTCTGGTGCCGTTGACGGTGGAGTTAGCCGACATGGCGAATGTCGTCAGATCGCCGGTGGAGCACTCGCCGGTGACCGGGTTGAACGGGTGGGCGGTGCAGGCGCAGCGCGACCCCGCCTCGCGGCCTGACCAGAACCAGCCGCCATCGACGTACCGGCAGCGACGCGGCTGCTGCTGGTTGGCTGCGCCGCACGTGCCGGACAGGCACGACACCGTGGTGTGCGTCGACGGGCACGTCGACCAGACGAGCGTGCCGGCGAGGTCGACGACGAGCGGCGCGCCGTTCTTGATGGGGATGGTGTAGAAGGATGTGTCGCTGTCCCTGACGAGCGGGACGACGAGGGGTTTGTACGGTGCTTGCTGCTCACCGGTTGCCACCATGCATGAGATCAGCAGAACTAGTGACACGATTGCAGGAGGGAGCAAGCACTTGATAGGAGGGTTAGCCATGTTGTCTATCAGAATTTCAGATAATCTGATGGATTTTGAAGGTGATTGGATGTGGACAGAAATGGCATGTATATGTAGTACCTGTGGAGTTATTCGATTCGTTTTTGATCAGTTATTTAGGGTCAAGATGTCACCGGTTTATCATGTCGAGGAGTTGACGATCGATATCCTTTTAAATGTGTATCAATACACTGTTGATTAGCATTGACAACCTAAATTTTAGAAGTCAAGGAACCTAGATAAGGATCACTTAGCTGTATTTCTAGGTGAAATATGAGATCAAATAATGGTAGGGGAAATGCCCGCAGGATTTCTCTGACAATCCGGCTTGGCTCTGGAGTCTAAACATCGGGCTGGATTATTCTCTGAAGTCTGAACCATCTCAAAACAATGTTCCGAAGGAAGTATTAATTAAGGGTTGTCTGACATGATTATAAGAGATGTTAAGTACATAGGATTTTAGAGGTGGGTGAAGCATCGTCTATGGGTCACTTTCTCCCGGTGTACGAATGCTTTCTGATGTTCTTTTGATTCCAGGTTTCTAAACAACAACCAGAAACTTTACAAGTATGTACGGAGATGGTTCAAAGTACGGAAAAGGTTTCAAGGTGCTTTGTTCCGGCATGTATCAAGTTTTAAGTTTCACGTATCATCAAGTAGTAACGAGCTTGAAATTTCTGCAAAAAAAAAAAAAAAACAAACAATCAAAGATTCAGAGAACGGGAGATGGATTTTTATCTCGAGGGAGGTGACATCCCCTTATTTTTTGCATGGCATTTAAAAAATCATCAATTTTTTTTAAAAAAAATTGTTAAGATAGATCAATATATGATATATCATTCCACAACCATGTAAGTTAAAATTTAACTTATACAATTCGAAACAAAAAATAACAAACTTAACCGCAAATTATACGTTCTATTCAATGTCAAATTTATTGTTTTTGTTTCTAATTGTATAAGTTGAATTTAAACATACATATTTGTGGAGTGATATATCATATATTAATAGCTATTTTATCAAAGCTATTAGTTTCCTGTTATTTTAGAGAACCTCAACAACAGTTCTCAAAAATATAGTAACGATATTATCGGAAAGCTGCAACTTTTAAATGTCTTACAAATTTGAGCCCCATATGTCATAGAATTTGCTATACTCGTGTTGTTTAAAGTTGGGTCCACATGTAGTAGGCACATAGGGGTAAAGTTGCACTTTATTATTATTATTACTGTTGTTGCATTTTTCTCAAATAAAAAGCTAAAGTAGTAGCAAAGCGATAGTTTTGTTCAAATAATTGCAAGTTTCTGAAAATTACTTAAGAAAATCATTTATACCATAGACATCCACTGGTGATTGGTGACAAACATTTCTGCAATCTCACATGTCACAACCGCCCGGTTCAAGCAGGAACTACACAGCCAGCCAAGGGAAAGTTCATCAGCGCACTGATTCCAGTTCAAACACCAGCATATCTTCTCCCGGCTGCTTGCCGAGCCCCATCGCCGGTATTTGACCCAGTTCTTGTAGTACCAATGTCTATGGCTGGGCTGCTTGGTCACTCCAGGATTCCTTTGGGCTATACTAATCCCGTCATCCGGTGAGCTTGGACACACACACACACACACACACACACACAAACAGAGAATCCAGACATCGTGATTGAACAAGTTTAGATCGATTACTTTTGAATTTTGAGCTTCAGCAACAAAAGTTTCATCCCTGCAGGATTCATCAAGGCTGGTACGTGACAGCTTATTCTGTTCCAATGTATACTACTCAAGTTTGAGTACAATGACTACAAGCACTGGAAATTGGAAAACGCCTGAGACACGATAAAGTTATTTCCTCACAAAAAGCTTGCGCTGTAACAATTCGTCAGGTCCCATTCCAATAGCCTGCTGAAGCCGAGCGTGCGTTTGTCCAGATCGAACACCATCAGGATGTTCTCCAACTGCATCCCGCCGAGCACCACCGCCGGCTCGCCGTCCACCGGCATGCCTTCCGGCCCCATCTCCACGACCCCAACGCACGTCTCGCGTACCAGGTAGTTGCCGTTCAGTATCGTCCAGTTACCCGTGGCTCCGGCGTCCAGCTCCAGGGTGATCGCCGGCGCGTCGAAGCCCGTCCGCTTCATCATAGGGAATGACAACATGGTGTCGCCTGCGCCGCCGTAACAAAGCTCGAACTGCTTCTGCCTGGCCACCCTCGCCATTCTGCTTTCCGTTCCTCTGCCGTGTGTGGCGAAGTAATCAGCTAGAGATCAAACATTGGTTATGGCGTAAGTTTGTCTCGTGTCGGATGCTGTACCTGGTCACGACTGTGTCGAACGCCTTGCCGAAGGCGCGGAACACGTCGGTGCGCATGATCGCGTACGGCGTCGTGGTGCTGAGCACGACGCCGCCGCGGCCCGTGCGGGCGTTGAGGTCGAGCGCGCCGGCGGGCAGGGACACCGGGACGTCGCCGGGCCCGCGCCACGACACGGAGATGCGTTTTACGGGGAGGTAGTAACCGCCGTTCCTCCTCGGGTTCGTCAGGAACGGGGTTCGCCGGAGCATCTTGGTGTAGTCGAAGGGCCCGTACGGGTTGTAGTTGGGCAGGTACACCGGCGTGTCGCCGAACGTCGCGAACACCGGCAGGCACAGGGCGAACGTGCTGCCGAACCGGCGCTGCGCGGCGAGCTGCGACGGCAGCGAGAGCGGCGTCGTCCCGGAGAACCCCGCGACGCCGGCGGCCGCCTGCGGCAGCGACGGCGACGCCAGCAGCCGCTCCGGCGCGCACGCGCCGACGGCGGTGAACGACTCCGGGTACAGCAGGTCGGTGCCGTTGGTCGTGTTCGCCGACATGGTGAATGTCGTCAGATCGCCGGTGGAGCACTCGCCGGTGACCGGATTGAACGGGTGGGCGGTGCAGGCGCAGCGCGACCCCGGTTCGCGGCCGGCCCAGAACCAGCCGCCGTCGACGTACCGGCAGCGGCGAGGCTGCTGCCGGTTGACCGCGTCGCACGCGGCGGACTGGCATGGCACCGTGGAGTGCGTGGACGGGCACGTCGACCAGACGAGCGCGCCGGCGAGGTCGACGACGAGCGGCGGCGCGCCGTTCTTGACGGAGATGGTGTAGAGTGAGGTGTTGTAATCCTTGGCGAGCCTGGAGACTAGTGGCTTCTGATCACTCGCAGCTTGTGCTGTGCACCGGACGAACACTTGCACTGCGATGGCAGCAAGAAGCAGCACGTGCACAGGTTCAGGTGGACGAGGCATGATGCGATGCGTTGCTCTGAACAAGCAAAAACGTAGCGAATGATCGAGGTGATTAGGATGAAGAGAGACGCTGAGATAAGATGGTCTCTTTTCCGTGTATTTGTATAGCGATTTAGCAGGGTTAAGCGTTGACCTATACACGTAGTAAATGTCGTGCTAATTTGATGAGATGTATCTCAAGGTGGACTGAACATAACAAAACCATGGATCAAACCAAAACCCAGCTGCAAACAGTAGATGATCAACACTAGGAACCTAGGATCTCCGCTTTGATTCGTGTGTAAACTTCGGGCTGGCTGGTTCAGTTGACCACAGGTACACGGTTATCCTCGTGAGTCGTGACCAGTTAATTAGCACCATCGGCGTAGCAAAACCACGGCTTCGATCGTCAGTCCGTCTCGCCTCGCCTGTACTGTAAAGGAAAACTATTTTAAACTCTAAAAATTAGGTTTTGCATGTCACTCAAATGGTTATAAATTTTTTTAAAAAACAATAAGATAACTTAATATGTGATAGATCAATCCACAAACATGCAAGGCGAAATTTAACCATAAAATAAAAAAAAATAAATTTGACTATAAATATACGTTAACTAGCTGTAGTTTAATTTATTTTTTGTGCAACTTATATAAATTGTATTTCAACTTGAATATTTGTGAAATGATACATCATATGTTAATACATCTTTTTTTTTTAATTTTTTTTAACCATTTGAGTGGCATGCTAAGAGTCAGGACATCTTGTCTGTAATCACCATGGGAGCATATTAGTGTAGGGATGCAAGCGGGCCGACTCGCGAATTCACTCCTAGGTCAAATAAATGATAATTCATGGGTTTTTGTGTCGTGGCCTAACTTGCCGCATCTAGATATGCAAGTGGGTCGATTTATAAACATATTTATAGATCAAGTTAATATATATAACATGTGAGTCAAACCTGCGGTTTATGCACTAATTTTGTCTATAAGCGGCTTCCCCACTTGCACCCTTATATTAGTGTGTAGTACTGTTGATAGCTCGAGCGACATAATTTTGGGCTGCTTGGGCTACAACTCTTTGGGCCTTAGAGCAGCATATGTTTGCTTGGACTAGGCTGCGTGTGAGCCGAAGGCCCAGCTCGAAAGCTTGATGGGCTGTGGTGGCTTCAGGGCAGCGGCGGCGCAGACGATCCCGTGAGTCCAGCCACGGGGGGCGGAGCGAAGCCACCGGCGGCGAGGTGGTGAAGGGGGCTGGAGGCGGCGTCCGTTCGAGCGGCGGCGGCCGGATCGATGGATCGAGTCGAGCACCATGCGCCCCTGTGTCCCGCGGCTCGGGTCGGCTCGGTACAGGCGGAAGTGCAGCGGCGGCGCCTCTCCTGGTGTTGGTAAGCTCTCTCTCTCTTTCTCTATCTGGTTCACTGTTTGAGATTGGAACGAATCCCCTCCTTGCAGTTGCAACCCAAAAGTTGGAAGTGATTCCGCGGCCTTTGCTGCTGGCTCTTCCTCCACCACATTCCAACAAGCCGTTGTCCATCTGGAATAATAATTCTGGATCGTGTGTGGTGATCCTGCATCTTCACACGTACTGTAGGCCTGTTAGATCCTTCCCAAATTGATGTCTTGTAAAGACTAAAAGATGCAGATTGAATGCTAAGTTGTCGCTGGACTAGTCTCTTCCCCCATCTTTATCCCGGTTTCACTTCCGTTTTTCATTCATCTTCGAATTGATTTTTACTGTTTTCTCTTACTCTCAGTGCCAGGAAGGCCGCCACCCACCATCCACCAAGCGTGCCAAGCCATGGTCTCAACAATACTTCTTTCTTCAAAGGGATGATGCTTGCAAATCGTAATGCTTTCTCAGAATCGATGTGTTTTGCCTTTAGACGATATAGCAAGCACTGAATTGTCTACACTGCACTGCACATCAGGTGTCGATGCAAAAAGGCTACAGGTCAAGAAACAAAGAGATGCAAATTGTGCCACTAAAAATCTATTTGGCGGGCAAACGGGTAAAGCAAGCGACATATTGGTGGAGCATGCCAATCGCAAGGAAAAACTCTCATGGACATGCAGTTGTGGACTGTGGTAGGGTCCTCCACAAAACAAAGAGACGAAGTGCACTTGTGGGTAGAGAGCTTTCACAAACAAACAGGCAGCATACATTCCTGTGGGAGAGAGAGAGAGAGAGCTTGCGCATGTGCTAGCTGTCTGGTAGCTTGCGCATCTAAGGCAAGTTGTTGGATAAGTCTCCATAGTCATTTCTTCTTGTTGACAGATTACCCAGGTTTCACCATTGTTTGGCTATTGCAAATCATTTTAATTTTATCTTCCAATTAATTTGGACTGCATCGCTTTAACCTTTTCTGTAAAATATTAAATATGTATCCTCTCCAGGAAGGCCACCACGCACCACCTACCAAGCGCACTATGCCATGGACTAAACTACGTGAACTGTGCCATGTGGTATACTACTAGTATATGTGTGGCTGCTTCCCCTCCCGATCTACATCTTGCTTCTATTTCACAAAGCCATATTCCTGTTGATAGAGTTCACTGTGAATCTGCCATACCATCCATGAGCGGGATTGGAGGGATGATTGCGAGTTCCGTGGCGAATCGGGTCGCCAGCAGGCTCAGCGAGCTTGTGGTGGAGGAGGCCACTCTGCTGTGGAGATTCAAGGACGACGTGGACGACATGGAGGAGAAGATGAGAGATCTGGAGGCTGTGATACAAGATGTTGATGGCAAAGCACGCCAGGGAGGAAAAGATGGAGAGGCGGAACGGCGGTGGCTCAACAAACTCAAGTCCGTCGCCTACGACGTTGAGGACGTGCTGGATGAGCTCGATGCTGCTCAGCTCATCAAGAACCATCAACCCAAGGTACTCACTTCCACTTCCACATATTGGTGTTTTGAATAAAAGTTCTATGATTCATCTTTATGGATCAATTTACTTGCTGTACATGCCTGACTTTCATTGTGGAATATTTTAGCATTGTGCCAAACCAATTAATTTCTAAAATTAAAAAGCAAAGTTGTCTTTTCCACTATAAACACTTCTCTAGAAGTTTGCTATTAGACTGTCAATTCCCGTTCCATACCAGACTATCAGATACTATCGTGGGTATACAAAAGAAAATTAACATAGCGGATGATATTGACTTCATTTTTATTTTTCAGCTCAAGTTATTCCTTTCCCGGAACAATCCGCTTCTCCGGAAGATGACCATAGCCCGCAACATGAAGAACTCGAGGGAGAAAATAGTCTCAATAAAAAAGGATAGCATTAAGCTTCATCATGTGCATCGTGAACTAGTGGCAGAAGGGAGTAGAGACAATGAAACTTTTGCAGATGATGGTGACGTGGACATTGGAATGCTAGGGAGGGATGCCGAAACAAAAAAAATAATCAACCTTCTGTTGAACACTGAAGCTAAGGAGGATATCTCAATCATCCCAATTGTTGGGCTTGGTGGACTAGGGAAGACTACCTTAGCCCAAGCAGTTTTTGCAGACAAAAGGGTCAATGTCTTTGATTTGCGAATCTGGGTCTATGTTTCCAAGGAGTTTGACCTGCTCAAAATTGGGAAGGCTATCATCAGAGGAGCAAACAGAAGTATCAACCTGGACAACTGCAACTTGCAGTTTGTAAACAATAATCTGAAAAAAGAACTTGCCAACAGAAGATACTTGATTGTTCTAGATGATCTCTGGGAAGAATATGGAGAAAATTTGGAAAAGTTGAAGCAGATGTTACAACATGGCGGAAAGGGTAGCAAGATTATAGCAACTACACGTAGTGGAAGCGTAGTGCAAGTACTATACACTGGTTATCTTGCAAATGAACGGAAAGTATGTCCGGTGCCTGAGCCTGATCATATCAATTTGGGTGTTTTATCACCTTACGACTGCTGGAGCGTCATGAAGCGGAGAGTATTTGGGCCTGATGATGGCCAAAATGGCTTAGAGGAAATTGGAAGGCAAATTGCCGAGAAGTGTGGAGGACTACCACTGGTGGCAAATGCTCTCGGGCAAGTAATGTCTGAACATAGGACGGTTGAGGCATGGACAGATATAAGGGATAGAAAGATTGTTTTGGATTTCAAAGCAGATCATCAGCAAGACACTATAGAGCGCCTAATGTTGAGCTATTACTATATGAAGCGAGAATTCAAAATGTGCTTTACATATTTGGCAGCCTTTTCGAAGGGTTTCGTCATGGACACTGATCGCTTGATCCAGCAATGGATAGCCCTTGGATACATTGAAGCACGAGATAATGGTCAAAGGTGTGTCAACTATCTTTTGCGGATGTCCTTTCTTCAGATTTCCAAGTCTTCCATGGTAAGTATCATAGAACACCTTTCTACGGTTCATGTCTGGATATTGATGCATCATATGCTCACTAGGATATGCTTTGCTAGTAAGATAAATTTATACATATGCTTCCTCTAGAGTATTAACCTTAATAAGTAACATAAATAATTTATGCTAGAGTATCCTAATCCAGTCCAATAATCTTTCTTTTCTTGTAGCTTTTAATTTAAAACCCACAAGTTAATGTTTCAACATCTGCATTTTCAGTTCCAAATTAAATACTTATTTTTAAATTTAATACGTTTAAAATGATATATTCAATACAATGCTTCAGTTTGATAGGTTACACACCTTATTTAGTTTAGGGTAGTCCATTGTTTTTGTAGATTTACACTACAAAAGATATATTTCATTATATAGACGAAATATCTGTTCATCTCATCAAAATAAGTGCAACATTGTTTTTTTAATTATTCCTTTTGCGCATTTTGTTTCTGCTACTTTTTGTGGTGTGTGTTTTTTTGCCACTCTGTCTGGTTTTTCATTATTTGTCTAGTATTCAAAGTTGAGGGTAAAAATAAGCAGTTCCGTAGTTTAGGGCATTCAAACCTACAATTAGATCAACCATCTAAATGCTTGGGTTCATGGCTTTATACAATTTATACCTTAAAACAACTTACTAATTCTAGAAATAATTTAAACAGTGTGACTTCATTAAAGATAAGGCTGCATCTAACCTACACCTTCGATCAACCATATGTAGCCTAGAAATAATTAAGATGGTGTGGTTCTGGGGGAAGAGAGAATTAGCAATACACAACAATTAGTTGAGATCGACTTTATAAGATATATAGATTAATCACTGCTGCTGAAATTAATTATACCTACTAATTTTGTGGGATTTACAATTTATTTTTGAAAGGAAATGTGGCATCTGCTGATTTAATTAAGAAGGTTAGAAAAGGTACATAATGTTGTAGTTCAGTTTTGGTAGTAGGCAATGAAAAAGGGAAAAAACAACTTAAGCAGCTTGTACATGGCAAAACACTATTTACATTGTATTTTGCAGCACCGTTTTAAATTTTGATAGTAGCTTTCCCTGCAGGTTAGTCCAATGCACACCAAAGCTCCACGCAAGCTCACCATGCATGATTTAGTGCATGATCTCGCAACAATAATTGCTCCTGATGAATTCCTTGTCATGGACGCTACCATGCCAAATACATGGAGCAAAGCTAATAATAAGCGTTATTGCCGACATGCACAGTTGGTCAACTACCAGAAGCAACCCAAGTTTTTCAAAGATCTACCAAGCAAGGTTAGAACCATTCATTTTAGGGAGTGCATTGGATCGCAACTTCCCCGAAAGGCATTCTCTGGGTCAAAGTATATACGGATCTTGGACCTGAGCGGATGTTCGTCTGAAGGGCAATCTATCCCTGTTAGTATGGCGTTGCCATCCTCCATTCGTCAACTGATGCTGCTAGCTTATCTTGATGTCTCAGGCTTGCCAATTGCAGCACTTCCTAAATATTTGCATATGTTTCAGAATATGCAAACTCTAATTCTATCCAATTGCTCTCTTGAAACCTTGCCTGCTAATATTGGTAACCTACACAAGCTTTGTTATCTAGACTTATCAGGGAATAGTGACCTCAGTAAACTTCCGACATCATTTGGAAACCTTCTCAAACTTTCTCTCCTCAGCCTATCTGGGTGTACTAAACTTGAAGAATTGCCTGAATCAATCCACAACCTTAAATGCTTAGAACAACTAGACATGTCAGGTTGTTGTGCTCTTCAAAATCTCCCTGATGAATTTGGCAGCCTTTCTAAGCTCTCATTTGTAAACTTGACAAGTTGTTCAAAGCTAACCAAACTACCAGGCAATTTTAACCTTGAGTCTCTTGAGCATCTAATCCTTTCAGATTGCCATGAGCTAGAAAACCTACCAGAAGATTTTGGGATTCTTTATAGACTAGAGGTTTTGGACCTGTCTGATTGCTACAAGATTCCAGTGTTACCAGAATCCTTCTGCCAACTTAAACATTTGAAAGACCTCAATCTTTCAGACTGCCATGGCCTCAAACAACTCCCTGAATGCTTCGGGGACCTTTCTGAGCTCCAGTTTTTGAACCTCACAAGCTGTTCTAAGCTACAGTCATTACCCCAATCATTATGCAACATATTTAAGTTGAAGCATCTCAATTTGTCATATTGTATAAGGATTGAACATCTTCCGTCTTTGTTTGGTGACCTTCAACTTCAAGTCTTGAACCTTACTTGTTGTTATAGTCTGCGAGACATGCCAGATAGTATCAGCGACATGGCTAGCCTCACGCTGCTTGATGTTATTTCAGGAACAAAAGGTGTGCTTGATAAGGCTTGGTCCATTAAAGAGTGTCTAAATTTACCTGGCCGTGAAGAACATGATGTACATGAGATAGAAAATGGAGAGTGTTGCAGTATAGTGGAGCTTGGGAAACTAAGTTGTCGTGCACTGGGAATTCAACATCTTGAAAATGTTGAGCGGCTGGACAATGCAAGGGAAGCTAAGTTGCGTGATATGACTGACCTTCGGGAACTAACTTTGTCATGGGGACTTGGTGGCACGAGAAATGTGGACAAGGATGAAGAGGTGCTTGAGAACCTATTACCTCCTCGAACTCTTGAAAGTTTTATGGTACATGTGCAAGGATTTCCCTAACTGGGTGTCTGGCATCTCCTCCTACCTCCCTTGTCTCATTTACTTATGTCTTTCTAATTTAGCAACATGTGATTCTCTTCCTGCATTTGGACGGTTGCCAAACCTGAGATTTTTTTGTATGAAGAATATGCCCACCATTAGAAAAATTGGCAGAGAATTCTACGATGGGGAAGGGAATTGCAAGAAATTAAGAATTATTTGGTTAGAACGAATGGATAACTTCGAAGAATGGTGGACAACGCGGTCGGGTGAAGAAGATAGAGAGTTCTTAATCCCTAATTTGCATTTTTTGAAGGCAGTTGACTGCCCAAAGTTGAGTTTCCTCCCGTATCCCCCTAGAAGTATGCACTGGTCATTGGACAATAGCGATAAGGTGTTGCCAGAACGAGGGTTTGGGAGCCTTGCATCTTCCACTCTTCCTTTTCGTGTGGTCATCAACAACTGCAAATATCCCCCTGACATGTGGGTAAGATTTCAACATCTTGCCACCATTGAGATTTTTCAAGTTGAAGGTTGCAGTGGGCTGAGGACCTTTCCAGACATCCTTCAAAGCTTCGTCTCCCTCAGAGAGCTATATTTGTGCTCGTGGGAGAACTTGGAAATATTGCCCGAATGGCTGGGGCAGCTCATTTGCCTAGAAGTCATTGAATTCATCAATTGCCCTGTGTTGACTACTCTGCCTACAAGCTTACAAAACCTTACCTCTCTGAGGGAACTGTTGTTGCGGGGATGCAAAGGGCTGGAGACACTTCCTGAAGGGATGGGCCGGCTTATTTCCTTGGAGAAGTTTATCATCATGGATTGCCCCAAGCTGACTTTTCTGCCTGAAAGCATGAAGAACCTAACCGCATTGATAGAGCTGCATTTGGATGGATGCAAAGGGCTAGAGACACTACCAGAAGGGCTGGGGCTACTCATTTCTCTGAAAAAGTTTGTCATCAGCAATTGTCCCAAGCTGACTTATCTACCTGAAAGCATGAAGAAACTAGCCACTCTGATAGAGCTGCGGTTGGATGGCTGTAAACGGCTGGAGACACTACCAAAATGGTTAGGGCTGCTCATTTCTCTGAAAAAAATTGTCATCAACAATTACCCTATGCTAACTTTTCTGCCTGAAAGTATGAAGAACCTAACTGCTATGAAAGTGTTGTATTTGTATGGATGCAAAGAGCTAGAGATACTGCCAGAAGGGCTGGGGATGCTCATTTCTCTGGAAAAGTTTGTCCTCATCGATTGCCCCAAGCTGACTTTTCTACCTGAAAGCATGAAGAACCTAACCGCTCTTATAGAACTGCGGTTGGATGGATGCAAAGGGCTAGAGATACTGCCAGAAGGGTTGGGGCTGCTTATTTCCCTTGAGAAGTTTATCATCAACAATTGCCCCAAGTTGACTTTTCTGCCTGAAAGTATGAAGAACCTAACCGCTCTTATAGAGCTGTGGTTGGATGGATGCAAAGGACTAGAGATATTGCCAGAAGGGCTGGGACTGCTCATTTGCCTAGAGAAGTTTATCATCATGGATTGCCCAAAATTGACTTTTCTGCCTGAAAGCATGAAGAACCTAACCGCTCTGATAAGGCTGCTGTTGGATGGATGCAAAGGGCTGGAGATATTGCCAGAATGGTTAGGGATGCTCGTTTCCCTAGAGGAGTTTATCATCATCGATTGCCCTAAGTTGACTTTTCTGCCTAGTAGTATGAAGAACCTAACCGCTATAACAGAGTTGCGTTTGGATGGATGCAAAGGATTAGAGATACTGCCAGAAGGGTTGGGGCTGCACATTCCACTGAAAAGGTTTGTCATTAACGATTGCCCCATGCTGACTTTCCTGCCAGAATTGCTTGGACATCTCACTGCCCTAAAATGCCTTGATATCCAAAGTTCTCCCAATTTGACATATTTGCCTGAAAGCATGAAGAATCTTACTGCTCTTGAAGAACTATGGTTGGAAGGGTTCAATAGCCTTCCGGAATGGATAGGGCAGTTCATTTATCTGAAAGAAATTAGCATCTTCGATTCCCCCAACTTGACATCTTTGCCAGAGAGCATATGGAACATTACCACCTTAGAATTATTATATATTTATTTTTGTCCAAGACTGGCTGAATGGTGCCAAAGGGAGGATGCTAACAAGATATCTCGCATCCCAAAGATTATGTTAGATGGTGAAATATTTATACCGGGACAAGCAATCGATGGATGAGAGGTATATGAGTAATAACTATTCTTTTCATTCATCTATTAACGTTTGCATTTGCTTCAACATTATATTTTGATCTAGAAATTCAATGATGCAAATAATATTTGTCTTGTCTGGTATTTGTTCTCACGTCATCCCTCAACGTTTTGCAATTAGTTGAGCTCTCCAATTTCCAACTGAGTGTGCTCTAAACCTGTCACACTGTATTTGATTGCTGCTTTATGAACGAATATTTTATATTACTGATGTTAATCGATTCCTCAGTCCTCACCTAGCTGTACACGTTTCTTAACTTGTCTGTTTTTGTTTTCATCTTGTGATATTTTCAGCACAAGCAAGGTTTGGCTAATATGCTATACTTTTGCAGAGCGAATCAAGGCAGAGTGAACCATAGATCAAGCGGTCTTTTGCCCAGGACAGAATGTGTAGAGAGCAAAAAAGGAGGGACGAAGCAAAATTCTAAATCAGTCAATTCCAACAACTTCTGAATATTATTTCACCTTCAAGGTATACTAAGTCTCCACTCCCATCTGTCTATTACATTTTTCACTTGCTGGTTGGTACGTACGCTACCGCATTTTGAATCGACAGTAAGCTAATCGAGTACTAGCATCTATCAGAGGCTGGAAGCTCCGTCAGGGGCGTCCTCTGGCCTCGGCCGTGGTACTCGAAGCTGTCGCTCAAGCGGCAGTTCGCCGTCACAGGCGCCACGTCCGGCGTGGCGTGTCCTTCTTCGGGAGTGGGCCGTACAATCTGATGCCGCTGTCCGCCGACGCCGTCCGACGTGAGCAGCATCCTCTCCTACAACGACCAAGGTCAGGACCAATGAACCCCTCGACGAACAGCATCTACCTCCGGGGCATCTCCGTCAACCAAGAAGAAGTCCGGCCGCCTCCCTCCAGGCGTCGGCGTGCTCATGTCATGACTCGACGTGGCCGCGCGCGCCCTACACTGCACCGTCCTGCGACGCCAAGGAAGGCGACGCCACCGAGGATCGATACCGTGCATGCCGAGCGTGAGCCCGTTGGAGGATTCACCTGCGCCCATGACACGCGGAGGCGGCGGCGGGGAACTGGATGATGATCGATCGGTGTTGAGTTGTGAACCAAAGTTCATTTGCACATAATAAATATCAGTTTCTGCTGGAGCGAAGCGCCCCCGCGGTATGGATCGTTATCCTTTAGGGTTTCACCTTCATGTATATACCTCTTATAAGCCGCCATTCGGTGTTGTAACTTTACCCCGATACAGTGAAGATATTTTATTGGCTGGTGTCAGTGATTTTTTCTCTCCTCTATTGTTTTTTATGTTTATTTGCCTATCGTTTCCTATCAATCGGGTCCAACTCGCTAGCGCAGGTGGCGAGAGCGACACGGCGTGCTTGGCGTTCGTCGACTGTGGTTGGGCAGCGACGATGAGCGCGGTGACCGTGCGGGCGTTCCAGATGGAGAACGTACAACGTAACTTGTTGCTGTTCGATGAGGCCGCGTCCAGACTACTAAGCTGGTTCAGTCAGTGGCACCCTTTGGTTCATCAGGATATCTTGGGTTGGTTTGGTTTGTGGTCTAAATAGGTCTTACCAAATTTTGTCAATGCCAAATTTTGACAAGTTTTGACATGACTAATTTTGGTAAGGTAAAATTGTATTTGGATTGAAGTCAAAATAGCATAAGTTCACTATTGAAATGGCCTATTTTCTTAGACATGCTAAAATTTGACTTCAAACCAAATAGACACTAAACACTATTGAAATTGCCAAATATTGGTGAGGCTAATTTAGGCAACAAACCAAACCAGCCCCTTGTGGCAACTTCAACCTCGAGACAAATTAAACTATCTCGCTCTTTGTGATCAGGATGGATGAACCGATCATATATATGCCTAACAATTCTTTTTATTCGCGACGTCAATATACTACAGTTAATTTGTCTACAGTTCTCATTCTCGCTTGTCGCCGTGACCAGTTGGCGCTAGCTTGACGATCTTACAATGTTGGGACTGATTTGACTGAATGAATGAATTAATTAATGAGATGTATCACAGTGGGCTAAATAAACAGAAGTACGGATTAAGTCGTCCAGGCATCGCCATTACCTTATCAACGCTAGGAACTTAGGAGTTTCGATCTACAATCCGCTTTTTGATAATTGATATGTGCAAACTTAGGGCTGGTCGCGTCAGTTGACAAATGACAACCGGCACGTTTGCAACATGCAAGGCGGGTTGACCTTATTTGATTTATAAAGTGTAGCAAATTTTTTCTTCAAAAAGATCAGTGTACCAAAACCACGGGTCCGCCTCGTTTTCGTCTGTACGCGCCATGGGCCACTTGGCCTATGTGGGCCACTCGGCCTACGACCATTTTGGGCCTAAGAGGAGGTGTTTAGGTGGGCCGTCGGCTGAAGATCTCGTCTAGTTGGGGGTGAGCCCAAGAGGACAGAGGCGGCGGCGGCGCAGATGCTCTCCTCACCCCGTGTCGGCCATAAGGGCGGAGCGAACACACCGGCGGCGAGGCGGTGAAGGGGTTGGAGGAGGCGGTCGAGCGGGTTCTCCCTCTGCAGAACGATGGATCGAGCCGAGCACCTTGAGCCCTTCTATCCACAGGCGGAAGTGCAGTGGCTGGCGGCGCCTCGATTTCCTGGTGTTGGAATCGGTAAGCTCTCTCTCTCTATAAATATGTATATCCGGTTCAACATTTGGGATTGAAACGAATTCCTCTAACACAACTCAAAAAATTGGAAATAATCTCATCTTGCGAGTTGCGACCCTGATTCTTGCCTTCTTGCTGGCTGTTCCTCAGTCAGTCCCATTCCATCCGGAGGAGTAATTCTGAATAGTGTGTGGTCCTCATCCTCACGCACGGGCCGGGTAAATCCTTCCAAAATGGATGTCTTGTAAGGCTTGAAAAGGATTCAATCTAAGGCAAGTTGTTGGATAAGTCTCCATAGTCATTTCTTCTTGTTGACAGATTACCCAGGTTTCACCATTGTTTGGCTATTGCAAATCATTTTAATTTTATCTTCCAATTAATTTGGACTCCATCGCTTTAACCTTTTCTGTAAAATATTAAATATGTATCCTCTCCAGGAAGGCCACCACGCACCACCTACCAAGCGCACTATGCCATGGACTAAACTATGAATTCCTTTCATCAAAATGCTGATACTTGCAAATCTTAATGCTTTATCAGAATCAGTGCATTTTGCCTTTAGACGATATAGCAAGCACTGAAACTGCCTACTCAGCACATCAGGTGTCAATGCAAAGTGTGCGCACTAAAAAATTTTTTGCCGGGTCGGCCGAAAGGTTCGGTCGACCAAATTTCATTAAGGAAAACGCACTAAAAATTTTAAAATCTATTTGGTGGGCAAATAGAATAACTTTGCTCATGCAAGCGACATGTAGGTGGAGCATGCCGTCGCATGGAATAACTTTGCTCATGGTGGACTGTGGTAGGGTCTTCCCTAAAGCAAAGAGACGGAGTGCACTTGTGGGAAGAGAGCTTTCACAAACAAATTGGCAGCATATACTCTTGTGGGAGAGATAGGGAGTTTGTGCTCTAGCTGGCTGGTAGCTTCGAGGCCATGAGCGGGGTTGGAGAGATGATTGTGAGTTCCGTGGCGAGACGGGTCGCCAGCAAGCTTGGCGACCTCGCAGTGGAGGAGGCCACTCTGCTGTGGAGGTTCAAGGATGATGTGAATGACATGAAGGAGAAGATGAGAGATCTGGTTGCTGTGATGCAAGATGCTGACGATAAGGTGCGCCAAGTAGGAAAAGATGGAGCAGTGGCACGGCGGTGGCTCTCCAAAGTTAAGTCCGTCGCCTACGACGTTGAGGACGTGCTGGATGAATTCGATGCTGCTCAGCTCATCAGGAACCATCAATCCAAGGTACTTCCACATATTGTCGTGTTTGAATAAATGTTATATGCTTCAACTTTACGGATCAGCTGCTGCACATGTGTGATTTTCTTTGTGGAACTTTTTTGCATCATACCAGCCCGATTAATTTCTAAAATTAAAAAGGAAATTCATCTTTTCCACTACCATGCCATTTCCCGATCCATATCGGACTATCAGAGACTAGTCTGAGTAGATGAAAATTGATCTACAAAGGACACTAATATAGACAGTGACTTTGACTCCAATTTTATTTTTCAGCTCAAGTTATACTTTTCCTGGAACAATCCGCTCCTCCAGAAAATGACCATAGCACGCAACATGAAGAACTTGAGGGATAAAATAGTTGCAATAGAAAAGGATGGCAAGATGCTCAATCTTGTGCGTCATGAACCACATGCAAAAGGGAGTAGAAGCAACGAAACTTTTACTGTCAGTGATGATATGGAGATTGGAATGCTAGGGAGGGATGCTGAAACAGAAAAAATAATCAGCCTTCTATTGAAAACTGAAGCCAAGGAGGATATCTCAATTATTCCAATTGTTGGGCTTGGTGGACTAGGGAAGACAACCTTAGCCCAAGCAGTTTTTGCAGACAAAAGGGTCCGTGTCTTTGATATGAAAATCTGGGTTTATGTTTCAGAGGATTTTGATCTGCTCAAAATTGGGAAAGCTATCATCAGAGGAGCAAACAGAAGTATCAGCCTAGACAACTGCAACTTGCAGTTTGTACAAGATAATCTGATAAAAGAACTTGCCAATAGGAGATACTTGATTGGTCTAGATGATCTCTGGGAAGAATATGGAGAAAATTTGGAAAAGTTGAAGCAGATGTTACAACATGGCGGCAAGGGTAGCAAGATTATAGTAACTACACGCAATGGAAGTGTAGTGCAAGTACTACACACTGGTTGTCTTGCAAATCAGCGGAAAATATGCCCTGTGCATGAGGCCGATCATATCAATTTGGATGTTTTATCACCTGATGACTGCTGGAAGGTGATGAAGCAAAGAATATTTGGACCTGATGATGATCAAAGTGGCTTAGAGGAAATCGGAAGGCAAATTGCTGGGAGGTGCGGGGGACTACCACTGGTGGCTAATGCTCTTGGGCAAGTAATGTCTGAGCAAAGGACCGTTGAGGCATGGAGAGATATAAGAGACAGAAAGATTGTTTTGGATTTCATAGTAGATAATCGGCGAGACACTTTGGAACGCGTCTTGTTGAGCTATTACTACATGAAGCCAAACTACAAAATGTGCTTTACATGTCTTGCATCATTCTCGAAGGGCTTCGTTGTGGACAGTGACCGCCTGATCCTGCAATGGAGCGCCCTTGGATACATTCAAGCAAGGCATACTGGTCAAAGTTGTATTGATTATCTTCTGGGGATGTCCTTTCTTCAGATTTCCAAGTCTTCATCAGTAAGTATTTAAGTTCCTGTTTGGCCATTCATGCACTGTATATTTATTATTTGGGGGTATGGCAGTATGCCTTGCTAGTAAAATGAAACAGTGACTTTATATTTACATTTTTCTTGTAGGTAACTTACAAGTAATGGTTACATAGATAGTTCATCATTACTTGCTAGGAACATATGTTTCTGATAGAATATTTTATGCATGATTGGTCAAACATTCGTAACCAAACATTTCAATATCTTCATTTTTTATTCATAATTCTATTTTAATTACACTTATTCTCAATATATATTATATTTTTACTTTGCTATACTCGTGCTTGAAATTGGGTTGCAATACCTTTCGTAATATAGCCCCTATTTATTTCCATTGAGACTGTAGTGAGTATTTATTATCACCTGTAACCCTAATTATTACCTATAGTATTTTATAGTCTATTCACTGATACATGCCATATTTCATATTCCAACACAAAATAAATGTGCATTCCTTGTAAATATCTTCTTTTATTTTCCTATTGGTCTATGTGCAGTACAAATTACATTGTGTTTTTTGACAGCCTGGAGAATAATAGATATAAATGTGTTTGTAATCTGTTTTGTCTTGTTTCTTTGATTTTGCCATTTCTCAATCTGTACATGTAAGAGTTCGACATCCATGAAAGCTGTTCAAAAGACATGTATTTCATTGATACTCCTACCTAATAATTTCAATGTCTGCTTTATATTTTTGCAGGTTAGCCCAGTGCATGCCAAAGCTCCACGAAAGCTCACCATGCATGATTTAGTGTATGATCTTGCAAAAATAATTGCTGCTGATGAAGTCCTTGTTATGGATGCCAACAAACCAACAACATGGGACAAAGCTAATGAGCATTACTGTCGACATGCACAGTTGGTCAACTACCATAAGCGAACTGAGATTTTTAAACATATACCCTGCAAGATACGAACCCTCTGTTTTAGAGAATGTCCTGAAATGCAACTTCCCCGAAAAGCATTCTCTCAAACCAGTTACATACGTATATTGGACCTGAGTGGATTGTCCAATGAAGAGCAATCTACTCCAAGCAATCCAGTCCTGCCATCTTCCATTCGTCGACTGATGTTGCTGGGGTATCTTGATGTCTCAGGCTTTCCTATTATATCCCTCCCTAAATCTTTCCACACACTTCAAAATATGCAGAGTCTAATTCTCTCCAATTGCTCTCTTGAAATATTGCCTGCCAACATTGGTAGCCTCCAAAAACTTTGTTATTTGGACCTATCAAGGAATAGTAACCTTAATAAACTGCCGTCATCAGTCACAGACCTTGTTGAGCTATATTTTCTAAACCTATCTGGGTGTGCTAAGCTTGAAGAGTTGCCTGAATCAATTAACAACCTTAAATGCTTACAGCATCTAGACATATCAGGTTGTTGTGCTCTTCAAAAGCTCCCTGGTAAATTCGGTAGCCTTGCTAAACTCTCATTTGTAAACTTGTCAAGTTGTTCAAAGCTAACCAAACTTCCAGATAGTCTTAACCTTGAGTCTCTAGAGCACCTAATCCTCTCAGACTGCCATGAGCTAGAACAACTACCAGAAGATCTTGGTAATCTTTATAGACTTGAGGTTTTGGATATGTCTGACTGCTACAGGGTTCAAGTGCTACCAAAAACCTTTTGCCAACTTAAGCATTTGAAATACCTTAATCTTTCAGACTGCCATGGGCTGATACAACTCCCTGAATGCTTTGGTGATCTCTCTGAGCTCCAGTCTTTGAACCTCACAAGTTGTTCTAAGCTACAGTCATTGCCCTGGTCATTATGCAACATGTTTAATTTGAAGCATCTTAATTTGTCATATTGCGTAAGTCTTGAAAGTCTTCCATCTTCACTTGGTGACCTTCGTCTTCAAGTCCTGGATCTTACTGGTTGTTATAATATGCATGGCTTGCCAGATAGTATCAGTAATATGAGTAGTCTCACCCTGCTTAACACTGCTACAGGATCAGAATGTGTGTTTCATAAGACTCAAATTATTAAAAAACATTTAAATTTGCCTGGCACTGTAGAACATGATGTGCATGAGATAGAAAATGCTGATTTCAGCAGTATAGTGGAGCTTGGGAGACTGCGTTGTCGTGAGCTGGAAGTTAGACATCTTGAAAATGTTGAGCGGCTAGAAGATGCTAGGAAAGCTAACTTGCGGGATATGGTGGAGCTTCGTTGGTTAAAATTTTCCTGGGAACTTGGTGGCACAAGAAGTGTGGACAAGGATAAATTGGTGCTGGAGAACCTCATACCTCCTCGGACTCTTGAAGAGTTTTTGTTGGATGGGTACATGTGCAAGGATTTCCCATCCTGGTTGACTGGCATATCCTCCTATCTCCCTTATCTCATGTGCATTAGGATCTGTAATTTAGCAACATGTGATTCTCTTCCTGCATTTGGCCAGTTGCCAAACCTAAGACATTTCAGGATGAATAACATGCCCAGCATTAGGAGAATTGGCAAGGAATTCTATGGAGAGGAAGGAAACTGTAAGAAATTAAGAGTTATTTGGTTGGAAAGAATGACTAACTTGGAAGAGTGGTGGACAACACGGTCCGGTAAAGAAGATGAAGAGTTCTTAATCCCTAATTTACATGTTTTGAAGGTAGATAACTGCCCAAAGTTGAGTTTCCTACCATATCCCCCAAGAAGTATGAACTGGTACTTGGACAGTAGCGACGAGGTGTTGCCAGAACGAGGATTCAGGAGCCTTGTGTCTTCCACTCTTCCTTTTCGTGTGGTCATAGGTAATTGCCACTTTTCCCCTGACAGGTGGGGCAGACTTGCCACCCTTGAGATTTTTGAAGTACATCGTTGCAGCGGCTTGCGGACGTTGCCCGATGTCATCCAGTGCTTTCTCTCTCTTAGAGCAAGTTTAATAGTATAGCCAACTACTAGCTCCAATTCAATTATAGCCAATATAATAGCCCATCCATACAATAGTTATGTACTACACTATTAATACCTGGTCCCATCTGTCATACACACACTGCGTCTTGGAGTCCGTGCTATAGCTGGCTACAAATCTGTAGCCCGCTGCTCTTCTCTCTCCTCATTTATTTCCTTAAAATATGTTTGCAGCTGGCTCCTGCTCTTAGAATACTAGAATTGGGGTTTTGGGAGGACTTGGAAATGTTGCCAGAATGGTTGGGGCAGCACGTTTCCCTTGAATACATTACCATCATTAATTGTCCCAAGCTAACATCTCTGCCTAAAAGCTTACTGAACCTTACCGCTTTAAGAGAACTGCGGTTGAAGGGATGCGAAGGGCTGGAGACGCTACCAGAATGGCTGAGGCTTCTCAGAACTGCCAAGGTGACTTTTCCACTTGATCGCTTGAAGAATATTATCGCTCTCAGAACTGCTGTTGGAGGGATGTGAAGGGCTGGAGATATCACCAGAATTGTTTGGACACCTTGCTTCGCTAAAATGCATTGAAATCCAAGGTTGTCCCGATTTGACAGATTTACCTGAAAGCATGAAGAATCTTATTGCTCTTGATGAGCTATGGTTGGGAGGATTCAGTAGCCTACCGGAATGGATAGGGAAGTTCATTTGTCTGAAACAAATTAACATCTTTGATTCGCCCAACATGACATGTTTACCGGAGAGCATACGGAACCATACCAGCTTGAAGGAACTATAACATTTGGAACTGTCCAAGACTCATTGAGAGGTGCCAAGGGGAGGATGCCAGCAATATTTCTTACATCCCTAGAATCATATTAATAATGAAATATTCATACCGGGACAAACAGCCGAAGGATCAAAGGTATGGAACCTCCCAAAAACCCAGTAATATTTATTCATTTCATTTGCATTTTCTTCAGCAGTATATTTGATGACCTAGGAATTCAGCAAATAATATTTATCTTCTCTATGATATATGTTATTCTTAGGTGCTATCTCTTAGTTGTGCAATTAGTTCAGTTCTCTTGCATGCCAAGTTAGTGTGTTGTGTGCCTGTGATGCCTCATTTGAGTACTGCTTAGTGTACGAATACTTTGTGTTAACGGGGATTAACGGATCCCTCGCTAGCTGTGCATGTTTTTGAATTGTCAGTTTTTTTCCAACTTGTGATATTTTCGGCAGCAGGTGTGATTCGTATTAATCATTTAATCGTATGTCATAATTTCTGCAGAACACGGCAGAGTGTGGGCATTCTTCTCAGGACAGAGAACATAAACAAGAGAGGCAAGACGAAGAAAAGCTCTACATGCATGTCTATTCCAGTGATTTCTGAATATGCTGCCATCTTAAGGTAACTATATCGCAGCCCCCGTACTGTGTTTCTTTGGTTGTTCCTCTCATTTACGAATAGAATGATTATTGTGCCCTTCTGCTTTAAACCATGTTCTGTCCTATCAGTTTTCACTTGCTACTCATGTTGTAGCACATTTGGCATCTCTCCAGTAATGACTAACCGTGTAGCTTGCTCTCAGGGACTGAAGCTCTAATTTGCATTGAGACCTTATACATTGCATTTCCAGTTCACCATAAAGAACATAGAACAGAACAAATAATCACATGATGATTCAACTGTTAAGATGCAATGGGCTTTGTGTGGCAGCGAATTCGAACAGGCCTTTGCTCTGGGCCGTTTCGAGAATCAACAGATTCTTGTCCTAAATGGATTGGCCATTTTCCCCTTCGACTATGTGAGCTTGCCCTACCTAATTCATGCGTATCATATCAGTGAACTGTAGGATTTAATTTGTGCAGTTGTACGCACGTAATCCAAGTATATAACTTGAAATAATAACGAACAAATTATAGTTATCAAATGAACAAATCCATGTATATATAACTTCAGTCAATCAGAATGGTCAAATACCACTGGCTACATAACCAGGAAGTAGAACTACTGTAGCTAGCTGTACAACGAAATAGATTCAGAACTTCAAATCATTATACTAATCAACCATACTTATATTATCGATAAGCAAGCGCGTTTTTATATAGGATAAGCAAGCTTTGACCCTTGATCTTACATAAAAACTCAACAAGATCCCAACTAGTACTCATTGCATGTCTGTACCTTTTACATGCAACCACACAACTCAGCTACAATACCATCAAGATGGCTATGATTTCCCAAGCATTTTTTCTCGCTATCATCTTCTTCATTCTTGTGCAGTTGCAAGCTTCTCCATCTCCTGCAATCCAAGCCTTGGTAGCTCCGATCACCAAGGACACCAAGACTGGGCTCCACACGCTCTCCATCTCCAACAAGAACTACCTGCTTGACCTCTCCGGACAGCTACTGTGGTCACCGTGCTCACCCTCCCACCCCACCGTCCCGTGCTCCTCCGGCGAGTGCGCCGCCGCGTCGGGGGCGCACAAGTCCTGCAACAACGGAGGACGCGCGTGCACCGCCCGCCCGACGAATCCGGTGACGGGCGAACGCGCCGTCGGCGACCTCACGCTCGCTGACATCGTCGCCAACGCCACCGACGGCAAGACGCTGACCTCCGAGGTCACCGTCCGGGGCGTCGTCTCGTCATGCGCGCCGGGCAGCCTCCTCAGGTCGTTACCGGCCATGGCGGCCGGCGACGCGGGCCTCGGCCGTGGCGGGGTGAGCCTGCCGACCCAGCTCTACTCGAAGCTGTCGCTTAAGCGGCAGTTCGCCGTCTGCCTGCCGAGCACGGCGGCCGCGCCCGGCGTCGCGTTCTTCGGCGGCGGGCCGTACAACCTGATGCCGCCGACGCTGTTCGACGCGAGCACCGTCCTCTCCTACACCGACCTGGCCCGGAGCCCGACGAACCCCTCGGCGTACAGCATCAAGCTCCGGGGCATCGCCATGAACCAAGAGGCGGTCCACCTCCCTCCCGGCGCGCTCAGCCGCGGCGGCGGCGTGACGCTCGACACGGCCGCGCCGTACACCGTCCTGCGGCGCGACGTGTACCGCCCGTTCGTCGCCGCGTTCGCCAAGGCGACGGCGAGGATAACGCGCATGCCGAGCGTGGCCCCGTTCGAGCTCTGCTTCAACAGCAGCGCGCTGGGGTTCACCAGGGTCGGCTACGCGGTGGCGCCGATCGACCTCGTGACGTCCGGCGGCCGGAACTGGACGGTGTTCGGGTCGAACTCGCTGGCGCAGGTGGCGGGCGACACGGCGTGCTTGGCGTTCGTCGACGGCGGGAGGGCGGCGCGGAGCGCGGTGACCGTGGGCGCGTTCCAGATGGAGAACAACTTTTTGCTGTTCGACGAGGCCGCTTCCAGGCTAGGGTTCAGTGGCACCCTCTTCTTCATCAGGACTACCTGTGGCAACTTCAACTTCGCAAGAAACTAAAATGGGCTCACCGTTTGCCACTATAATTCAAATTTCAAAATAAGGATATAATTCTCGCTTTTTTTGTTGTCAACTTGTCGTGACCATTTGTAACTTTGAATAAGAGCTTGTATTGGTGAGACATTGGTCGCTTGAACTAAGATACAAGCATTACGATTGTGCAGTGTTGGGACCAAGTGGATATCTTGAATGGCCGTGAATGCGTTTTGCTCTAACACGTAAACCATAGTATTAGTATCTTTTTTTCTTCTCTTTTGGTAGTCAAACTGTGACTCTTGATTTGGAGGAAAAACATAGGAATTTTAGAGGATTTCAATCTTATAGGAAAATTTCCTATGAAGCCCTTTGAAACAAAGGATTGAATCATATCTAATCCTTTGAAATTCCTATGGAATGGACAATCCTATAGAGATTTTAGAGGAAATTTAGCAAGAGCTTCAACCTCTTGCTAACTTTCCTTTAAGTCTATATCTCTCATCTAATTCCTGTGTTTTCCCTGTGGTTCAATCAAACGGTCATTCCTTTGTTTTTCCTACATTTTGCAATCCTCTGTTTTACTCTTACATTTCTATTAAAATCCTACGTTTTTCCTATTCTATGTTTTCTTAATCCTACGATTCAAAGGGGCCCTTTGAATTAATGGAAAAACCATAGAAATTCTAGAGGATTTTATCCTATGGGAAATAATTCTATAGTCTTTTGAAACAAAGGATTGTTTTCTATCAATTCCTTTGAAATTCCTATTGAATGAAACTTACTAGAGCAATCTTACTAGAGCAATTTTGGAGAAAAATAAGCATGAGGTGCATGAGGTCTCACCTCATGTTTTCCTCTTCATGTGTCTAAGTTTCCTGCGTTTTTTCTGTGTGCTAATCAAACTACACCCGTGTTTCAAAATCCCATAGGAATTCAATAAGTGTGGCATTCAATTCCTACGTTATTCCTATTTCTCTGTTTTCTTAATCCTGCGATTGAAAGGGGTCCTGAAGTACTAAACCATATTGCATCTGATTCGATTTGTCTTGGCAAAGTGAGAAGATAAGGTTGATGGTCCCGTGGCGTGTTTGGGGAGAAGACTCTTGTGTCGGCGCGGCACTGTCTGTTCCTGCGCGAGAAGATGAGATGAGTTTTCGTTAAGAGCTTTGTGTTGTTTGTGCTGTGTTTGCGCCGTTGACTCTGCCGCGTATTGCTCGGTACTCCATCGCAAGATCCGACATGGTAGCAGCTCTGAAGTCTGAACCCCCAATAATCAATCCAGATTTTCGCAGTCGATGCAGATTGCAATGCTGTTGTGGTGAGAGATCGGGGAGATGCGTTCGAGATGCCTGCGTTATGGCGTTCGTTGAGATCGGAACAATCTGCTTTGGCCATGTTTAGTTTTAAAGTTTTTCTTTAAACTTTCAACTTTTTCATCACATCAAAACTTTCCTACTCATATAAACTTCTAACTTTTCCATCACATCGTTCCAATTTCAACCAAAATTTCAATTTTGACGTGAACTAAACACAACCTTCGTTGTAAATTCTTGAGATCAGGAATGACCGGCCTGTTTGGAAGGTATTTTTTCGGCTTACTGCACATTTGTAACCTGCAGTCCTTCAAGTTCAAAGCAGACACTGAATTGAACCGGCAAACAAACCCAATCTCACTAGTGTCAAAATCTGTGTGCTGCTGCCTCTGCAATTCTGAAACCGATCTCCTGTGTCCCCAGTGTCAAATTCAGGCTGCTACACCAACTTCCTACCCTACACAAACGGCAGTGAATAAACAATCGTTGAATCCAACAGAAGGGAACGTCCGTGACAAAGAAACGTCCCACTGTACCACATTCCCATCAACAAAAGTTCCAGATTTGCGTCCTAACTCCTAACCAAGTGACCAAAGCCGAACTCTCCCTTCATCTTCATGGAGTCCAGCCTGGTTGCAAAACGTGTGGCATTTGCAGCTTCACTTCATCACGTGTACTATAAATAAAGAAGAAATGGCCGCGTCGCACCAAGACACACACAAGCTTAGCTACGTACAACATTCATCATCCATCACCCATATCGTTCAAGATGCCGCCACGAAACGGCAACCTCGTCCTCGCCGCCGCCGCCGCCGCGCTGCTCGTGCTGCTGGCGTCGCCGCCGTCGTGCTCCGCCGCGGCGCCTCGTCGTCGGGACCCCGTGGTGGTTCCCGTCACCAGGGACCCGGCCACCTCGCTCTACACCATCCCCGTCAGGTACTACGACAACCTCGTCGTCGACCTCGCCGGCCCGCTCGTCTGGTCGACGTGCGCCGCCGACCACCTGCCGGCGTCGCTGTCCTGCCAGGACCCGACGTGCGTGGTCGCCAACGCGTACCGTGCTCCGACCTGCAAGGTCACCGGCGGCGGCGGCGACTGCAGCAAGAACGTGTGCACGGCGTACCCGTACAACCCGGTGACCGGGCAGTGCGCCGCCGGGAACCTTGCCCACACGAGGTTCATCGCCAACACCACCGACGGCAAGAACCCTCTGATCCAGGTCTCCGTCAAGGCCGTGGCGGCGTGCGCGCCCAAGAGGCTCCTGGCGCGGCTGCCGCGCGGCGCCACGGGCGTCGCCGGCCTCGCCGCCTCCGGCCTCGCGCTCCCGGCGCAGGTCGCGTCGTCGCAGGGCGTCGCCGGCAGGTTCCTCCTCTGCCTCCCGAGGCTCGGGTACGGCCAGGGCGTGGCCATCTTCGGCGGCGGCCCGATATACCTCGGCGAAGGGCTGCCGGACTTCACGACGACGCTGGACTACACCCCGCTCGTCGCCAAGAGAGACAACCCCGGCTACTACGTCACCGCCAACGCCATCGCCCTCGATGACGCGCGGCTACCCCTCCCGAGCGGCGCGCTCGCCGCCGGCGGCGTGGCGCTGCGCACCGCCGTGCCGTTCGGCCAACTCCGGCCGGACGTGTTCCGCCCGTTCGTCCGGGAGTTCGAGAAGGGCCTGAACCGGAGCGACGCGAAGGTCGCCGCCGTGGCGCCGTTCCCGCTCTGCTACAGGGCGTCGATGCTGGGGAACACGCGGATCGGCTACTTTGTGCCGGCGGTGAGGCTGATGCTCGCCGGCGGGAAGAACTACACGATGACGGGGACCAACTCGATGGTGGACGTGAAGGGGGGCAAGGCGTGCCTGGCCTTCGTGGAGATGAAGTCCGGCGACGCCGCCAGTTCGCCGGCGGTGATCCTCGGAGGGTTCCAGATGGAGAACATGTTGCTGCAGTTCGACTCGGAGAAGAAGCGGCTCGGGTTCGCGAGGCTGCCGTTCTACACGTCGTGCAGTAACTTCAATTTCACCAAGACTCAGTAGATAATTTACTTACTTACCACTGTTTCGCGGCCATGTAACTGTAACTGTAATGTCGGTGTCCGGCATGCCATATGCCCGTATCTGTCACCCATTTAAGAACTTTGCTTTTAATATATAGTCCATCTACCATCTACATGCAGTATTTGAAAAATGTTCCACGTGATGCGAATATTTGATGTTGAGTTGTGATCCAAATTTATTTGTACTTAATAGAGGCCAATTTATGTCGTAGTGGAGCGGAGGCCCGTCACCGGTAGGCTTAGGCCGGGGGTACGGATCATCGTCCCGTCACCGGTAGGGTTAGGCCGGGGATACGGATCATCGTCCCTTTTAAGGTTCCACATATATATATATACCTCTTGTAAGCCGCCGTGCGGCGTTGTAACCTCGCTCAGATATAGTGAAGATATTTTGCTGGCTGACGCCTGTGGTTTTTTTCTCTTATGTTATAGGAGGGTTTTTCACGTTAAATCTCGTGCCTTATGTGATTAATCTATTGTTATTTATCGTTTATTTGCCTATCATTTCATAACATTTGAAATTGATATCGGATTAAACACGCTGATGAAATGTTCTTGGATTAATTTAGCCGTAGGATGGAATTTGAACGTGAAATGAAGGCCGTTTTGGGCCCTGAAATCTGGGCCTCACAAAGGCCTGCTCGCTACCTGACGTGATGCACAAAAGGCCCAGTTTGTACAATTGGGCCTTTGGCCTAGCAGAGTCCACGTGAGCCCAGTTTGGCAGATCGAGTTCAAAATCCTCGGGAGAACACGCGGCCGCGCGCACCGGAATTCACAGGGCTCCGCCCAATCGAGAGCCTAAAAATCTCTACAATTTCAACGCGAATCCTACACGAAACATGGGGATTTTCTTGGATGGCATCTGGCGCTCGCGCCGGTGGATGGATCTCGAACGGGGTGGAATTTCTCGAACCCATGTACGCGTTTGACTTGATGGAAATGGTTGATGCCTCCAGCTAGCGCGCATTGACCAAGATCCGATTTGTATGCTAGTGGGATCAACTAAACAATGCAGATCTCGTTGTTTTCAATGCGTAGAACTCTGTCACGACCTGGCAAGTTTTTTGGTCACTCAAGCAACCTTCGCTTGCACTCTGCGCTCAGAGTCATGAGCACCACCACTTCGGAAGTACTACGTGCTCGAAAATGTGATCACCGACATTGGGATACTCAATTCCATGGCTGTAATCACCCATGTGATGGAACAGAGTGACAATTAATGCACATGTAATAGCTGATAGCTTAACTCACCCGAGCACACTAAACTGGCCTAGATCAAGATTGCTAACTAGATGTCATGGCGTGCTGGAGATAAAAACTGTTTATAATTTAGAAAACACCAGGTCTGGATCCCCAGCGATAGCAGAGAAATGTCACACGCATTCTGCTGTGCTGCACAGGTGCTGCGACGTACTGAGTATATAAACCATCACACTTGGACACACCAATTCACAGTGCGTGCTAGCTAGTTTGCCCAGGCTAATAACCAGCAATGTCGCTCCACCTCCTCCTCGCCGTCTCGCTCTGCGTCGCCTTGGCCTCGTCGTTGCCATGGGCAGCAGCTAGTGCCAATGGCAATGGCAATGGCAAGCCGCTTGTCGCGGCCATCACCAAGGACGCGGCGACCTCGCTCTACACCGTCCCCATCAAGGACGGCCGCCCGCTCGTCCTCGACCTCGCCGGCGCGCTCGTCTGGATGTCGTGCGCCGCCGCGCACCCGACGCTGGAGTGCCACCACCACTTCTGCATGCACGCGCACAGCTACCACCCGCCGGGATGCCCCCACAATGGCTATGGCCGCGCCGACGTCGAGGACCCGTTCCGGTGCAAGTGCACCGCCCACCCGTACAACCCCTTCTCCGGCGAGTCGGCGACGGCCGACCTGACGCGGACGAGGCTGTCGGCGAACGCCACCGACGGCAAGAACCCGCTCTACCCGGTGTCGTTCGCCGCCGTCACCTCCTGCGCGCCGGATTCCCTCCTCGCGAAGCTCCCCGCCGGCGCCGTCGGCGTCGCCGGGCTCGCGCGCACCAGGCTCGCGCTGCAGGCGCAGGTGGCGCGGTCGCAGAAGGTCGCCAACAAGTTCGCGCTCTGCCTCCCCAGCGGCGGCGGCGGCGACGGCGTGGCGATCTTCGGCGGCGGCCCGCTCTTCCTCCTCCCGCCGGGGCGTCCCGACGTGGCGGCGACGCTCGCCGGCGAAACTCCCCTCCACCGCAACAAGGATCTCCCCGGATACTTCATCTCGGCGACCAAGATCGCCGTGAACCAGGAGCAGGTGCAGCTCTACACCCAAGAGCCGCTCGTCGTCGAGCTGTGCACGAGGATCCCGTACACGGCGCTCCGGCCGGACGTGTACCGAGCGGTGGTCGACGCGTTCGCCAGGGCCACCGCCGGCCGGAAGCGCGTCACGCCGCCGCCGCCGCCGGCGGCGCCGTTCGAGCTGTGCTACGACTCGCGCGATCTGGGGTCGACGCGGCTGGGCTACGCCGTGCCGCAGATCGACCTGGTGCTGGAGGGCGGCAAGAACTGGACGGTGTTCGGCGGCAACTCGATGGCGCAGGTGAGCGACAACACGGCGTGCCTCGCGGTGGTGAAGGTGAAGGGGGAGAAGGGCAGCCCGCCGCCGCCGGCGGCGATCATCGGAGGGTTCCAGATGGAGAACAACCTGGTGGTGTTCGACGAGGAGAAGCAGCGGCTCGGATTCAGCGGCCTGCTCTGGGGGAGGCAGACCACCTGCAGCAACTTCAACTTCACTCTCGCCGCCTAGATCGAGTCGATTCCTCGAGCTCATAGCTTGCATTTGCATCGGAGATGTGCATGCATTTTTTTTTGGCATTATTATTATTATGAGTTGTGATTTGTAACAAGTACATTTCGATGAATAATGGAGAATACCACAGATTTGTTACTGAGAGCCTGAAATCGAAGAGGAATACAGGAAAAAAAATGTCAAAGCTTAAAGCGAAGTTACTGAAAGCCTGAAATCGAAGAGGAAAACAGGAAAAAAAAATGTCGAAGCTAAAAGCAAAGGGGAAAGCAGGGAAAAAAATTGGGGTTTAAGCTCAGAAGGTGCATCATCTGTCCCGAATAATATCAGGTAGAGCGCCGGACCCGCCGGTGCTGGTGCTTTTCGTCATTGCTTGACGATGCAATCGCTACGTGCGGAACTATTTAAAATGGTCGATCGTAATGTGATTGAGCAGTACGGTACTAAACTTAACTCCGACGTTGCGAGGCAGTTATGGGCCATGTTGGGCTTGGTTTAGTCCTGCCGTTCTGAGGCAACGATGGGCCGGGCCTTCCTTTCCAGTCCAATTGACAGAACGCGGTGGAATTGCCCTGCACACCTGAAGGAGTATCTACCACTTGGGGGGAAAGGCAGAAATGATGGTACACTTCGCAGATGATTGAGATTTGTGATTCACATGCTTAGTTAATTTGAACTAGCACTGTACTGTTTTTTTTCCCTTAAAGAAAGGGAAAGATCACGTTCAAGATTACTCCCTCGGTTCTAAAATAAGTGTAACTGCTGATGAATTCTAACAACCTGTCAAACCATGGATTGTTGAACTAGTCCCACAAACATAGCAAGCAATTCAAGCTGAAATGCAGCAGTTTACAGCGGTGTTCGTCTGGTACACATGCTACATGAACCCCATCAGGTCCTGCATTTTTTGTGGAAACAAAGTCCTGAATGACATATTGACCTTTCAGTTAAAAAAACCTTCCAGTTTTTAGCACCCCATATATCTGGTGAAAACACCAAGAGGAAGCGAGAATTTAGCATTAGCATCATCTGCTGTATTTTGCATCAGACCTTCAAATTCCAGACTAGGTGAGGACATCGATCCGGCGGTGGGAATGAGAACTGCTTTTCGCCAAGACGATTCTGTTCAACACATATGGGGCTAAACAGGAAACCCAACAGATAAGAAAGACATGTCGTCAGGATTCAACTTGTTGGAGAGATCTGTTAGACATCATTTACTAATTTTCTAAACTTTATGTCCTTCAGCTTTCTCTTATGCACTGCATTCAACTAGAAACTCGATCTGACCATGAATTGGATAAGTAGCCCGTGCAGATAACACCACTGCTCGGTGGTCTAAGACATTCAGGGCAGAGGAAGAGAGGAAGGTTATAGTCGATCGACTATATAGTGTATACGTTAGTGATCCTTATTTTTTCCACACATATGCATCAGATGTGCATCCATTTTTTTTTCATTATTATTATGAGTTGTGTTTTGTTACAAGTACAATTCAATGAATAATGGAGAAAGGCCACAGATTTGTTACTGACTCAGAAATTTCTGAGATGTGATCAATGCATCGCTGAAAGCCTGAAACCGAAAAGGAAAACAGGAAAAAAAAAGAAGGTAAAAGCTGAAAGCTTGAAACCGAAGGGGAAAACAAAAAATCGTCAAAGCTCGGAAGGCACACCCATCTTGTCCCGAATGGTTAAATCAGGTAGACACACCGGACCCGCCGGTGTTGGTGCTTTTCGTCATTGCTTCGTTGCAATTGCTACGTGCGGGAGTATTTAAACAGGTCGGCCATAATGTGATTAAGCAATACGGTACTAAAAAAAGTCTAGTGCCCCAAATCGAAGCGACTGCCAGGGCTTCCGGTTGGGCCGGAAGGTGACATCCAACAGAGACAACTCAGACTTAGTTAGGCTGGGCTTTGCCCTGCCGTTTTGAAGCAACGATGGGCCGCGCCTCTTCAAAAAAAAAAAGAATTTTCCATTTCCAGCCCAATTGTGAGAAGTGTTGGATGTGGTACGGGCTACGACACACTACAGCATACACGAATTATCAAATTTATTGACCCGTAAATGTATACTACGAAGATTAACAGCCCCATCGCAAAACGACGTATTTACAAACGAAAAAAAAAATTATAAATAAACTTTTATATATATGTGTTCTTAGCGATATAAAATCAAAGGCTGAAAATAAACTTCGATAAAAAACCCCAAAATCAACTTCAAATTTAAGATTGAAAAATCAAAATTTGGCTGATAAGAATAAGCATAAGCACAAGCGAAAAGATAAGGCCGTAAGATTAAGTGTAGGCATACAAAATGAGAAAATCGTCAACACATGATTAATTGAGTATTAATTATTATTATAAATTTAAAATTGATTTTTTTCAAAATATATTTGAAAGCAAAACAACTTTTACATAAAAAGCTTCCGCATAAGACACAGTGTTTCAACCGTTTGAAAAACATACTAATGAAAATTAAGTTAAAATCTAATCTTAATAGTAAAAGAACGGGGCTGCAACAACTTCAACTTCTCTCTTGCGGCCTAGATCGCATCAGATGCTAAAGTTAAAAGTCATTATCAATACATACTGGACTTGAAAATTGAAGAGGAAATCACCAGATGCTGTCAAATCATCCTGGGATTGAAGAAAAAAATTCCTAGATTACGTCAGATGGATACTGAAGTCGTTGTCAAAAATGCATATTGAAATCGAAGATAAAAAAACATGTCAAAGCTCAGTGGTGCACAATCTCTGTCCTAAATGATCAGGTGAATACGCCGGACCCGCCAGCGTTGATGCATTTCGTCATTGCTCGGTGATGTACTTGCTCCATGCCGGACTATTTAAACCGGTCGGACATAATGTGATTAAGCGGTATGGTACTAAAAACGTAGCGAGTGTGCGTGCTAGGGGTCCCTCGTAGGGTATAACAACCAATGGCCCAAGTCTGATATAGGCTTTACTAGGATGAGCTTAGTCCGACCGTTGTGAGGTCAACTTGGCTTGGCTTAGTTTGACCGTGTTGAGGCAATGATTTACAGGGCTTTTCTTCTCACAAAAAAAGAAAAGAGAGACCGCTTCATTTCCAGCTCAATTTACAGAAGTGTTTTTTTTTGAACGGTCAATTTACAGAAGTGTTTGATATGGCACTCAAGTAAATAGGCCATATATAGGGTCTTTAACTGGAGGAAAGTACTCCAGAAGGCTGTATATCGTAGGTGCACTTTGCATTTTATGAGTTGTGTTCTGTTACAGTTTTCCCGACAAATGGTTTCAAAAAATATAAAAGAAACAATTTTTATTTTATGAATTGTGATTTGTTACCATTTTTTGACGAATGATTTCAAAAGATAAGAATGCAAAAGGAAACTTATGAAAGCTCAGTAGCGCACACGTCCTTAAATATATGGAGAATGCACTGGACCCACCAGTGCTGGTGCTTTTCGTCATTGCTTGCGATTGGTTACATTGGAGGACTATATAAAGTGGTCGTGCATGATGTGATTAAGCGGTGCGGTACTAAAGAACGCGACGAGTAAAAGGTCGAAGCCATATGGCATGGGCTTGAAGTTGGGCCGGAATGTATGAGTGGAAGGGCCTTCTGTTGGCTCGGCCATCAGCTCAGCTGGGCTGCTTTCCATTGTATTGTACTGTGAGAGCTTCAACTATCTGAGTAATCAACCTGTTTTCTTGAGTTCTACTCCCTCGGGGACGAAAAGGAAGAAGTCAGAAAATGAGTTGGAGTCATTATTTTGTGTGTATACCCGACAAGATGGCTGAGGCAGTGAGGTGTAGTACGTGATTCACATGCTTGATTCATTTCATCTATATTTGAAACAAATAAAATAAATTCGCGTTTATAGTTCTATAGAACTAGGACACTCGAATCTCGATCGAGCCCATCCACGTGCCGACTGCCCACGAGTCAACTTCGTTTGCCGACTCCGATGTAAATCACCACCGTGCAACAACGGCATGGCTCGTTTTTCTTTCCTATGCATGGTGCATTATATTTCCTCTCTGCAATACTATTTGCCATCGGTCACGTTCACGTGTATATATGCCACCGTCACGCCTTCTCCAGGGCTAATTTATTCGCCGTGCATGCATACATGATGCTCACATTAAAGCACGTGTAACGGTGTAAGCATCTGGCGATTGCATATTAATTTGCATGGCGAAGCTTCCAATTGAATGATACAAAAATTGAAAACAAAAAATTAGTACTTACTACCTGACAGGCCACGACCACTAGCTCGATCTATATAAAGAGCAAACCATGCATTCATCAAATCACATCAGATTACCACACACTAATCACGATTAGCCTAACAAAACTCACGTACATATATACACGGTACACCATGTCGTCGCCGCAGGCCAAATCCAAAGGCAAACCGCTTCTCCTGGTGGTCATCTCCTTCCTCGCCGTGTTGCCGTGGCACACGCTGGCAAGCGGCGGCGGCGGCAAGCCCCTCGTCACGGCCGTCACCAAGGACGGCGCCACCAAGCTCTACACCATCGCCGTCAAGGACGGCCACCCCCTCGCCCTCGACCTCTCCGGCGAGCTCGTCTGGTCGACCTGCGACGCCTCCCACTCCACCGTCCTCCCCTACGAGCGCGAGTGCGTGGAGGCCAACCACTACACGCCGCCGAGCTGCTGGATGCAGTACGGCGGCGCCGGCGGCGACTACCGCTACGGCAACAAATGCACGGCGCACCCGTACAACGGTGTCACCGGGAGGTGCGCGCCGGGGGACCTGACGCGCACGGCGCTCGCCGCGGACGCCACCAACGGCAGCAACCCGCTCTACCCGGTCACCTTCCCGGCCGTCGCCTCCTGCGCGCCGGGCTCCCTCCTCGCCTCGCTCCCCGCCGGCGCCGTCGGCGTCGCCGGTCTCGGGCGATCCGACCTCGCGCTGCACGCGCAGGTCGCGGCGACGCAGAACGTCGCCAAGAAGTTCGCGCTCTGCCTCCCGAGCGTCGCCGTCTTCGGCGGCGGCCCGTTCGTCCTCATCTTCCCCTACTCGCGGCCGGACATCATGCAGAAGCTGTCCTACACCGCGCTCCGCCGCAGCCCGGAGCTCGCCGGCGGCAATGGCGGCGGGTACTACATCACGGCCAAGAGCATCGAGGTGAACCACCACCAGGTGCCACTACCCAACCACGGGGCGCCACTCGTCGTCCAGCTGAGCTCCATGGTTCCGTACACCGAGCTCCGCCCCGACGTGTACGGCCCGTTCGTCAAGGCGTGGGACGAGATCCTGCAATGGCCGAAGAAGGTGGCGCCGCCGGTGGCGCCGTTCGAGCTGTGCTACGAGAGCCGGACGATCGGCTCGAACCGGCTCGGCTACGCCGTGCCGGACATCAACATCAACCTCGAGGACGGCGCGGCGTGGTACATCTTCGGCGGCAACTCGCTGGTGCAGGTGGACGACGCCACGGCGTGCTTCGCGTTCGTCGAGATGAGGCCGGAGAAGGTCGGGTACGGCCCGGCGGTGGTGATCGGCGGGCACCAGATGGAGCACAACCTGGTGGTGTTCGACGAGGAGAAGCAGCAGCTCGGCTTCAGTGGCCTCCTCTTTGGGCTCCAGACCACCTGCAGCAACTTCAACTTCACTGTCGCTGCCTAATGGTTTACAGTTAGTACATAGTTAGTACTAAAATTGAATAAGAGAACCATGTGTCCACTGTGATCGGCCCTCTAGCAAGAACTTAAGTTATAGAGGTCATAGATTGTTGTGAGCCATTTACTTGAGTTATGGAGGTCGTGCTGGTTTGCATGGATCAAGATTCATTGCGATTTTTCCTATCAGATAAAATTCAATGCGATTTCGTATTTGCTCATACTTTAGATCGATCCATCTATCTTGTGTTACCTTCAGATCAACACAAGAGCATATGTGCTTCCAGTGCAGTACACATAGTTCTATAGTTTTATAGTAGTACTAGTACCACACTATCACTTCAATGGAATTCTCACTCGATCCCAAAATGAACTATACATAACATGGGACGTTAGGGAAAGTACTACGAATCATATTGCATTACAATGTGTTATATCGTGAATGTATTAGATTTGTTTATTGTGGATTGGAGGAGTAGATCGAGAGTGAAGCTTGACACGATCAGCGGCTTTGGATACATGCTCACTGCAGACACGTGCAATCTTGCGCAGAATCTAACGGGCTTTGCTGCCCAGATTTGCCTAAACCGGCCGGCAGCTAGCTCATCTTTGATTGCAAAATTTGACCTTTTCACCTTGTGATTATCTAAGTCAGCCAATCTTATCGCAAGTCACATTAGTCAACCGTAGGGAGAAGTGTTGTATATACTCCCTCTGTCCCCGGATTTTAAGTTTTTGCTTGCAACGTTTGACCACTCGTCTTATTCAAAAATTTTTGAAGTTATTATTTATTTTATTTGTGACTTACTTTATTATCCACGGTACTTTAAACACAACTTTTCATTTTTTATATTTGCAAAAAAATTTTGAATAAGACGAGTAGTCAAACATTGCAAGTAAAAACTGTCACGCCCCGAACTAGCCCCGAGCGGGACTAGCCCGTGACGCTCCAAATTAACCTGTTAATCGATATCAGTCCCAGGAAACAGTGCTGGTATCACAGGAAGACAGAATATCACAGCAACAGAGGTCTCCTTATTATAGAGTAGGAGTACAGTCATGTTGGGCTGCGGACAGATCCCGAGCTCACAACTGCATTACAAAAGGGAAGCGGAAGCCAAGACTTGGATCACACATCACATGCGCGACTTGGGAACTAGGCCGAAACCCTAAAACTCATCGTAGCCGACTTGCTCCTGGAAGAACTCCTCGTCAGCGGGATCCACTTCATCTTCTTCAGCAACTGGGGGGGGATTATTTATATAGAGCAAGGGTGAGTACAGGAGTACTCAGCAAGCCATGGAAAATAAGTGTTTAATGCAGGCTTCAAGGAAAGGCTGTTGTTTTTGCAATTGATTTTATTTAAACTCTTTTCTGAAACAACTAAGTGAGTGCTTCTCAAACGACACGGATGAGACAGTGCGTCTCGTCCGGTCGGAGTATGTGCAATGTATCAGTCTTTTGAATTGATCAAGATTGGCACCTGGCCAACAGCTTTCAAACGGCCACCCGGGCCTGGCTGATCCCATCAGCCGCAGATTTTCCAAACATCAATCCCAAACCACATCAGCAAATTTCACAAAGCAGTAGTCAAACAAAACTACGCTAGGAATCACCTCACATCCGCCCATGACCGTGGGCACGGCTGTTCGAACAGTTTAATAATCTCTGCAGAGGGGGTACACTTTACCCACACAACATTACTAACCCGGATCATCCAGCCCGTGCAGAACAGCCACGACTAGAGACCTTAAGGCTTTCATGACAAGACATTTCGAAAGCCGACACAGGTTCACCATATGCCAACGAGAGGGGTCCCAAACCAACACCAGATTAGGTCCCAGACCATACTGTGCCAGGAAACCCGGGGGTTCTCCCCGACACCACCCCGTTGAATCCACATGTCTCTTGGCATCATGGCTCCCCCGTTTAGCTAGTTACTCAGCCAGGGGTGTCCCATTCCACCCATGTGGTCGCACTTGTCTTATGTTCGGATGAAATTCCAAGGAAACGGTCCTTAAGTGCAAGAGCGGGAAACCATACACCCGGTACGTTCCCCGGTCCGCGATTTTGGAAATTCATTTAGTTCGCAAGCACCGACCCAGGTGTCGGGTTTTCCAAGTCTTTTGTAAAACCCAAGTTTTACCCAAGATGTTTCTCAGATTTTAAGGTTGAAGGCGACCGTCGATACTCGTGCAGAGTGCACGATTACCGAGGCGCAACTAGGTGGTTACAAGGGAACATGGTATAACAATTAACAAAGGAAGGATCAGACGCAATGAGCTAGGTAGGCCCATCGGTCTGCCTTGCAGACTGGGCAAACAGATTAAGTGCAATCCTATCAATGCATAATATTTTTCAAGCAACATAATTAAGTTCAAATATAGGCTCAAGATGTTCAAGGGTGGCTTGCCTTGCTCGAGATCTTGAGCTTGATCCTCGAAATCCTCGCACTGCGGGTCTTCGGGCTCCGGAACTACACGCGAAACGGGACAACTCAGCAAACGGCGAAAATAAAGCCCTATTATTGACCTCTAAGCATGCCATTAGATAGATCTCGAGATTTGAGGAATTTTGGAAGTTGAACGGAGTCAAACGGACTTACGGTTGGGAAGATATTGAATTTCTAAGATTATTGGATTTTTGGTAAAAAAAAAGAATTTATTTAAATGCTTTTTGAAAAAGAAAAGAAAAGAAAAGAAGGAGGGAGGCAAATTAGACTTTCCTCGGGCGGCTGGGGCGCGGCCCGAGAGAAAAGGGCGGCTCGTCCAAACTTAACGGGCCGGCCGGCCCGAGAAGGCGGCCCAAAACATGCGCGCGGGCAGGGAGGAGAGAGAGAGCCGGTGGGCCGGGTCCATCCCGCGTGGTCCCGGGTGGGACCCGCTTGTCGGCGACTCGGTTCACCGTGAGCGAGGTGCACGCGGGGCGTGCTAGGGTTTGGGGAGGTGAGGCGCAGCGCATGCGCGCGGTTCGCGGAGGACGCGGTGCGGCGGGGCCACGCGCAGCCTCACGGCTCGCGGTGGACCGCACGCGCGAGTGGGGCGGAGGGAAAGCGGCGGACCGGGGTCAGCTTGACCCGGTCGCGGCCGAGGTGGCGCCGACGTGGCGCTTACGTGGCTGCCACGCGGGCCGGCGGGAGGTAGACGACGACGTCGGCCGGAACGGACGGCGGACGACGGTGGCGGGCGGCGGAGCGAACCACGGCGATACAGGCGAAAGCGAGCACACCGGGAAGTTGCTCGGGACGAGGGGAGACGAGCCAACGGCTCGGATTCGCTGGGGGATGCTCGACGGCGGCGGATTGCGGTGGCGGCAACCGGCGGCGGGAGAAGGGGGAAACAGCGATGGCGCGACGGGAGACCGATTCGGGCGAGCTAGAGCATCTACGCGACTCCGGGAGTCCGTTGCTAGCGTAGGATTGGGCGGAGCTACGTCGAGCGAGGCCGGCGACGAGCGGGTGCTACGGAGCACGGGCGGCGACGGCGGCGAGCACACAGCGACCGGCGGCAACGGTCGGGGCGGCGCCAGCTAGCTACGGGGAGGCTACTCGTGCTACTACCCGAGTCTAAGGGGAGGAGATGGAACGAGGAGGGAGAACGGAGAGAGGCACTACCGTGCGGGGGTGATGGGGCGCAGTGACATGAGGCCGACGGCACGGGAGTTATCTCTCCGGGCCTCGGGCCGGGGAAGAGGAAGAAGACGAGCACCCGGAGTCCCCTTCCGCGTCCTAGCGCGCACCGGCTCCTCCGGCACACGCGACGGCGGCGGTCGGCGAGAGGGACGACAATGGCGTGGGTGAAAAACGGGGGAGATTGGGAGGGGAAAAAGGAAGGGAGGGTGCCTGGGTTTATAGGGCGGCAATGTTGGTTTGGAAACCGACCTTGGGCGGTCAAGGGAGCGAGCCAGCGCTCGGCGGTCGCGGCCCCAACGGCGACAGGGGGGGAGGATGACGCCGGCGGGAGGAAAAAGGGAAAAAGAGGGAGAGAAAGGGGGCTTGCCCCCTTGCCACTTTGGGGAAAAGGAGGAGGGAGAGAGGGCGATGCGGCAGAGGTGGGGGGAGCTCTGCCTCCGTCCCTTGGAAGCACGCGCGAGGAGGGGCGGGGCCAAGGCGATGACGACGGCGATGACGGCCGGGCGGTTTGGAGCGGAGCGACGACACGGGCGGCAGGCGCTGACGGCGGCGGCGACTGGCCGGTCGGCCACCATGGCACGCGTGCGCGCGGGAAGCAACGGGCGGCGTAGCGATTTAGGCGGCGTCGGCGGGAAACGGCAGCGAGGGCGGAGGGCGCTCGGCTCGGCGCGGCTCACGCGCACGCGTGCGCAGCGCACGGGCAGAGTGGGGGAGAGGGAGAGAGAGAGAGATGGGGAGGGAGGGGGAGATGGGCCGAGAGGGATTCGGCCCATCGAACCTGAGGGAGGCGAAATAGACTTTTGCGGAGGGATTTGATTTGGGAAGGATTTGGATTCGGGATTGAACTTGGCGATCGATCGGAGATTTGAGATCCGGAATTGGCACGGACACTAGACAATAAGCAAGGAAACAGATTTCGAAATTAGGGTTTTTAGGAATTACATTTTCCCGCTAGGCGCCACGACGGAACGGGCGCTACAGAAACTCAAATCCCTTTATACTGTGGGACTGAGGGAGTACTATCGGAGATATGGGCCCGGGGGTATGTGGAGTAGAGGGGAATTATTTTCCTCTCTGGCCACGTGACTCCACAGGTTGGCCCCACTCGCGCGCCACGCGAGTCGTAGAAGCGCCGAGGAGGGGCCTCGGGGCATGACGTCACCCCCTCGGGCTCTCCCGCGGCTTCGCCCCGAGGCCCTCGCCCAGCTGCCACGCGGCAGAGAGAGAAAGAGCAAGAAGGGAGCGCAGGCTGAACAGCCATAAATGTGCGACGCCCCAACTGTCCCTCACCGCAGTTAATACGGTAAGGGCAGAGACGTGCGGCGTGCCTAGCGAACCCCTGTTCATCGGATGTGACCGGTCTGTGACCGGCCCGTCTCCGTCACATCCGTTGGATAGGGCGACCATGTCCTCACGTCGCCCTTGTCCCCGACGGAGTGGGGGTGGGTATGACCCGTCACATCCGAGCGCAACTCGATGAGGGGCTGTTGCATGTCATCGTTCATTTATAAGGGAATGACAGGGCTGACCCCCGTGTCAGGCGGAGGACGGCGCCGGGTTCCGCGCAAGAATCAGTTATTGCTTAGCTTCCGAGAGAAGGCACAGTTTGAAAACCCAAAAAGATGGAGTGGGGTTCCCCCCATGGAGGGTAAGTAGAGGCGGCGCATGTGGCATCCCCTTAAGCTATAAAAGGAGGACCCTACCCACGGAGATGGGGGACGACTCCCAGAAAACCTGAACTTGAGAAGGAAAGACGCAGGTGCGCTCTCTGAGGGGGAGGAACCCTTGTAAAAATCATTCATAATCCCAAACACAGGAGTAGGGTGTTACGCTCGATAGCGGCCCGAACCTATATAATCCGACTGCGTGCATTCACTCCTGATAGTCGTAGGGACGAGCAAACGACTAACGAGAGGAGAGCCTCCGCCCCCGGCCGAACTCACGAAAGGGGGGTCTCACGACTCCCCGCTATTGAGGGTTTTCCTCGACAAGTACCCTGCAGGCTGCAGCATGCCACTTCAGGTTGACTTTACCACGTCTATGACTGTGCGAGCAATGCAATTACCATATATGGCTGCGTGCTTCTTCAAATTAATCAGAGTCAACTACAGTACATTTACGGATTTACCGACTTACGTAGGTGCAATCCATCGAAAACTTGCACACGGTAATTGACCAAACTCGCTCTATATATATAGTGATCGAACTCACTCTCGAAATCAAGGTGTAATTAATCAGAGTAAAAACCAAGCAAAAGTACAGTGTCATGTCGACGTTACGCTGCTACTTCTCGCTCTTCCTCTCGCTGATCCTATTGGCGTTGTTGCCACGGACGCTAGCCAGTGATGCGTTCCAAGCACCAAGGCCAATACTTGTCCGGATCACCAAGGACACCTCCACCTCGCTCTACACCATGTCCATCAGGACCGGCTCGCGCCTCGTCCTCGACCTCGGCGGCCCGCTCCTCTGGTCGACGTGCCTCGCCGCGCACAGCACCGTCCCGTGCCGCTCCGACGTGTGCGCCGCCGCGGCCGTCCAGGACAACCCGTGGAACTGCAGCTCGAGCACCGACGGCCGCGGCAGCGATGGCGGCGGCGGCAGGGGCCTGTGCGCGTGCTCCGCCTACCCGTACAACCCGCTCAACGGCCAGTGCGCGCGTGGGGACGTCACGACGACGCCGATGCTGGCGAACGTCACCGACGGCGTGAACCCGCTGTACCCCGTGGCGTTCCCGGTGCACGCGGCTTGCGCGCCGGGCGCGCTCCTGGGGTCGCTCCCGTCGGGCGCCGTCGGCGTCGCTGGGCTGTCCGGTGCTCCCCTGTCGCTGCCGTCGCAGGTGGCGGCGTCGCTCAAGGTGGAGAGGAAGTTCGCGCTGTGCCTCCCCGGCGGCGGCGGCACCGGCGCGGCCATCTTCGGCGGCGGGCCGTTCCACCTCCTGGTGGTGCCGGAAGAGTTCGGCATGGTCTCGAACGGGCTCAGCTACATCAGCTACCTCAGGAACCCCAAGAACGGCGGCTTCTACCTCGACGTCGTCGGCATCGCCGTGAACCACCGCGGAGCGGACGTGCCCCCGGACTCCCTCGCCCTCGACGCCGGCACCGGCCACGGCGGCGTGATGCTGAGCACGGTGGCGCCGTACACCGCGCTCCGGCCGGACATCTACCGCGCCGTGATCGAGGCGATCGACGCGGAGCTACGCCTCATCGCGCGCGCGCCGCCGTCGTGGCCGTTCGAGCGGTGCTACCAGAGGTCGGCGATGTGGTGGACGCGCATCGGCCCGTACACGGCGAGCGTCGACCTGATGCTGGCCGGCGGCCAGAACTGGACGATCGTCGGCGCCAGCGCCGTGGTGGAGGTGAGCCAGGAGGCGGCGTGCTTCGCGTTCGTCGACATGGGCGCCGCGGCCGCGCCGGCGGTGATCATCGGCGGGCATCAGATGGAGGACAACCTGGTGGTGTTCGACCTGGAGAAGTGGCAGTTCGGGTTCAGCGGCTTGCTACTCGGCACCATGACCAGGTGCGGCAACTTCGACTTCAGCATCGGCAGCCAGTGAGTGAATCGTACGAGCAGAGCGTGAATGCACGCACAAAATAATCAGACACGACACGTTCAGGGTTACTCCCTCCGTTAAAAAAAAAAAGACAAACCCTGGTTTCCGTGTCCAATGTTTGACTGTCCGTCTTATTTGAAAAAATTATGAAAAAAATTAAAAAGATAAGTCACGCATAAAATATTAATCATGTTTTATCATCTAATAACAATGAAAATACTAATTATAAAAAAATTTCATATAAGACAGACAGTCAAATGTTGGCACAGAAATTCAGGGTTTACTTTTTTTTTTTGGACGGAGGGAATATGTGTTGTTGCCATTTCGACACGTGTCAGTCAATTAGTTGAGATGATGATAAATCTCACTGTCTTTTTTTCTGTAGTATCGTCGGCCATCCGTCTGTCCTATTTCAAATCGATGAATAAAAGTGTCCTCAATTTGTCAGCTTGGTTTGAATTCAGTTCATGTACTGTCCGCTAAAATGGCAATAATCTCGACATCTCTTCGCTGCTTCGTAGTAACAAGAAGTGTTCCATCTGAAGCTGAACTATCTGAATTTCTGAAGAAACAAAGATAAGCTCCTTTCTTTTCAAAAAGGAAAAAAAAGGAGCTCCCTGGGCAGAAATGAATTGGTGCAGTCTTCAGGTAACTATCCAGTTTCGGCCCATTTAGACGATGACCAACTCCCAACTTGGGCCGGCACTGCCATATTATGGCCTCGTGGGTCCACTCAAAGATCCCAGAATCTGAGCCTGAGCTATGCACGTCACCATGTCAGCGTCTGCCTCTCCTCTCGTGTCATCTCATCTCATGATCAGAATTCAGAGTTTTTTCAGACCTTTCCTTTCGATCCATGGATAGATCCAAGGAAAAGTTAAGAGTAGTAAAATAAACAGCCAAAATTGCTAAAGCGACCTCTTTTTTTTTCTCTACTTTCTCACCATCACACCAAAAAAACAATTAGGGGAAGTATAAGTGACATGGTGCTTAGAGTCATGAGTACATGACTCCACCCACCAGGATTTAAATCCTAATGTACATGTATATTACGCACATGCAGGTAGACTTTCAATAAGATTTTAATGAGACCAGTGATGAGTCGCTGAATTTCGTCTCGTAGAATATGTGTTAGGGGACACATCCGAGAGGATATGAGTGTGGTATTATATATACAGTGATATGTGCGCGTAACCTAACACCCAATGCTGGGAAAAGAGAAGAGCAGAGAGCATGAGCAGTGGATGGTGATTAGCGAGAGCGTTACGGCCACTGTACCAACCTTCGGTTTTGTCAGCGAGTGTGATGGCCACCGGCGGTGAGAGCGTCCGGAAACCTCTCGTTTTCTAGGAGCGGTTTGGCTGGAAAAGGACTTGGAGCTACTGTGCTAGCTAGGAAATTGGAATGGCCGGTGGTCGGTTGGAGAGTGAGACCTCAACCACCGTAGACGAAAACCTGAGTACCTTTGAAGGAAATCAAGTCCCAGGGAGGACAGGGCGATTTACACAATTATGTAGATTTTGTTTTTCTTAGTGAGTGTTTGATTACTGCTCTCTCGTTTGAAGTTGAAGCAATTTTTTTAAAAGAAAAAACTACGGTAAAGTTGCTTTAAAAATCATATTAATATTTTTTTAAGCTTTTAAAAATAATATTTTTTTATTTTCTCATTTCTCCTTCTCTCAACACACTCTAATAATACATTTTTTTATAATGACATAGGAGTGCTAGTGAAACATTGGCGGGGTTGGTTGTTCGTTATATTGTACTACTAGTATTTAGCATTGATAATCGTTTTTATGTATACAACTGTAAATATTGCATCATGTACATTTCAATTTCTATATTATGATGATATTAATAATGTTGCAATTGTGCAAAACAGATTAAATCCCCACGCGAGAAAATAGGAGCACTGCCTTTCTTTAGGGAAAAATATAGCTAGCATTACTAGCGACCATCGACATAACCCCCGAATAGATATCCCCAAAGGAGAAGTAATTACTATAATGTAATAAAGTCAAAAGCATGTATGCTCTATCTTAGAAACCTACATAATAGTTATTAAATGTACTCCTTAATCACGATATAATTGGAAAGAAGATCATATAGCTAACTTTGAGGAAAAGTTTTGTTATATAAATCAGACAACTTTAAAATCATGATTCTCATGCCACTTGAATCATTGCGTGAAAAGGATTTTCTTTATGAAGACTCTTTTCTTCTTTTTTCATTGTGTATGTAATACTACTAACACATTAACAAAGTTCTGTGTCCTGACTCTATTTCGTAAAGACTCCTTTTTTCTCTTTTTTTTTTCATTGTGAAACAGTACACTGCAAAAGTTGTCTATCCTAGCGTGCTTCCAATTTATTAAACATGGTACAAAGCCATTTTCTTATATTTAAGACTTCAACAACCATTTTCTTTATCAGAACTTTAATAATTGCTCGTATATGGACATGAAGAGTAGAGATATGCACATACTCCACTTAGGTAAAAGTAAAACAAAAACCAAATAAAAGGATTCTAGAGCATGTGCTTTGTTTGTTAGGAGTAGTTCATACAAACAAATGTAAAGTAAAACAACAAAATAAAATGAAGAATAGAATAAAAGGATTCTAGAGCTAGTGCTTAGTTAGTTAATCTGTATCTTGCAAGCAACAGATAACCTCACCAATTTAGTGATTCAACACCATCAACTTCACTCTCAAGTCTCATCTGAAGGGAGTAAAAGAGGATTTACAAAATCGTGTGACTATCGCGGCTATCACGTGCGATAATTTTCTCAGTTTTTAAAACTATGGTATATACCACGGTAACCCCACCCTAAACTGTTTGAGAAACGCTGGTAGAGCATCAATCACAAGCATCAATGGCTGCTCTGTTGGGTGTGCAACTACACTGCTACAGTATTGATGGATGACCATGATGCCGCACCCTCTGCAAGACTGCAAATCCACGTGGAAATCCACAGTCAATGTCCCCCTGGATCTCTCTCGGTAGCAGTAGAAACCAACCAGGCCGGCCCACGTGGCGGTGGGCCATTGGACCATTTGACGATTCGGTTGATACTTGCGCGACCCTGCGCGGGGTACTGGTAGGAATGACTTTGAGCGGAATGAATCACGCCGTATATTTCCGGGCATGTGCCGTGTGTGGCACCAGACCTGCACCTGCCACGTCACTTGCCGACACGACAACGAATGCTGCGGGACCCACCTGTCATAGGCATGACAGACCAACTGAATATTTGCACCCAGGGGCCCAAATTCTCGCCTAATGTCAAATAAGGGTTGATCCCTCGGGTCACAAATATAAGTAGACCAAATGTTTATTCTATGCACCAACTTTTTTTGTTAGAAACACAAAATAAATGTAGACACCCCACGCACACTCATTCCTTTTAAACGCACACACGCACACACACCATGCCTCTATAAGCACCTCCATTCCTTCAGAAGGCTGGACCGATATATCTTGAGATTGACGAAGTGACGTCTCGCCGTCAACGAGTACGTCGCTTCTTACTGAAAGAATAATAAGTTGTAAACGTGTGCACCCGTGACAAATCTAGGATTTAAACTCGGATAAATTGGTTTCACCATAAAGAACCTAACTAGTTGAGATACGCTCACTTCGCATACACCTTATGATTAGATAAGTATGTGTCACCAGGAATAATAGGCTTTGTTCGAGAGAGTTTCCGACAGATGCAACCAATTCGATAATCTTGAGTTCTTACAAACAACTATAGATTCGCACTTTGGATTTTGAGATTAAGTAGGTGCAAAATCTATAAATGAATTCCTAAACATGAGACCTAGAAATGAACTATAACTATAGTAGGCATAACAACCTAGAAACCTGCTTATTTGACAGATTCTCACTGACTGTTTACCAATTACTTCCTTCATCCAATAAGTTAATATATTACTAGTATGCATCATATCCAGTACTTTTTTACTTCCTCTCCGTTTAAAAAAAAAATCCAATCTTAGTAAGGATTTGGTGACCAAAATTGTTACCAAAGGTGATTCTCAGTAAGGTTGGTTTTTCTAGGACGGAGGGAGTAACTTACCGTGGGATGAAGGGAGTATCAGACTCTGTAACACAAAAGGTGTAGTATAAAATTAGATTTTGTAGGGGCGTAATGTGAAAAAACGGGTAGACATACGCCGGGTTGGCCCGCACCAATGAAAAGGCCGCCCCCATCAATCCTCCAGTCCCTGGAAAATCTCGCCTCCTTCTGCTCCGCGTCCCCGAGAGTCGCCTCCTCCTCAAAACGGCTTCGAGAGAGAGTGGTGGTGGTGGTGGGCCTTCCCGTCGTCGTCTTCGACTTCACTCCAACTCCACCTCCACCTCCACCACCCCTCTCTCGAAGCCATCGCCGCCTGTCTCTCCTCTCCAGCTCGCCCGGTCAGAGTCCGCGGGGGATTCGATTGATTGGTAGCTAGCTAGGCTTCCGCGCGCGGCGACCCAACGTCGGTGGAGGCGGTGCTGAAGGCCGGGCGGCGTCTCGTTCGTGGTGCGGTGGAGATGGGCCAGGACCTCGCCGAGATCCACCCTCGCGAGCTCCAGTTCACCTGTAAGTCCCCCCCGCTGCCACGCCACCGCCACGGCGCCACGCCTCACCACCCCCTAGATAGAGAGTGGAGTAGAGAGTAATTCCGATCCGTCTCGCGTTAACGGGCGAATCGACTTCAATCGAGTGGATTCCGTGTATGTGTGTCGTGGTGTGCGACTTCCCTGCCTGTTTCTTCGCTTCGCTGTAGTATTACTTTGTATCGTGCCGGGTATTTTCGCCCTCAGTGGAATTTAATTTGTAGCCTCTGTTGATTGGAATTGGTTCCAGTATTAGTGTTCCAAAACTATTTCCCCTCGTTTGGACTGATCAACAGGTTTAAGGGTCTTAGCGATTTTCATTTCAAATTAGTGGGAATTTTCGTTCCACTCTGGTTTCTATTTTTTTCATTTCTTAGTGGTTTTGATTTTCGTTTCACTGTCATTTTTTAATTTTTCTTGTCTGAATGGTTTTGATTCTGTTTAGAGGTGTAGGTACTTGCAGAATTTTTTTTGTTAGATTATTACAGTGTTAAGTGAAGAAGCAATGAGTGATTTTGTTTTTACTGTTAACTTTTCTCTAGGTTACTTAGATAACATTCTACAAACATGGCTCCGGAGTTTGGAATTTTCTGTAAACTTTTGTTTTGGAATTTTTTAAAGGCTGCTTTTTTAGTGGGCTGCTCCTTTTTCTGTTCGTTTGGTTACTGACAGGTCGATTTCGTGGTGCGAGTGGTTGTAAAGTCTGATGTCTGTGTGTGGGAGAGGGATCTGATTGCTTGTCTAATTGGCTTACCTGGATTGGATGCGGTTGCAGTAACTACTGAGAATGGACTGATACAGCGATGCACATGCTAACAATCATAAAAGGAGGGAGTGGTGGTGTTAGTTTTTACCTTTTAGTCATGCATCACTCAAAAGATCATCATGTGCTGATAAAAGAGGAAGGGGAGTGAAACTGAAAATTATCGTATCCTAGTTCTGCAGGTGGTTTTCTTATGAACTGTGCAATTTAGAGTACTTGTCAAATTTGCACATGATTAAATTGGTCTTTGCAATTTTCATTGGATGAACAAGACGGTCTCGTACTGGTTCCTACCACACCTGTATTTGAAACTACAACATTCAGCCATATAATTGAAATGTGTTTAACTGCTGTACAGTATAGGATACAAAACACATTCCGTCTCAAAGTTTTGAATGATAATCTGACTTGGTATCTCATTTATTATTGGCAGTTGAGGTGAAGAAGCAAAGTTCATGTACTGTCCATCTTGTCAACAAATCCAATGAATATGTCGCATTCAAGGTTTGTCAGTGCTCTCAAAGACAAATTCAAATGCCGCTTGTTTTTATGTTAAGTATAGCTCCTGATGGTGTACTGTGTACATTGTGCTATCTAAACATTGTGTATCCTTTCCTAGGTAATTGTAACCATGAAGTTGTCCATCAGTACTATTATTTTGAATGCGGCTATGGCCTTAATTCTTGAATACCAAATGGGCATATCAAAGAATACATATTAATTTGTCTGCTACTACATACAACTACTTTTATTTTTCTAAATTTAAATGTCTTTTTATGGTATTGTACAAGAATTATATAGTGATGCTAGATACATATTTATATGGTAACCTAACGAGAAGGCTGGAAAATTGTATTTTTAATGCAAGGTATTTCCTATTGTTTTTAAATGCCATTTCTGATGACACTAAACTTAGATATTTTGTTTTCTGAATATTATGTATTCTTTAATCGCTTTTATGCTCAATCAAAGGATGATAATTTTTGCCGTTTGAGCATCTAATAGGACTATGTCTGATATTGCCCTTCAAATTTGTTAGGTTAAAACAACATCACCTAAAAGGTATTGTGTTCGACCAAACACTGGAGTCATCCTTCCAAGGTCAACATGTGATTTCACAGGTATGTTCAGTAGCTCACTACTGCATTTACTCACTGGCAATATTGTTTTGTGTATGCAAGGATTATTGCACCGGAGATATATTTACTTACCTTGTTGATCTATATTAGCATATACTCCCTCCGTTTCAGGTTATAAGACATTTTGACTAAGTTTGTAGAAAAAATTAGTAACATTTTCAACCCAAGACAAATTTATTATGAAATTATATTCAATTATTGATTTGATGAAACTAATTTAGTATTATAAATATTACTATATTTGTCTATAAACTTAGTCAAACGTAAAACAGTTTGACTTTGACCAAAGTCAAAATGTCTTATAACTTGAAATGGAGGGAGTACGATAAAGTGCATTTTGTATGCTCATTTTGGAAAGTCATGCAAGATAGCCATTTTCATTTTCTGTGGAATCTATATAAAGCTTTCTAGGAATGAACTCATTCCTAGTTGAACTGTGCAGTAAAGAAGCACAGTGTGCTTTCTTTTGGGGGAGAGTAATTATTAGACAGATGTTTCTTATCGTTTATTGGTTCTGTTATAATTTTTACCAATCAGTTAAATTGCTCTTTTCTCTTATTGATTCTTTTCTTTACTCGTCTGAATGAAGTTACCATGCAAGCACAACGTACTGCTCCACCAGACATGCAATTAAAAGACAAGTTTTTGGTTCAGACAACAGTTGTCCCTTATGGAACATCAGATGAGGACCTTGTTCCTTCTTATGTAAGCACATAAGAATATGACCCCCTTTTTTTTGGAAAGAGCTGTACACATGGTGTTCTTCTAACTCATCATTTTTTTTTACAGTTTTCTAAAGAAAGTGGCAGATATATCGAGGAAAGTAAATTGAGGGTTGTTCTTGTTAGTGCATCTCATCCTTTTGGAGAGCAGCCAATTAATGGAATTCCAAACACTGAGGCAGCTGTTGAGGTTCCTTCATTAAAGGACACGTTGAACATTAAGAATGAAATTCCAGTTGCAGAGAAAGAGGTTCATTCCCCTCTGGAAGAAGACCCAGTTGTTATTCCTGCACCCCCTTACCCTGTCAAGGAGGCTCCAATTCTCAGAGAAGTTCCTGTGCATATTTCCCCTGTCAGGGAGACTTCATTCCTGAGAGAAGTTCCTGCACCCGTATCCCCAGTCAAGGAGACTCCAATCCTGAGAGAAGTTCCTACACCATTGAAGGAGACACCTGTTATATTGACAGAATCTCCACCCCCTCCAACAGATACCTCTTCCATTACTGTCGAATCTCTCCATCCTTTCGAACAAAACCTAGCAAGTTTGAAGGAATCTCCTCTAGAAGAAACTCTTCCAAAAGCAGCTGTCGTGTTAAGTGAGCAAGGGGCTGTCAATGTGCAGAGTCGTCAACTATGCCATGTAAGCATTTCCTCTACTATTTTCACATGCCCCTTAAGTGGAGTATAAGGCAAAAATGAGTTGAGTTTCTGGAGGCCTGCAGTGCTAGTCTTTGACTGAATTTTAGCTGGTCAGGGTTCTTGCTAACCATCTCAATTGGAAAGTCTATTAGTGGCTAGATTTTTACAAAATTCCACCTATTCCTGGTTAAAATGTCTCCACTTAGTTTTCAAACACCATGGCATAAGAATGCTTACTTGTTCTGACTATTGATTCGAATTTTGGTCACATTTGCCAATCGTCCATTGCATCCAACATCCTTTAATTGGTCATACACAACAAGTGTATTTCTTGAAATAAGTATTTTATATTTTGTGATTCTTCTATCTTCCATTAAACTGGAAGTAGCTTTAATGAAATAAATATGCAACTAGATACAATGCACTAAAGCTAAGCTGCACTTATAGAGATCTTCAAATTACATATTTTTCTCACTACATTTCCGATCTGTCTCTTAAACAATCTTCCCACTAGTTTTATTGAAGTTGCTCTGTATTTTGGACAGGTAACGGAAGATGTTCAGAACCTGAAGTCAAAGCTCAATGGTCTCGAAGTAAAATTGGAAGAGGTAATATTTTGGACAGGACAAATCAATAGTTCAGAATGAGATCCTCCTGAAACATGGAGCTTATAATGCTTGATAAACTAAGATTTTAATCTTATATTCCAGATAATACTTTCTGAAGTGAAACACAAACTTTCTGATTTGCAGGCTGAAAAAATGATAATAAAGCTGAGAGAAGAGAGCAGAACTACCACCCAGGAGCGGGATAAGTTACAGCAAGAAATGGTATGACTCAAATTCCATCCTGAAACCACTGGTCATATACTATGTTTCATGCATGACATGTCTACTAATTCTGATGCATGGCTTGGCTAGATGTTTCTACGAAAGAAGGGAACACCAAGGAATCAAGTTGGTTTCCCCTTGCTGTTTGTGGTTTATGTGGCACTTCTTGGTACTTCTCTGGGTTACCTCCTGCGCTTATGAGGTCAAGTTCTTCCAAAAACCCATCAGCTGGACACTTCAGTTTGTCACAAGAATTGGAGGGCAGCTACGCATCAATCTTGAAAGGGGAGCATTCCTTAGCATCGTATTTCACTAGCCATTATGGTTTTGCATATAACAAAGGTACCAATTGCCTGCGTGCATAGAACAGCTTTTACATCTGTACAGAACCGTCCAAGAGATGCTGCTGGCTCAGTAGACTAACCCGGGATTTCTTTTCTCTCCCCTCACTGGGGTTTTTATAGTGTGTTGGATTCGGTTCTTTCTTAGAATCGGTGCAGTTTTCTTCGTTGTTTTCCTTTTCACCTGGGCTGGTGTCAGTTTGAAAACTGTCAGGTTGTATTTGATTTGACATTTGTAAGGCATCAACGAGGTACCAAAGCAGAACCATCATTATATCGTCGAGTTGCTAACAAATGCAAACAAGTAGGATTATGCATAACACCCCTAGAGATAAGTGACAAAGTAAAGAGCATATATAAGACTCTGCAAGCTGCTATCAGGTACTTGTTCTTCATCAGAGGATGTGTAACGATTTTGGTCCCATGTGTAATGGTAAACACATCGCATTATTTCACTAGGTGGGTAAGGTCAGGGTGGTATCAGAAGGGTGACGATGGGCCACCCGGGCCTGGACGCCCCAGCAATGGCCCACAACAATCCTGGAGCAAGCAGCAGCAGCAGAGGACATAAAAACTGCACAAGAGAGTTTCAGAGATTCAAACTTTTGATGAGTTGATATGTGAAATTTCGGTGGTGTGTGCTTCGATTGGTTGAACTTGCACATAACGTAGACCTTTTAACTCATATGTGATAATGTGAATTCCTAAGCAGATGAATTAAAAACTTTGTTTGCAATTGCAACGCGAGGTTAAACTTCCAGAAAGTTTAGGGCAGTGTAATGTACACAGCTTACCAGGACCCCATGAAACCTCCAAATCCAGGCCCCCAGTAACCAGGGCCAGGGCCTGGGCCACCCAGAAAGCCAGGTCCAGCAGGAGGTAGTGGGGCCCATCCTCCAGGGCCACCTCCAGGAGGGCCCCATCCCCCAGGGCCACCTCCAGGAGGGCCCCAACCGCCAGGGCCTCCTCCCGGTCCTCCAGGCCCAGGTGGATCCATTTCACCGAGAGAAAATGCTAGCTACAGCTTCACAAAGAACTCAATCCAAGAACAGAATTTTCAGGAGCGAAGGCAACATATCCTTGCAAATTGCTGTCATATGGTTTGATTTGATGTTGTAGTTCCAAGTGGACGATTTATAGGCTTGCAGTGAGAACAGTAGTTGTGCATCGGTGCATGTAACTAACATTCAATGGCTTGCATCATGCCAGTATGCAACTCTCGATCTCACCCACTGGTCTCTCTTTCAACTTTTCAACTACTGTTCTCTCCTTAGCAACTTGCATTCCAGATATTCAGGGGCAAAATTCAGACAGCTCCCGATTTACTCCAGTTAGGTGAGTATACTATATCATTTCCAACAGCTTCATCTCATGGCATGATCAATCAAGATGTCAATAGGAGATGGACGCAAAATGAGCTTTTAGGAATCAAACTGAATTGGTGGACAACTACTCAAGGAATTGGCTACAACTCTATACAAGCATGCCAAAAGAAAAGGAAGGTCAGTACAGGAAGGACTAGCTAATGACCAATGAATAGAGAATATCAGACACAACCTCACAGTTTAGCTAGTCAAGGAGTACTTTGAGGTATTCTACCAAGTATGGAGCAACGACATCACCCTCACGGAAGGTGCCGACGATACCATAACTTCAAGATGGATGAGCAATGGAAAACACAGTGTGAGGTCAACCTATATAGCACAATTCAACGGAAGGATAAACTCAACTGCAGCAAAAATAATTTGGAAACAATGGGCACCCTCCAAATGCAAACACTTTGCCTAGCTATTGCTGCAAAATAGGATTTGGACAACAGATCAGCTATAGATCAGATAATGGCCAAACAACTATTTCTATCAACTATATTATAGGAATTTAGAAACAGCTCAACATCTCTTCAAAGATTGTCCTTTGACAGATTTGGGAGAGGGTCCTAAGTAGGCTGAACTGCAATGAAATTGACATGACACATGATGAAAATGAGCCGCTGTTGGACTGGTGGATTAAGAGAACATCTCAAGGTGGGAAAGACAAAGCCAAAGAAAACAAATCAGTCCACATGCGGGTAGCATGGGAAATACGGTGTGAGTGGAATAGACGTGTGTTTCGAAATCAAGAAAAAACTCTGATGCAGCTGCTGGATAAGATACGCTGCTGGACAAGATACAAGATAAAATCAAGTTATTGAGAATATGTGGAGCAAAAAACATCTCGAGATTATCCGCCTAAGACTCAGTTTTTCTTCTTTTCCCTGTCTTCCTTTTCTCTGTTTTTCCCCATCACCATTGGTGATCATGTAAATACTTTTTTTCCTACTTAATATAACACCAGCTTTGCTGGCTTCAGTTTCAAAAAAAACCGGCAGCATCCATCTCAGGTAAAACAGCTCATCAAATTTAGTATTATAAAGTTAAACCTCCATCTGAAGCTGAAAAAACCACCTGGAATTACCTACAGCCTTGCTAAAGATTTTTTTTCTACGAATATATAGAACAATGAGGCTGCAATTAGAGCACTAAACACATGTCACAAAACCTCCTGTTTGTTTATGGTTTCCCTAAATTTGCAAACGCCATATGAACATTCGTTCATGCATGCGTGCATGCAGCATATATTTTCCCATGCAATCCTCTCTTGTGTCTCCTACATTCTCTCCTCGCCGTCGTCTCCTCCTCCTCCTCCTCCTCCACATCGCCGGCCGGCCGCCGCCATGGGTTGCGGTGGCTCCAAAGAAGCTGTGGCCACCGGCAACACCGTCGGCTCCACCGGCGGCAGATCCAGCCGCCGCCTCTTCCGGCGGAAGTCCAGCGTCGTCGCCGCCGCCAACGCCGCCCCGTCTCACGCGCCGCCGCCGCCGTCCGACGAGAGCTCGGCCGCCGCCGTTGTCAAGGAAAGCAGTGTCAACGAAGAGGTCAAGGGGAAGGGCAAGGCGACGCCGAAAGAGAAGGCCATTGATGAGGAGAAGAAGGATGTCGAGGAGAGCACCACGGCGGCCGCCGCCGATGAGGTCGTCGTCAAGGACACCGGCGTAGTGATCGTCGAGAAGACGACGACGGCGGCGGCGGCCAAGGCGACGCCGGCGGCCGTGAAGAAGATCGTCGAGGAGAAGAAAAAGGAGGAGGCCAAGAACAAACAAGAAGCTGTCACCGATGATAAGAAGAAGGAGAAGGTGATTCCGACCAAGGTCGCCATTGATGAGAAGAAAGAGGATGTAGTAGTGCCAATGAAGGAGGAGTTCGTCAAGGAGAAGGAGAAGATCACTGACGCCAAGAACGACGTCGCATCAACCGAGAATGTCGCCGCCGTCGATGAGAAAATTAAAGCAGAGGAGGACAAGAACAAGAACAAGAACGACGACGAGGTTGTTGCCACGGCAACAATGGAGGCAGCCGTCGAGGAGGAAGACGACGACGAGGCGGCATTAGCCGAGGACGACGACGACGACGACGACGACGAGCAGCCCAACGACGACGAAAGCATCACCTTCGCGGTTGCCCCCGTCGCCGAGGACGACGAAGGCAGCGTCACCTTCCCCGGCGCCCGTGCCCGGCCGGTCGTCGCCAACGCCGACGAGGTTCATCAGGAGGATGACGTCACTAGTGTCACCTCGCCGACGACTGCCCCGGCCACCCTGGAGAATGACACCAGTAGTAGCGCCGCCGCCGCCTTCCCGGCCGCTGTCCCGGCGCCGGTGGCCGGCGAGGAGGTAGCACAACTAGAGCAACCTAGCTCTTCTAAGTCCAACAATGGCGAAATGGAGGCGGTGGCCGGAGTTGATCAGGCAGAAGATGCCAAGAAGGAGACAAGCAACATTGAGGCGATCAATGTCGAACAGGAGGAGATCAAGGTCGAGGAGGAGGAGGAGAAGATCATCGTCTCACAGGAGACAGAGGAGGAGGAGGAGAAATCCGCTGTCATTTCGAGAGATGAGATCACCAAGGTCGAAGTCGAACGCGAGGAGATCAAGGTCGAACACGAGGAGATCATCGTCTCCCAGGAGACAGAGGAGGAGAAATCCATTGCCGTTTCGAAAGATGACGATGGTAAGGTTCAGAGGGAATGTCCCTAGATGTTTGCATGACGTATAAATAATATAAATTTTTTTAAAAAAATAACATAGATTAATATGAAATATATCACTCCACAAACATACAAGGCCAAATTCGATTTCTACAAATTGCAATAAAAATAACAAATTAAATTAAAAATAGTTATCATTAATTATTTTTGTTACAACATGTAGAAGTTGAATTTTAACATGCACTTTTGTGAAGTGTTATATTTCATATTAATTTATCTTGTAATTTTTTAAAAAAAATAATAACTATTTAGGTGGCATGCATGAAACAAGGAGATATCGCCTGAGGGATGAAAACACTTTTTCAATTTAGTTTCTTTGATTGCTAAACATTACACGCACAAGGACTATTTATCTAAAAATAATAATCTGAAATTTCCTGCCTCCCGTTAAATATGACATTCTTAACTATATTTTGGTTGAAATTTCAAAACTTTGATCATCCACACTTATTTAGTTTAAAAATTGAGATCATACAGGTAAAATTTTTATTTAGAATTACTTTTAAAACATTATGATTTTAATAGATCATATTATTATATTCTAATACTTAGAAAATAGTGGTCAAAGTTGTGCACCAAGGACTGCATAAAATCAACAGTGTTATATATATCTAATAATCTAAATACGAAGGTAGCAGCTCAAAAAAAAAAAACCGAAGGTAGCACATGCACATGCTATTATCTCATCTATTGTGTTTATCAAAATCAGGGGACCCAACGATCATTATTCTTCTTTTGCATCTTTTCTAATCATTTTGTCTCTAACAACATTATTCCTTACATCCAGTGATCTAGGCATGCTTGCATAAATTGCAATCTATAATTCTGCTGATCTGTTTTCCTTTAAAAATAAAAAAGAGATGAACTTTATCAGCTGCCGATTTCAACTGCTCACATAATACTCCTAGACGTTCCCATTCCATGTGCAGGGCAATCAGATGGGAAACAAACAATTGAATTGAAGGAGGCCATGACAGCAACAAAAACGGATGAAAAAGGAGAGGAGCAGGTCGCTAAGGATAAAAAGGATGACGAACAAGAACAACAAGCCACCGCCGCTCCAATTGAGTCGCCGAAACAAGAACAACAAGCCACCGCCGATCCAATTGAAGCACCGCTGAATTGAAATTTGAAAATGAGACGCATCGTACCAAACAAAATGCATTGCTGCATGCCTCCACGAAATGTCCAAATTTTCTCCCTTCAGTTTATTAGCAAGAAACTGTACATGATGCTTATCTGTTCTTGTTGGTTAAATACTTCATCTTCAACTGAGATGATGACTGCTAGTTTGTGCAATTTCGAGTATTTAACGTTGATTAGCATGTGCTGTATATGTATTATTTAATAAGCACGTAGATTAGGGGTTGCTTGGCTTGTAATACAGCCACGAGGGGATCAGTAAATTGATCTCTCATTATTGCTGAATCTGTCACCGTCAGAGAAAAAAATTGCAGTGCAGTCTAGGTCAGCCTGCAGCCCTTGTGTTAGTTCAGGTAAGAATGTTCTTTATTCAGATTAAGCAGCAGCAATTGGTAGCCATCTTTGCAAGTCTTTATCCACATTAGGAAGCCTAATTGCAGTCAGGATCATGATACAGTGACAGCAAGTGGCTATTAATGAAAGCTGATGACGTGCGTAGCGTAACCCAAAGTGATGTGATTATCATGTGAAGCAGTGGACGCCCATAATTGCTACTATTCATATTTTATCATCTAATAACAATAAAAAATACTAATAAAAAAATTTCAAATAAGACGAACGGTCAAACGTTGAACATGAACCGTACAAAACTGTATTTATTTTGGAACGGAGGGATTACTCACCAGAATATTCAACAGTGTCCTGTAAAAAAAAAAGAGAGGAACCATTGTTTTTCAGAACCGTGCTAGAGAAGAATAAAAGAACAGGTTCTCAAATTAATGTGACCTGGTCTTTCACCACTTGGCATTTCCGTATCATCAAAGGGTGGATCCAACTTGATTTTCAGCGCATCAGCGATGATCCTATATCCAAATTAATACTACGTCAATGACAGTGCCAGTTAACTGAATGTATAAGTTTGCATTGATCAGGTCTTGGCTAAAAGAGAGATGATCAGGTCCACCATACTGAAATCTGAAAGAAATTAAAAAAAACTAGACATTTCAAGATTAATCAACACTAGTAAAATCCCGAAATGCACTTCAATCTCTGCATAGTTATAACTTACAAGAACTCTATCCTGATGTGCTGGTAGTGGTGGCCATGGTTGGTGCGGAATTGGTTGTTCGATTTGTCTGATATCCAACCTAAAGGACATAGCCATGGAAAAGAAGTTGCATCATGGAAGGGCTAGACAGTGATGCCTCAACAACCAGCCAGCCCACATGATGCTTGAAAGCACCCCAAGATTCATAGCCAAAGTGTCATAGAATACAGAGACGAGACGACCTCCATCCGGAGTCTTTCAGAGTCTTTCAGATTCAGAAAACCCACTACTGCCAAGAAGCCCTGCTTCTCTTCTACTTCCTCTCAAAGAAAGAGACCGAGAGAAGTTCATCTTGCAAGCCAAGAACTCTCGTCCTCTCCTTCTGAAGCGGGTGGCATGGGGAAGCTGTGTTGCAGCCAGACGGACGACGATCCGGAGTTCAACCTGCTGGGGCTGCTCGTCGCCGTCGTCCTCGCGTTGCTGCTGCTGATGCTGTGCACGCCGCCGCGGCGCAGGCGCTGCGTGGTGTACCCCTGCTACTAATGGCGGCGGCGGCGGCGGTGCTCCGATCCTCTCAGATGAGCAGAGGGGATCGAGGAGAAGCGACGAGGCATCGTCAAGCTTTAAAGCCAGGCATAGGTTCCGATCTTTTCTGACCGATTTGCATATGCTCAGTTTCCGAAATAATTTATGCTGAATTTCGAATTGTGATAGACTCGTTTCTGTTGCGAGTTGTTAGAATTTTTATGTGCATACTGTTGATTTGCGGCCTGATGGAATATATGAAATGATTTGGAGAACCGTGTGCTTCTGCAACTTTTGTGTAAAAACCCGGAAACTTCAGAAAAGGTGTTTGTATTGTAGTAGCAACCGTATCTGAACATCTTTCTGTTAAATCGGTCGAAACAAGCAGAATAGGATGCTGCTGGGATGGAATGAAAACAAATCGGAGGTAGGTTTATACTCCATTGTGAATACCGAGCAATATGTACCTGATGTAATGGTGCATGTAACATAGTACGATGTGAAGAGAATTAGAGGTGAGAGAAGAATAACGAACCTAGGGTGTGCATGATTTCAGTAAAGCACAGGTTCAGCAGATGCATGGGTCGTTGTGAGTTGGGGACCTGATCGATCTGGGGCAGGGAATGCAGCACAGCAGTAGGTGACAGAAGTAGGAACTTGCAGTAGTAGTTGGATGATGATGATTTGAGATGGGGAAACTTTTGTAAGCACTACATATCAACTAAATAGTCATGAAATCTTTTTAAATTTTTTAATATGTAATATATTACGCCATAAACATGCAAGTCCAAATTCGCCTTTTATAAGTTACAGCAAAAATAAAAAAAATACACTAGTTACAGTTTAATTTGTTACTATTTTTATTATTTTTATTGTAACTTGTAGAAGTCGAATCTAAACATTGAGTGATATATTATATATTAATCTACCTTGTTAATTTTTTTATAATTATTTAATTGATATAAAAAAAAAGGGGTGTACTTCCATCTGGGAGATTATAAATTTAGAATCCTATCTTCGCATCGCCGCCGAAGCAGCAGCACTAACCGGCGGAGAAGAGAAGCCGGTGGTCACTGGTCAGGGTCACCGTTGGGTTGATCCAGTCCAGATGCGAGAGCATGCATATGCAGCCGTTTCGCACGGCACGGCACGGCATCGCACGACCGCGCTCGTGGTCGTGTGGCGGTGGGGTTGGGGGGACGCGCGAATTAATCAGCGAGTTTGGTGATAGTGAGCCCCCGCGCTGGGCCTGGGTGCGCCGCTGCAGCGCTGGCTTTCTTTCCATCGCATCGCTCCGTGGGCTCCGCGTCCGGCCTGGGAGGGGGAGATGGGTGGGCCGTTATATAAGGCAAGGCCCGGTTGGTTGATTTCTTCAGGAAAAAGTTCACTTTAGGTTCCTTCGCTCGCATATATTAGTCTCACTAGTTGCCCTAATAAACCGAAGCCATTGACAAAATTTGTATTTTCAAACATAATTTTTACGAATTTGTTTTAAGATATTTTCAACTTGGTTTTTTTTTCAGTGTTGGCTTTTAAGTCGCTAACACACATATAAAAGTTTTATCTAAAAATTATTTTTTATTCTCTAATATGTTGGTTTTGCTTATTAGAGAATTTTTATTCTCCAATATGTTACAGTAGTTCATCCGTTCTAAAATATCCTTTGTAATAATATTTTAAAACGAATATAGCATTTAGGCAGTACTGCACACCAAGATCAAATGGTTGTTGGTTAGCTGCCCTGATCAGGTGACCTGATGACCATACTGGAATATTGGACCTGATCAAGGAGAGCTCTGCTCCGTAGATAGACGCTGCAGCTCGATATCGCCGAGAATCGCAACATCATGATTTGATCAGTCTGACGTGCGTGATCACTCACCGTGCACTGCAGTTACAGGTAGTAGTACCATCCTATTGCTAGATGATGCATCTTCAACAACCGAATCTCACCGCTACACATCCCAATATCTTGGGCTTGCAGAGCGTGGAATCTAATCCGTTAACATTATTATTGAGATAAATTTGGTAAATCCAGTGCTTCCACATTTCCATGCATCCTGATGATGCTAACCTGCCATCCTGCGTCGGCGATCGCTCAATATGATGCGATTCGATTCAGGCACGCAGCACCTCCTTTCGGTTTCCCGCACGTCTGAATTACTCCCTCCTACTCTAAATGTTCGCCGTTGACTTTTTTAAACATGCTTGACCGTAAAATGTGTAAAACTATATGTATACATAAAAGTATATTTAACAATAAATCAAATGATAGAAAAAGAATTAATAATTACTTAAATTTTTTGAATTTTTTAAATAAGACGAACGGTCAAATATTTTAAAAAAAGTCAACGGCGTCAAATATTTTAGGATGAAGGGAGTATATATTAAGCGAGTAATTAATATGAAGAATTTTTCTCTCTCGCCTTTTCGTGTCAGGCTTCTTCGATTCCAGAGGTGAGCTGCTCCGATCGTTCAAGCAACGAGGCTATCACACGCTAAATTCGCTGCCATTTCACGCGACGTCGATGCTTAATTGCATGCTGACTCGATCGATCGCTCGTCTTTCAGGTAGCAGGTTTCAAACAAGGTTTAGATAATTAAACATTTCAGAAAGAAGCCAAATTAATCAAGCCTCTCTATTCATATATATGACTATTGCAGTACACTAGCTACTTGCGCATCATAATATATCATACTTATATCGTTACATCGTTATTGCCACATGAAGAAGTTACGTCGAATTCATGCATAACCAACTCAACAAACTGATGGATACTCGTGCAGAGTAAAGAGACCAAGCTATAGCTCTAGATGCGATGTCCCCGGCAATGACGACACCATCACTAGTTTGGTGCAACATACCCATACTTTTTTTTAACGACTCGCACGAGACGGTGCGAAATTATATTGATAGAGCAGGAAAAAATTACAAGATTATAACCCTGAAGGGTCATAACCAGGAGAAAGAAAAAAAATATACCACCACCCACGTACCGGCAACGCCAACACACACGACCAGGAGAAGGTTAGCACCGGACCGGCCGCCGCTAGACCAACAAAGGAACACAGACGAGATCGCCCTACAGCAAGGGGGTGCCAAAACGACGTCTTCAAAAAGAGAAGCGACGGAAGACCGCCGCCGCCGTCCATCAGGGCTCAAAGGAGCCAAGACTGGGCTTTCGCCCGGTAATCACCCTTGAGGTGTGAGACAGCACGACAATGCCCTCAGGAGGGGGAATTAACCATCGTTGTCGGTTCAGCCAAGGCCGGGTTAGGTTTTCACCCGCCGCTCACCATCTGCGAATCTACGGCTGATGCACCGATGCTCCACCACCACTCAAACTCTGCTGACATGTGGGGCCCCTGCACCGACGCTCCCGCCGGCCAGCCTTCGTGCGCCGAAGACCGCGCCACACCCACCGGCAGCTCCACCATGCACCGAGGCGCCTCTTCCACCGCCGGCCGCGCCTCTCGCGCCAAGCCGGCCTCCTCCACCGGACGCGCCTCTCGCGCCAATCCGGCCTCCCTCCATCAGCTGCGCCTCTCGCGCCAAGCCGGCCTCTATCTCCGCCGCCCGCGCTTCTCGCGCCGAGCCGGCCTCCGCTGCCATCGGCTACACCACTCTGCGTCCAGCCGGTCTCCGACCCCTCCTTCAAACGATGCTGCGCCGGCCGATGCAGTCGTCTGCCACGCCCTCGGCAAGCCGTCCGAGGCCGCCATGCCTCCTCCCACCACCGTCACGGTCACCACCTCACCGTCGCTGCCGTCACCTCACACCCAACTCCTTCCCCACCTCCACTGCCACATCCTTCGACGTCGCCACCGTCTCCTCAGTCACGGCCGCTGCAAGTCGGCTGCCGTCGCCGATGCCGCTATCACCAGCCACCGACGCCAGCAGTTGTCGTCGCAAACCGCTGGCACTGCCAACGCAACCGCCCCAACGCCATCGCCGAGCTCTCCGCTGTCGTCGCAACCGCCACCGGGGCAAAACCATCTCCAGCGCCTGGATCTGGTCGCCAATGCCAGCCTCGCCGCCAGATCCGGCCTCCGTCGCAAGCCTCGCCGCCACCTCCATCCCCGCACCATCTCCAACCCCACTATCGACGCCCCCAGCAAGAGAAGCAGCACGCCGCCAGCACGCACGCCATCCCTATCGCCATTGCCGTCTCCCCCGCCACCGTCGTTGCCTTCCCCGGCGCCAGCCGCCACCAATTGCTGCCACCACCCCGCCACCTTTAATCCCCGCCGCCACCACCACCAACTGCCACCGCCACCTCACACCGACCCGCCGCCGGCGGCCTCCCCGCCAGATCCGGCCGTGGCGGCCCGGATCTGGGCGGTCTTCGCGCGTCCCGCGCGCGGCCTCCCACCGCGACGGGAGAGGGAGACGAAGACGAGGGTGAAGCCCCGTCGCCGCCATCCTTGCGGCCGCGCGGCTTTGCCGGTGGCTGCTCGGACGGCGGCGAGGCGGCGAAAGGAGGAGGGGGGAGGAGCGGGCGACGCCGGCGGTTTCCGTCTCCCGTGTCGCCCGTGGGGGAGGCGACGCGGGGGCAAAATACACATACCCATACTTAAATTACAGTGAGAAAACTAAACTATGTGCAAACAGTATTTTGTGGGTGCCGTACATTAATTGTTGACTGTACTGTGCGTTATCTAGCAGCACTACCTCGGTCGTATTCAAATGTAGCAGATTCTAGTATTAAAAAAATTATTTTAGAATATAGTAATTCACCTCTTATTCTCACATAAATCGTTTTTTTTTTCAATCAATCATAACCTTCACATATCTAATTCAACATATTTTCTTCATACTAGCAAAAACCCGTACGTTGCAACGGATTATTCTAAATAGCCAAAAATATTCTTGGTTGAAACAAGATTCTTCATCTTAAAGGACAAAGAAAAAAATGCCATACTTGGTTTTTAGTTCAGATTGATGACTTCATCTGTGTTATCAAAATGCATTTTTCATATGATTGTAAAATATGTAATCATTAATAAATTGTGTTGTATATCTCATTTAAACTACAATAAAAACCTAAAAAGTTTGTAAGTTTTTATAATCAAGATTGCAATAAGCAAATTAATAGAAAATTAAAAAGACTACTCCTACGCAACTACTCCACCCTAGTACGTGATGAAAAAGCTACACTCATAAATCATAACTCATATTGAAATTATGACCTATGTGTCGAATTTTAGAATTCGTTATATTATATTTTAAGATGGGGATACACCTTTAGGAGAGACAACTGACTATATTTAGTTATTCTTCATATGATAATATACTCCCTTCATCCCAAAATATAAACATTTTTAGCTATGTTACATTTTGGAACTGAGGTATTAATAAAGGTAAAAAATGAAAAAAAAGGGAAAAAACTGTAGCAAAAAATCGCTGTTCAGTACGTGTGGAGCCCACTCTATGGCATGGCCGAACAAGAAAGAAATTCGGCTGCAAAGACCGAAGACGAAGAGAGAGATGCTCTGAACCTTATCGGATGGCGATCCGCTTCCTCTCTCCAATCTGACCCGAAACCGCCATCCTAATCAGCTAAATCCAGATAAGCATTAGGGGCAAATTGGTCATTTGACCCACAAGACCGGCTCGGCTATATATATATCTTCGCTAATCCTCATTTCGTGTTCCCTCTTCTCGCTCCTTAATTTAATCTTTAATTAATTTATTTCTCGCCTCTCTTAACTTATTTTGCTCCTCACTTTTCTTCACTAGCTCAAACACTTACACGAACTCGGATTGTTAATAATCTTTTACTACTCCTATATACGGCAATAAAATCTTCGATTTCATCGATTGGTCGCCACTCTCCGATTCCCCCCAACTCGTCGGTAGCAGGTAGCTCGATCGCGCGGCGGCAGAATTTCCGGGGTGGATTTGGCCGATTTGGGGCATCAGGTGAGTTGATTTGTGCAAATTTTGCCAAGATTTGCCATGGGCGCTTGGTTATTTCTCTCTCTTTTTTGGTAGGGCATGGAGCGCCGCGGGCTACTAAAGGCGGCGCTTTTGGTGTGCTTGATTGTGCTTTGCTCCGGGAGAGGTGGGTAATTTAGCTCCCTTTTTTACTTCAAAATGTTGTAGTGGATTCCTTCCTGCTTGCATTTAGAGCTGGTCTTTTTTGCTTGATTACGTTTTAGCTTGCTGCTAGATGGAAATATATTGGGAAATCTTCAAACAAATAATTTGCATAGAACTAACTTAACCGTTTTTTGTTGAAAAAAATGATTAACGGGAGAATTGTTCACATTGGGCAAGGAAACTAGCAGTGAACCACAATATTTGCATGCCTCGATGTTTTCCCCCTTTGTAGTGCCTACTAGTATATTGAAACAGTATGATAGTTTCTTTTTCCATTTTTTTACTAGTATAAAATTACCTTCTTTCAATTTAATCTTTCTGGTTAAAATGGCTGGTTGTAGCTGTATCTAGTTGCCATTGGTACTATGATATATAGTGCAAAATTTCAAATTCCTTTTGACATATCAAAAGGCTATTACAGAAGAACTATAAGGGTTCTTTCATGCAGCTTTTTATTCAAAGCTGTTGCATATCCTCTTCGACTTTGAATCCAAAAGTTTAGCTGTTACAATAATGTGTTTTTTTTCTTTTTTGTTTCATGTTACATAATCATTTTCTGTCACTAGTTATATCTTTTCTACATGTATCCAGCATGTTGAATGTTGCTTCGCTAGATGTTCATTGTTTTCCTTTTTAAAAGGCTGATGCTGGTTCTTTTACATTTGGTGAAAAAAGAAATTCAGGTCATTCAACGCCATCCCTCTACCACCATATATAACCCAAAGCTTGCCAAGACACTTGTGGAATATGCTTCAGCTGTATGTTCATTCACCTTTTTCTTTATCTAAGTTATTCCTGAATGTTAGATCATCCTTCAATATGGATCAACCGTTTGCAACACGTTTTCTAATATTTTGGAGTTTAACATAGAGGATGTCCTGCAGATCTATACTGCTGACCTGACACAATTGTTTACATGGACATGTGCTAGATGTGGTGACCTGATTGAGGTAATCCTTTATCACTGGTATACTTTCTGTTTGCCATGACATGATTTTGTTTGACTTTTGGGCAACTTCCTGCAATTCTTGGCACGGATGATTGAAGTAAATTTGTTGGATGCCCAGGGGTTTGAAATGATGGATATCATCGTAGATGTGGAGAACTGCTTGCAGGTTCGTTTCTGCCTGTGTACATCATAACACTTATCTTCATGTCTCTAGTAGCATCTTGTATGTTGATAATATTTTAACAAATGTGCAGGCATATGTAGGTTTTGCAAGTGATATCAATGCTATAGTAGTTGTATTTAGAGGAACTCAAGAGAACAGGTAATTATCGTCTGTTTCGTTTTGCTTGCTTACTGAAATTTCTTTTTGATTTTGATCGTTCTATTACTTATAAGGGTATTCTGTTGTGTATTTTGGTTTCATGTGTGCATACTTCACATTTATAAAGTACTTGACCTCTATTCTAGGTACTCTCTTAATTTAATAAAGTACTTACTTTAATCTGTACTGATCCTTCAATTTCGCAGCATTCAGAACTGGATAGAGGACTTGCTATGGAAACAACTTGATCTTGACTACCCTGGTATGCCTGAAGCAATGGTGAGCAATGTTAGCTTCAGCATTATGAGTTGCAACATTGGCAGACCAAATTCATTTTGTGCTCCACCTCACCATAGGTACACCGAGGATTTTATTCTGCTTATCATAACACAACAATGCGAGATGGAGTTGTCAGCGGTATTCAGAAGACTCGAAAATTGTTTGGAGATGTTCCGATCATGGTAACAGGGCATTCAATGGGTGGAGCTATGGCTTCGTTTTGTGCACTTGATCTTGTTGTGAGTACTGCATCTTAACTGAATTCAATAGTGTTCACTTTTAGCTCCTATATCACTTTCTGTTTAGAAAATTACACCACATATTGTTTCTCTGCTTAGTTTTGTGCAATAAATTATAAACATTTTATTCTCCACATCTGACTTCACATAAAAGAGAGAAGTGTTTTATTTTGTTGGAATTTGGAAACACCTTCTTCCATGATAATACTTTATATTCTGGTCAAATGGACAAATAGTCTGCGAAGCTGTCGAGCCTTTTTATCTTCTTGGAGCCGATCTTTCATCTTTCCTTTGCCAGCCTAGTACTAATTTTCAGTTATGTAGTAGCAATCTACATCTATGGTCGGTTTGTAGGTTTCCATTCCTTACTTACAGTGGCGGAGCCAGGATTTCTCGAAGCCTAGGGCTCAAAACTAAATACTAAGCTATGGTCATTTCCGATGTTAGAATGATATTTTTAGCGGTACGAGAAACAAGAAAGCTTATTAGTGTATGATTGATTAAGTATTGACTATTATAAACTTAAAATATATATTTATTTATATATTTAGAGAAACTTCTATATTGAAAACTTTTGTATGAGAAACACTATTTAGTAATTCAAAAAACATGCACATGATAAATAAGACATTTTTTCAGCCCAAACTCACTTAAGAACTCAGCCTAAAGCTACCCAAAATTCCTATATAATATCTCTGTTTTCAAAATATAGCAATTTTTAGTTACGAATCTAACATAGAATTGTCTGGATTCAACACTTGTCCAGATTCGTAACTAAAAATTTGTTATATTATAAAATAGAGGGAGTACGTTAGGTGGGCTATTATATATTCTCGACCTCGTAGGATAGAGCACGAGGTGTTCCTACAGATAGGCATATTTAGCAAATGTATCACCTAATGCTATCATAGAATGAGGTTTTGTTTGTAGAATTGTTGGGATACATGCCTCCTTTGCCGGTCCAAAGAAGTATAGTAGTAGTATGGACTAGAGAGTTCGGCAATTAAAATAGGCCTCCAAGTAATGGTAGTGAGGGATAGAATCGATCTAAGTCCCAGGCTGGAGTATACGCGTAGGGCTGAGACATGGAAGGATCAAAATATCTGTTGAATTTTCAGGTATAAGACCGTTAAATTTTTTCCCACGCCTGGGGCTCCAGCCCAAGTTGCCCCAGGCGTGGTTCCGCCCCTGCTTACTTACCTCCAGGTTTTGCCTCTACAGCTAAACAGGAATTCTGTTTTCTTTTAGGTGAACTATGGGCTAGATGGTGTGAAGCTAATGACATTTGGGCAGCCTCGGATTGGCAATGCTGCTTTTGCTTCCTTTTTCAAGAAATACTTGCCTCACGCAATCCGAGTTACCCATGGTCATGATATCGTGCCTCACCTGCCACCATACTTCTCATTCTTCCCACAGAAGACCTACCATCATTTCCCAAGAGAGGTACGATACACTCTACCTGTCTAATATGCTTACCTGAAACTCAATACCTTGAACCATATATGCATTTTCTGACGAGATCAATTGCTTACAGACAGTACACATGCAATCTTACTCATCTTGCATTTCCATAATTTCCCAATGCATGATGCAGTGCTGAGTGCTCCTTTTCAATATGGTTCTATCACCTTGACGTAATCGACCGAGTTCAATAAAAATCCTCTTTTTTTTATCTAAAAAAGATGCTCTTTTTCTTCAGGTATGGGTTCATAACGTCGGACTAGGAAGCCTAGTGTACTCGGTAGAGCAGATCTGTGATGATTCTGGTGAAGACCCATCGTGCTGCAGGTACTACCCCTCTTCTTCTTCTTCTCCATATGCACAAACACAAGCAGATGGGGGGTGAACCACACCTCATCATCTCCTCTCCTTTTGGTGACCCTGAACCTGATGAGCTCTTCATGATCTCTCTCTTTCTTTGACGCCACTTTCACCTTTCAGGTCTGTGAGTGGGAGCAGCGTGCAAGACCACATATACTATCTCGGCGTCAGCATGCACGCCGAGGCATGGAGCTCCTGCAGGATCGTCATGGACTACAGCAAGCTGCGTTACCGGATGGACATCAATGGCAACATCGTCTTGTCAAAGCATCTGGGTTTGTCAGGTGACCTAGAACACAGTGACCAATGATTCAAAATGGAACAGATTTAGTATAATGGTAGCTTAGATGTGTTATATTATTGTACAGTACTACTACACGTGTGTTCCTCTCTCTGATGCTCATATGTGTCAAAATTGTTCATGCGTCAGAAGAGGATTGGGAGATGCTTGCTGTAAATGTGGTTTGGTAATGTGAAGCATTGTTCAGTTCACAAGTACTTGCGTTGTTGCATTACAGTACTACCTCCGTTTCATATTATTTATCAGACGTTTTACTTGGTCAAACTTGAAGAAATTTGACCAAGAATAAAATCCAAACATCTTATAATATGGAAAGGAGAGAGTAGCAGCTAAGCATCAGATAGCTTCTGCAGATAGCAACAATGCGAAGAGCACTGCCACACCAATCAGATTTGGTTTGATACAGCTCATTTGGCTTTGCAAGATGAACACATGATTGACTACTACTGCAAAATATTACATGTACAACACATTGGCTCTGAAATAGCTTGATACAGATAAAAACCTCTTGCTGCATGTCGAACAACGTTCACGCTAAGATACATGAGAGGTACAGTAAGCTAATACAAATAAATAAGTGCTCAGGCAACTCAAAAGAAAAGAAAAGAAAAGAAAAAACTGTACGAAACACAGGTAATGTGTCCTATCTCCAAACCTGAATTCTCATCGGAAGTAACTTCACGTCCTCAGGTAGCCAAACCTGAAATGCTGTAACATTCGTAACACAGGTGGTGCTGAGCATGAGCATGGCGATCAGGTAACCAAGAAAAGGCATTCATCAGGTTCCTCTCTTCTGTTGCCTACCTTTCCAGCTGAATTTTATCGGCTCCCGAACGGAGCCGAACTCTAAAGACACATGACACAATCACATTCACAAGGAATGGACGCCGGGAGATCTAAGACATGTCAAATAGCAATGACATAGTGACCATGGAGTGGCACTGATGGCCGGGGAAGAACAAGGGTCTTATTCACAGATAAAGAACCGTGTGGAACCAATGCAATGTTACTTGATTGGATCCGTTTCGTGTAGATGAGCAGATTCATCCTCCGTAGACTGATTTCTGAAACAAAAACCCTCCGATTTACTCATTTGTACTATCAAAGCTGCCATGACCATTCGGATGCTTCCGTTCTCGAGAATTCTCCCCCCACGTTTTGGCCTCTGCAATAGCACGCTGTCTATCAGCAGTCCTTGGAGTCTCTCTTTTTCTTCCTGTTTGAGCTGGACTACCCATCTGCGACCCTGTCATGTCTAAATCATCCAATCCTGATCTCCGGCCAGAATCACCGGTAGAACTAGTCCTGCTAACCTCTGCTCTTGATGACCTGGCAGCTTCCCTCCTCAGATCTGGAGAATGATGATTTGGCGAGCGCACACTGCGTCGATCTTCATTCCACCCAGCTAGATTTCTGGCCCTAGGAGTTGACGAATTGCTCCTGCTATGTTGAACAGGGGCATTTGGATCATATGTCTGAGAAGCTAGATATGAGAGTGCAGTGACAACATCTCCTATATGAGGGCGAGTGGTAGCTTGCTCTTGTAAACACATGGCAGCAACAGCTAAAGCCTGATACAGACCCCTCATAGGGAAGCGACCTTGGAGCATTGGATCAGCCATTTTAGGGAACTTCCTGCGGTCCTTGAATAGTGGACGAGCCTGCAAACAGATGAAATGTATTGATTATCCAAAATAAAAATGTCCACGAAGTTTTTTTTTCAATTAAGATTGCATTAGAAACTGGTTTCATTTACAAATTTTGAGCGAGCAACAGAACATCATTTGTAAGAGAATGGAACAGCTGAACTATAATGCCCCCCAAACTCTCAAAATTGCTAAATGTTTGCAGCCATCAGCAAAATTACCAAGGTGGATGGCAAATATCGGTATCAAAACAACAACTTTTCCTGGCCACAAGGAAACAATTTGGACACTTGGAAGTAAAGGCCATCCATGATCAAATTGTTCATGAGCTAGCACAAACACTACAATTATTTGTTGTGTGATTGTAAAGAAACAGGTGGGTGGCATCAGTTTGATTGGCGGGATTGTATTTCACTAACAGTACTAAAATAAAATGCTGAGATACATGTAATGCTTTTATTTTCAAAAGAAGAATGCATACAATGGGTGTCACTGGCATATATTTATTATGCATTTATGATGCAAGTATAGTATAAAAACATACCCATGCCACTAGGTTTTGCTCCCCCTGTGGCTTTGTGTTGTCAATTGCTTTGCGCCCTGTAATCAGTTCGAGGAAAACAACACCAAAGCTATAGACATCGGATTTCACTGTGAGCTGCCCAGTCATTGCATATTCTGGGGCACAGTAGCCATAAGTTCCCATCACACGTGTTGAAACATGGGTCTTGTCACCAACTGGACCAAGTTTTGCAAGACCAAAATCAGACAGCTTGGGGTGAAATCCTTCACCAAGAAGAATGTTTGATGATTTGAAGTCACGATAAATAACTGGCGGGCTCGCCTTGTCATGTAGGTATTCTAAGCCCTTGGCTGCACCTGCAGCTATCTTCATCCGTGTGTTCCAGTCAAGAGGTTCCTTATCAGGTGGCAAATCTACAAAACAGAAATTGGAAAACCTTTTATCTTCATTTGAAGCTGCCATTGAACTTTAAACATAACAGGATGCCATTAAACAGCTGTACTAACTACCAAGTATAGTACTTCACAATAATGCAGTACTACTACTTTATGTACATTGCTTCAAGCGCCCATGGACTCTTGCAAGACTAGAAAGGCAAGGAGAAGATAGACAAACCATGCAAATGGTCTTCCAGTGATCCCAATGGCATAAACTCATAGACAAGAAGGCGCTGGTCACCATCAGCACAATAGCCAATTAGATTGACCAGGTTAGTGTGATGTAGAAGACTGAGCATGAGGACCTCAACCAGGAATTCTCTATTTCCTTGAAGACCATTGCGATCAAGTTGCTTCACAGCAACAGCCTGGGAAGTGGTATATTTCATTAGTGCTCCAGGGATAAAGCAAAACAGCAATTCTGCCAACATTTTACTGAATATTAACTAAATCGCTGAAAACCTAAACTTCAAGTATTTAGTAAAATCTCAATAGATCTAGATAGGTTAAGAAAGACTGACCTGCCCAGTCTCCAGGCGTCCTTTATATACACGGCCAAAACCTCCCTCTCCCAATAGGCAATCTTGTCTGAAGTTCTTGGTGGCGGCAGCAAGCTCACGAAAAGTGAACGTCTGTGCAGCAATATTTTGGTTGTTCCCATCTCTTTGGATGACAACGTCCTTCTTAGAGTCTAATCCACCATGTGATCTCGATTTATCTAAGAAGAAAATGTTGTAGAGTTAGTAATCAGTTCTTTTTTCTTTTTGAGGGGCAGAGTAATGGTTGTGTGCTATCCTCTGAGCATTAACACTCTTATCAGCAGAAACATAAAACTAAATCAGTCATTTAAAGTACTGTATTTAGTACACTTTACTACTCGATAGAAGCCAACGAAGCAGATTTCACCGATCCATTTGTGAAGCAATACTCAAAGCATAAACAGAATAACGTAAAGACAAAGCATGTACTTCCAATAATCCCTCCCCCAATCAGTTTCATGAAGAAAAGATCCACAATGAACTGTCCTAGGTCACTAAAATCAATCCTTATTATATCATGTCAACCCCAGGTCCTTACAGATAATTTGCAACATGCCAAAGATGAACCAGCTGCCAAACTGGACAGGTACGATGGCCAACATACCCGCAATTCGTATACTCAAAAAAACAAAATGAAATGACACCTACATATTTGTATATTCATAAACAGTATCGAGTTCAAGGACTAGTAAACAACACATCCATCACTTTCTACCCCCATTGTTCCCACACAAATATACTATCCAGCCTAAGACAACTTCAAAATGATCCTGAGCCTTTACCCACACATCTAAACAAGACAAACCATCAAAATCAACACTATATATTCATGAATCTCCTAAAATTGCCAGGACGATACAGATTTTCTTAATAAAACCTAGCCATCCTAGCCACAAACTATGGCAAACAATGCATTCCCCTATTTTTCCTCTCTAAATGAAGAAGAAAGCGTGCCTGAGCCTAAATACAGCCTCCAAGCTTACTAACACGACAGCAACCCTGCACATTTGTCTAACTTAAATCACCAAATCATCGTTCGCGCACAGCAAAGCAGTACAAACACAACATGAACAGGAAAACCACAGCGCCACAAGGCAGCAGAAGGAAAGAAAAAAAAGAACATCTGAAAGCCGCAGCAAAACGCCGCGAAAACTAATTCCAAGATCCAGTTGTCCTCCACGCACCTGATCCGACCCTGGACACCCCGCGATCCGCGGAGCCGTCCTTGCGCGCGTCCTTGGAGTCAGCCCCGGGCTTCTTGGCCTCCCCCTCCTGGGCCGATCCGAAGCACAGGAAGCAGCTCATCCAAGCAGAACCTTCCCCCCAAAAAAAAAAAATCCAAACTTTCGCTTCACCACCCTCCCCGCCGCAGCAAGACGAAATGGGGTGTTGGACCCCCTCCCCGATCTGAGCGCACGAACCTCCCCAAAATCGGACTTTTAAGCGGGCGGCGGGGGTGGGAGGGAGTGGGGTGGGGGTGGAAGCTACAAGGAGGAGGAGAGGAGGAAGAAGAAGAACATGAGGCTAGGGTGCAAAGAGAAAGACAAGTAGTAGTAGTAGGAGTAAGAAGCAAAAGTCAGCTCTGGGGCAGAGTGAAGAAGAGAGGAGAGGGGAGGGGATCTTTGGGGGCACATCCACTTTCCTCTCCTGCCTGCCACCTCCTCTTTTAAATGGCAAGAGAGAGAGAGAGAGAGAGAGAGAGAGAGACTCTCCTCTTAATTCTGGCCCATGTTTGCATCACCCCCACTCACTGGCAGGCCCTGAACAGGTCAAGCTCTCTTTTTTTCTTTTTTTCTTTTCAGGCTTCACAAATGTCATATTGACCCTGACCTCTCCAGTAAAAAATTTCACATGGATACAACGTTTCAGAACTCAGAAGGCAAAGTCATACAAGAAACAGAGTTTCATGGGTTGTCCATATTCCCTGATAATTTGCCTTCATGGCTTGTCCATATTCCATGATAATCAAGACGGTTTATTAAAAAATAAAAATTAATCTTTGAGTAAAACTCTTATATATTTTTCTAGCGATTTAAAAGTCAATGCTAAAAAGAAATTACGTTGAAAATATTTTAAAATCAACTACAGAATTAAGTTTTAAATTTTAAATTTTGACTTTTGCTTTGGCTTATCAAGCCAACCGATAGGGCTTAGATTGGTAGGTAGTTTCAGTAAACGGCTAGTAGAATTTCGATTTTTTAAAAAATACAGTTAAGATGTGATAGATGAGCTGGTAAAGTAGTAGAAAAATAAATAGAAAAAAAATAATTTAGAAATAATTCATGAAGCATTTCGAAAAGCAAATTCATGGGAGAACAGGACTATGTAATTCACTAAATAGGCTTGGAGTTACGGTGGTAATAACTTATGCGTTGAGCTACAGCTAATAATAGCAGCAAAATAAAAAGGAAAAAAATAATTTATAAGCAAAATTTTTATATTTGTATTATATTAAATGAAAAAAATCACTTGCTCTGGTGTTAATGTACAATGTCGTTAACTTTTATGATTTTTTTTTCTTGTGATTATATGTTATTTAAGCCGGATTTATATTTTACATATTTATATAATATTTTAGTAAAATATATAGTTAAACGCACGTTGAAAAGTTGATGGGGGCTATTCAGTAATGCTAACGGTTGTAGCTTGCGAACCAGCTGCCAGCCACGTTTCATATTGTTGCATAAGCCAGTGTTTCCGAACAGCCTCAGTAACACACATACACTAAAAAGGAAACTAGAGAAAGCAGATTTTAAATTTGGACTTTAATTATGTTTGATAAGTTACTACTTCCTCCGATGTTAATGATATTTATCTAGATTCATTAACATTAATATTAATGTAAAAAATACTAAAATGACTCATTGTGATACGGAGAAAGTACCAAGCAGACATCCAGATCCTACGATAAACAGCTCGTGGACGGTTGGCCACGTCGACGCCTAGTACTAGCGTAGCGTCTCTTTTGGGTTGGGTTGGGTTTTGGTGGCGTCGTTTTCGTGGGCCGCCGAGGAAGCAGGAGGGGTGCAAAGTGGCGCCACGCCACGGATTTTGCTGTTCCGTTCTGTCACGACGGAAACGGCGCGCTCCACGCACCAAAACGTTGCTGACGTGGCACGCCCCACCACCACCACCGCTCGATCGGGTCGGTGTCTCGACCGCTCGATCCATGGTGTGTGTTTAGTTAGGGCCTGTTTGGTATAACTCCAACTCCTAAATATAACTCCAGGAGTTGAGTTTAGAGTGGAGTTATGGAGCTGCCTAAACCCAGCTCCACAACTCTAGTACATTTTGTGAGAGAGCTCCACCCAACTCCACTCCCAGTTTTAGTGGAGCTGAAACTGTTTGGCTGAGCTCCAGCTCCAGGAGGGGTGGAGCTGGAGCTGGAGCTGTGCCAAACAGGGCCTTAGTGGTTTAGTTTGACTGCGTGCCTGTCTGTATTAGTAGTACGTGTACGTAACACGAGATTTGATCGTGTCGTGGCAGGCGTTCACACCGCCCCGAGAATTTTCTAGAAATTGATCACGCCGGCAAACCGTCCAGGACGACAGGTCAGCAACTGCTGCTTCTGCTGCAGTTTGGTACAGTACGTGCTGAAATTTGAAAAAAAGCAATCACAACGTTAAGTTCATGCTTCCTCCGTCTCAAAATAAGTACAACCGTAAATATCCATACCCAACATTTAACCGTCTATTTTATTTAAAAAATTTATAAAAAATTTAAAAATATTTAGTTACACTATTCATATTTTATCATCTAATAGCAATAAAAATACTAATCATAATTTTTTTTTAATAAGACGAACGGTCAAACGTTGAACGTGAATAATACAAAACTGCACTTATTTTGGGATGGAGGGAGTAATAATCATTGTATTGAAATTTATAAAAGTGAAAATAATTATACTATGAATAGATAAAATAATAAATGGTTACACTGTGATTGGATAAAGTATTAGTATTCTTATATTTTGTCTTTTCGTATCTATATTAGTATATGATGGATAAAATTAAATTATTTTGAGACAGATGTAGTAGTTTATATTAGTATAGGATGGATAAAATTAAATTATTTTGGGGCGTAGTACGCGGTCTGTATCAGAGCGTCACAGTATTATGCCGATTGTGATTGGTCAGGCGGTTAATGATGCCTCACGGGGAGAGATAATACCGATAAGCTTGTGCGTGCCACTGCACTGGGCCTCTTTGGGTTGGACCGTGCGGTGCGGCGTCCGATCTCGGATGGCCCAGTCCATCGAAAATCTTGGCCCATCTACGTACGTGACAGCCCGAGATGTTCTGGGCCTGATAAAACGGGCAGGGCTCTCTCATTCTCACGTGGCCACCGACCGGCGTCTCGGTGTTGTCGTCCATCAGCAACCCGACGACACAACGCAAGAGCATCGATTAATCATGTGCTATACTCCCTCTTTCCAATTTCCCCATGGTTTTATGTGCGCATGCTTCTCTAATTCTTAAATGTTTTATTTTCTAAAAAATTTATAGGCAAGTTGCTTTAAAAGTTCATATTAGTTTTTTTAAGTATTATTAGTGATACTTAATTATTCATGTGTTAATCCGACGCTCCATTTTACGTATCGGAAGAAAGGGTTCTCAATAATCCTTATCTTCAAACACATCCTGGTTGGCATCATCCATACTCTCTCCTTTTTTAAAAAAAATGAGTATATTTACAAAACTACAGTTATTTTAGCTAAATTATCGTAAAACTAAAATTTTAAGGTGATGTTTTATGAAACTATAGATTTAACACTAAATTTATCACACAATTATATATTTAAGACGAAGTATAGCAAAACTACATATTTAATAACAAAGTTATCACAAACCTATAGATTTTTGAGTTTAAATTCTTAGCACTAGTGTTATGTTTGAGTTATAAACATCTAAGTTTTGTGATTAAATTAACACTAAATTTATAGTTTTGTGATTACTTTGTTACTAAATTTGAAGTTTTACGATACTCTATCTTAAATATGTAGTTATGTGCAAAATTTAATATTAAATATGTAGTTTTGTGATAATTTGGTTAAAGTATATATAGTTTTATGAAATTTACTCAAAAATTAATTCATATATATGAATATAGGCATGCACTGTAGTACTTATTCATGTTTATATTTTGCTAAGATTCGAATTTTTTGAACCGAGGGTGTACGTACGTGCAGCACGCGGGTATATATATAAATACACACGTGCAACACGTTACGCCGAGTGCTAATTGGAATCGCTACGAACAAAGCTAGTAAATTACTATAGTACACTATATAGGATTCTATGTGTCTGCAACACCAAGGATCGAGTCACACATCAACTTGCATCTACTACTGTGTTGGATTCCAAGAATATATCTCTCTCGTATCTCGATCTCGCTATGTACTCCCTCCGTTTCACAATGTAAGTCATTCTAGCATTTCTCACATTTATATTGATGCTAATAAATCTAGATAGGTATATATGTCTTAGATTCATTAGCATCAATACGAATGTGAAAAATGCTAAAATGACTTACATTATGAAACGAATGAAGTATATCTTTTCACCAAGTCGATGCGCCACGATTTGTGAATAAAGGATTACTCTCACGAATATGTTCTACCCCTCTAGCTGCATGTAAACGAAAAGTGAGACCGGTATGTAATACAATACTCCCTCCGTTTCTAAATATTTGACACCGTTGACGTTTTAGCACATGTTTTACCGTTCGTCTTATTCAAAAACTTTTGTGAAATATGTAAAACTATATGTATACAAATAAGTATATTTAACAATGAATCGAATGATAGGAAAAGAATTAATAATTACTTAAATTTTTTGAATAAGACGAACGGTCAAACATATTTAAAAAAGTCAACAGCGTTAAATATTTAGAAACGGATGATATCTTAAATTTCTCAAAAAAATTACAAATTTAATGTAGAGTATCATAAAATTGTAGATTTAGTAACAAGTCATAGCCTTATATTATAGTGCACTGTGACTTGCGCTATATATCATCAGGTATTCAGCACTTCAATATTTTTTTTAAAAAAAACGCACAAAAACCTTACACACGTTAATATATTAGACACCTCAATAATTCTCAAAGATACACTATAAAGTATGACAAAATAGAGAGCTAATTTGGCCCAACTTGACTCTGAGAATTACCTAGTAGTAACTTTTTTTTGCAGGTACTATAACATGTCGTGAGAATTTGTTTCAAACGTCTCAGATCGACTCCGACAACAAATCTAACAAAATTTGACACTGTTGTTTTCAGGACTTTGCCTTCGTAAATGCAGGGCAAAGGATCACTGGATCAGTATATATGGTGCGCACTGCGTAATTTGCATCATGGCTTCATGGGACACACATTGAGCTACTAAACCCTTCATTAAATCTAGCGGCTACTTTTGAAAACTGAAAGGCATTAGCCGACATATTTGTACTTTTGCAGCTAGCACTGACATATAGGAGTAGTTTAAGTTAACCCTTTCTCTGGTCAGACTACTTTGAATTAATGGCACCTAATTAAAGCCTAAAGCAAAGGATCAAAGCTAATGCCTTCAGCTCTTCATGATAATTAAGTAGTACACTAGCTAATTAATTAACTAATCTGATCTTTCTGACCAGCTGAACACATACTCATCACTTGCAAAGCACTATCTTCCATACATATGTACGTAGGTAGAGGTACAACTGAAGATCATATGCATGTATGCTAATTAATCTGACAGATGATCTCCCCAAAATTAGTTAATTGCCTGCAGTACTGATGCATTGTGCATACGACCATCAGTGAAGATTGATGACATGCATATTGCATGTAGCAGAATTAACAGTAGTAAGAGCTAGTTATCGCCATTAATTAATTGATCGATAGTTAATTAATTGATTAGCTGGTAGTATATAGGAGTACTTCGTATCTCTGAGCCAGAGGGCGCCGGCTTCGCGGAGGAGCGGGACGAGCTTGCCGGCGAGGTGGAGCGACATGACCTGGTCGGTGGGCCCGACGAGCTTGCCGCCGATGAAGACGGCCGGCACCGGCGGCGTCCGGCCGACCATTCCGGCGAGCGCCCTCTCGACGTCCTTGCCGTTGGGGTCCTTGTCCACCTCGTGCACCGCCCAGCTCACCCCGAGCTCCGAGAAGAGCGTCTTCACCACGTGGCACATGAAGCAGTTGCTCGCCCCGAAGATCACCACCGCCCTCTGCGACGACAGCCGCGCCACCCTCTCCGCCATTGCCAACCTCTAGCTCTCACTTCGCTTCACTCTAGCTCGATCGAGCTAGATCTATGGAGACTTTCGAAAATTCTTTGAGTAGTTTTGGTTGTGATGGTGATGATGAGAGAAGGCGCGATGCTTATTTATAGGTGACGGGAAACTGAACCAAGGAAGAAGAAGAGATAATAACTAATTAAGGGCTCGTTGGCACAGCTTTAACTTCAGCTCCACCTCTCCAGCTAAACAGTTTTATCTCCATCTAAAATAAGAGTGGAGTTGGATGGGGCTCTCTCACAAACTGAACTAGAGAGTTGGAGTTGGGTTTAGGCCGCTCCACAACTCTACTATAGATCTAACTACTGAAGCTAAATTTAGAAGTTGAAACTCTAATAAACAGCCTCTGGCACTGATTGGGAATGTTGTGCGCTTATTAGAGGTTTAGTACTTGGATTTTTTTCTCTAGCTTTGCTTTTGGCCGGAGGGGACAGCATTATAAAAGTTGAATTATTTATTTGATTGAAATGGGGGTATGCCATGCAAATTGAGGTTTTACTATGATCAAAATATATATTTATGTTTTTGTGATGAATAGAATGAAATGCTGAATAGATGGATGACTTTGTGATAATTATTCGATGGTACAGATAAATAAATTAGCTATTATAAAAAGTTAAAAGTGGATTTAAAACAACATTATAATATGTTTAAATATAATTTTGTTTTTTTAAAAATTGTACTGTTTATAAACTCGGGAAATGCACATGCTAATGTTATTGCAAAATTCACAGCGCTCCATTCCATTCTCCTAAAACAAAACACGAATATTAGGAAATGATTTAATATCAAATAATTATAAGGATAAGGCTTCGAACCCAGACCAACTAGCCCATCTTCTTGTGGAACTAGCCGGAAGACTTCTAAACGTTTCTGAATTTTAAAATGAGGATAATAAGGCAAATTGATCTATATATAGAGTAGCAAATATAAAAAAAAAATGCACAACTAGCTAAGAGCAGATGCGCGAACCAAATTAAACACTAATATTTGCTGGACAATCTATAAATTATTTTACAACACATTTGAGCTTAATTAATCGACTCTATCGGATAATTAGTTGCCTGCAATTTGAGCTGAACTTTATCATACCGTACAGTAATGTATACTAAATTAACCTAGAGATGCCGATAAGGTTTGGATCCGCCCTAATTGCTTGTTTTTACCATTTTAACAGGACGAATAATGCCCTCTGGGGGTAGACATATCATGAAGCACATTTTTCATTTTTGGATGACATTGGACCAAAATCCTTTTGTTTAATATCCCACTTTATATTTTCTACGTGTCCGCATAACAGAACCAGGAATTTCCACGTCAATGCCGGAATAAATCGGCAGGGTTAGTGTTAAGCAATGAATTTCAAACGCCAAGCATCCACTCAAAGAATAAACGAATCCTCTGGTACCCTTTACATGTCGGGAGAATATATAAGCCTACTAAAGGAGTAGTAATTAATTAATTAAGCAGGTTGTAACCGCCCTATCTGCCTTTCTAATTATCTTCCACTAATTAATCAGGTACTGTGTGATGATCGTGTTGAATTGACCCTTGTTAAATTTATGCAGGTAAACAAATGATTGATATTATTCGATCTCTACTTCTAAATGAAGAAATTAAAGAGAAGAATTTTGGTTATTCCATATTTCAGAAGGGACTACTATTGATCTTTCAACAGGTTTGAAGTTTCAAATCTTACAGAATTTTCAACAATGTATACAACCCTTTTTGAATGAAATAAAAAAAAGAATAAACATGTAAAAAATCGTAAACTTAATAAAAATCTAATTTTGGTGCACTGTAACAGTGTAACTAAGTATAAATATAAATCAAATCTAAAGAACACAAATCTTGATGCAAAGATTCCACGGACGAAAAATCAAAAAATAGAAGTCCAAAAATCTGTTGCAAGTGAAATAGCAAAACCGTTTAGGATAGCTCATCTTTTTCTTGGGCCTGATTATCATGGGCCTTTGGTCCAGTTCCATGTATGGGCTAGTATTCGTGCTACCTATATGGGCCAGGCTTATGGCTACCAATGCGGCCCATGTACGATGACGTGTACCCTATTGTCTTCTACTAGCTCTCTCCCCCTCTACTACCTTCCTTACTCTGCCCGTGAAGAGAGAGAGAGAGAGAGAGAGAGAGAAGGGGGGAAGAATGGCGTCGCGCCTCCTCGCCCGATCCAAAGCCCTAGCGCTCGCCCTGTCCCGCGCCGACGCGGCGGCGCCGGGGCCCGCCGCCGGAGTGCAGTGGCTCCGCACGCTGTCCTCCCTCCCCCGCGATCCGGCCGCCGCCGCCTCCCCCGCCCCCGCGCCGCGCCAACCCGCCGTGGGGTCCCCTCTCGGCCTCTCCAAGGTTGACCTCTTCTTCCCTCGCTTCGTCTCTCTCTAGGCGTATGGATTTTGCGAGCTGAACTAGCTGTTTGGATCGGATCAGTGTGTGTGGCTTGTTTGGGGTGATGGGTTTGTAAGCGAGATGCCCTAGTCCACGCGCGATCTGTAATGTTTTTTTTTTCTTAATTGCATTTTTATTGTTTGGTTCTGTTGTGTTGTGCTTAGATTGATAGTCTACTAGTAGTTCTGGTCATGCTTTTAGTTATAATCTAGGTTTGGGGGAGATAGGATGTCGTGGGAAAATGGCGAAGGGAATCAGTTGGGAACCTGGGACTGTAGCAGCAAGTAGGCCATTCTCCTGCTTCACCACCCGCTAAGTTCATAGCAACATATGGTAAAATGGTATTTACCTTTTGTTCTGATTCATCGCGTTACCAGGCTCGTTGAATTCTGGGATGAAAAATTGGGCAAACTGTTAGTACGATTATCGAGTGAGGGAAGGGTGGAGTCATGTATCTGCTCACCTCTTGTGTATTAACCTAAGTCTTTATTTTTAATCTTTGCATATCACTCCAGTTAGTTTTGGTAGTTTTTTCTTGGCCTTCATGATTGTTTTGTTTGGCTTCAATTGCTGTTGATGAGCCAATGACTTGGAATGTAGCTAATAAATCTGAAAATAGAATAGTTCCTTGACACAAAAAAATCCCTTGGTTAATCTCATCACTATCTGCACTAGTTGTTGTTGGAAAATGTTATGTCCTCTCACTGGTATCTGAAGATATTTGCAATTTGATACCATGCTTAAGTGGTTCATTGTGGTGGGTAGCACCTGCTGATAATTTAGTACTGATGATTATGCAAGATGATCTTTCCTTGTGGGAATAGCTAATTTTATTTGGCGCCATCCATTCAGTGCTTATTGTCTTCTGATAATGACATCTTTAAGAGAATCACATTGTGAATTTGTAATGAAAAATTGCTGTTCGTATGTAACTTGAATACTTCTGTTCTCATTTTCCCCTAGTTCAATGCATGAGTTTATTGTGTTCCTAAGAACTTGTAAGGGACTTTTCTAATGTTATCATATGCAAACAGATTCCAGGATATGAACAGACATCTCGACTCAGTGGTACACAAGTATTGCCTCGTTGGTTTTCTACTGGAACATCAAATGGATCTTCTGCTCAGCAGGTGCGTATCTATCCCTAGTGCATATTATATAGGCTTCTGCATTTATTGGATTGTTTTCACTCCCCACCAGTCAATGCTAGATATTTCTTACTATCTCACTGACATCACATAAGACAATTACTGGGTGACACAATCTGATGCGCTGAATACACAGGAGGGAGCCACCAGAAAGGTAATGGCATTCAGCCCATTAGAAGCAAGCATCGCCAAACCCAGAAAAGGTCCATTGACATCTGAAAGCTGGAAAGTGAAGCAGACAGAGCTACTAACACGATCTACGTATTACATGATCCCAACTCTGCTTCTTGTATCAAAGAACAGCATCAGTACGTCTCTTCTGGTCGCATCAGTATTCCATCAAGTCTACATGTTCTACAAGGAGATCCTTCTGGACTATGTCCATCACGATATCACCAGGAAGTGGGTTTTCATATACTTCAAGATTCTCCTGATAATCATGGCCAAGGAAACAGTTGTCTACTTCGATTTATTTTAAGTTCATGGTAGTTTCTTGAGAGACGTGTTAGGCACCCATCTGTACACTGAAAATAATCAAGATGGACAAATGCCTGCTGCTGGTTTCCTCTGTTCTGCAGTTCCAACTTGCTATCTTTTTCTGATTTTGGCTGAACTGATTTAAGGCCAACTAAGGCACCAAACAATGTATTTCTTCAAGCAACGATCAGTTTGTCCCTAAAACCTTAGATTGAAAAAGTCTCCTGATTTTGTAATAATGGTATATATCAACCTTGAGTTCTGTTAATTTCTCGTCTTCTGGAATCGCTCCCAGTTGTCGTGTTTTGCAGTAATATATGAGCTACTGTTAGTCTATTCCACCACTAGGGAGTTAATTGCTCTTGCCTTGTGAAATCATTCCAGTTGCAATTTTCTCTGCTCTTGTGTACCACTGACATGATTAAACACTGTCGAAGTTGGGTGTTGCACTATTGTTTTGGCTGTTGAAAGCATCAACTGTCTTCATCCTAAAAATGATACTATCTGTTATGAAATCCGTGCAACTAGACCACATTGATCCAGTATTGATATAGCACAGGCCAGTTCATGCTGCTGAGTTAGGCCAATGTACTGCCCATCATACAATCGTACTGTACTCGTACATTGTAGATCCAAGTACTGTCCTCTGCAACACAAAATCTCATGCTGATCTCCCAGGCCCCAGCTGAGACGCAATATGCACTCAAGTTTCGACGACCAGCAGCTGACTAGGTACAGGCGTATGCATATACAATGTTCAGACATGGATGTAGACAGCAGATACCAGTGTCCCAGCAAAGCTGTGGTCAGCAGTATACTCTATGATCATAGTGTCCCGTAATTTAAACCTCTCCGGCAACTTGGGATGAAGCAAGGCATGTGTTGTCTGTCTGGTGTACCAGATTGTATATCAATGGCTGTTGGAATACTATAAGTTCAGATGAGGCACTAACTGAAGAACAGGAATCAGACTGGAGATTTTGGTATATTTGTTACTATTACATTTCTGATTTTTGATTCTTTTTTCTTCTTCTTGTTGTTTGTTTTTCAGATCTTGTGAGCTGCAGGGATCAGGATTTCAGCGTTCATATCTATGGACCATTGGCCTGCTGCAGTGCAAACCATGTGGTGAATGGGCTGGCGCCTGCAAAAGAAATGTACTCCACCCGTCCCATAATATAGTGACTTAATACTCGATTAGACACCACTTGCCACCTAGCACTACGAATTAAGGTCTGTTCAGATTCATAGTACTAGGTGATGTCTAATCGAGTAGTTGCTATATTTTGCACCGAGAGTAGGCAACACGGCTGTGGTTTTCTTGACTGCTCACCTTTGCTGGCATGCTGGGTGGTCTGTCCATCTGTCCTTTTCTCTCTTCTCCTGCTTGACAAGGGGAGCTGCTGCATTAATGTTGTTTGGTCCTGAATCCATGGCAACATTTGGTGTTCAGGAAATTTGTGCAATAAATGCATTACAGCCCTATAGGACTATAGATACTTTTCAGTTTTATTGCTCCAGTCCGTTTGAAAACCTGGCTAGCTTCACTGGTGCTTTTCTAGGTTAGAAAACCAGCTTACCAGCACACTATTGCAGATGCAACTTTCAAGAATTACAGTTTTTATCTTGATGTTAATCTTTTTTCAAGATCCAGCAGTACAGCAGGAGTAAGCCAGCCTACTGATCCTTTTACAGTCTCTGGGTTCACCATATTATACAGGAAGCTGACTTCAACATGAAAGAATCATTAGTAGAATCCGATGGTAACATACACTACAGTTTTAACACTTGAAATGAAGTACACCTGCCATTAAAGCTCCTTATGCAGGCTTTCAGTTATCTAGTTTCGGATTCCTATATACTTGTAGTTTAGGTATTATGATACTTGATATAGATGGCAATACTTTGCGGACTATATAGTTTATATGGATCTGGTAAGAAGTTATCTAGAATTCTGCACAAGACAGGCTGGAAGTTGGCCTGTTGCAATGAGTATTTCTTTTTTGTGGCAGTCATTGGATTCTCATCTGCAGAAGGACATGGTGCATGTGCTCCTCTTCTTTAATCTTTTGTTTTCTTTGGCTTTTGGCTGGTCACTTAGGCACACTGAAGATGTTTATATCGATATATGTTAGTATCTGGAAATCAATTGAACTTTGCATCTGAGATAATCTCCATGAACAGTCCAGGTTCATTGCAGCCGCAGTGTTCATGTAAGCATATAATTATATGGAACCAGTATTATATGCTACTAAGACTGGTTAAGGTCTAGTTGGTGTTGGAAAACTCAAAATTGACTTTAATCCATGGATGAACCGGATCACTTGAATGTCTGTACTTGGCCACTTAGACTAGAATTAACAATACTTTTTTGGATAAAGTGAGTAGAATTAACGATACTGATGTCAGCTTGCTGTTTGATTTGCAGTTTTTACTTCAGTCGACAGTGGAAGAACCGAAATTAATGAGGTATGTGTAAATCAACTCTGAGAATTAGTCAGTCTGATGATCCAGGTAACTGCATTATTTTGTAATTGCATTCAGATAAACGTACGCCTGCAGAATGAAATCTTAATTTACTATAGATAGATTTGGAACTAAACAAATGTTCAGATGTCCTGCAATTTTCTATCTGTAATGTGTACGTACGAGCGAGCAAATCTGATAATATATTGGATTCAGATTTGGATCTCAGGGAGTATCTGACTGGACCCCCTATTACTTGTTACAACTCGCATTGGTTTAAAATATAAAACAACTTGCATTCTGCTAGCCTGCAAAGAGTTGTATTGCACATTGTCGCCTAAATCATTTAGATTCTTCCATCAACTAAACGTAGCAAGTGTCTGTTAGGTAAGTCTTGCTTTAATGTACTCTGAAAATAAAATGCTTTCTGAAAAAATCTGAACTCGAAACAGCACGAGAATTTGCTGCAGAAAAAAAGTGACCAAATTCTGACCTATCAAGATTAGCATGAACTGTTCAGAGTTCAATTCGATGGAAATACTTTTGGTCGAATATAGAACTCTGTAGTTTCAAACCTACCAAATCCCATCTGAAATGCCTGTAAAGGTCGTCCTCATTTTAGACATGATCTTCAATCTTTATTTCCCAGTGGTAGCCACCACATTATGCCTGCTCAATTCTTTAAGACCCTAAATGAACCCAATGTTTTTGATGTCGTATTGGTTACATCAGTTTTTCTCGAGACCTCTTTGATTGAGGTCAGCATGTGCCTTTGTATCAAACGTTTTCATGCATATAGTTTTCTAACCAGATCGATCAACTGAACATACTTGTTTCTTGTTATGACATGACCAAATTGCAGTAGTTTAAGCGAGGATAAATATTTGGGAATAACAACTTGCTACCACTTGCCAGCATAAAATGAAACTGAACTAACCTCGAGCATGCATAGGCCATATCCAAAACATGATATGTACAGACAGACAATTATTCTGAAAACTAGAAACTGAACCACAATCATTATTTACAGAAGTAAAAAAAAAAAATCAGAGAAGCAGCAGCAGCTGCTGCAAATTTCAACCTTCAAAGCTCCCAAGTTCCAAGATTGTATTCTTCAGTCTTCAGTCTTTCATCCTCCAAGAAAATCTCTCTCTGTTGTTATTTATTTTTCTTCTCTAACAGGGAGACTGGAGACAGGTTTTCACTTTCTGGTGACAGGAAACTTTGAGGAGGCCGAAAAGAGAATGCTTCTCCTCCCTTTCTGATGCAGGTAGCCATGCCATGCATTGGTGAGGATGGCACGCACTCCTGTACACAAGATGACAAGTGCATCATACTGCCCGGCTTTCCAGCCTATCACAGTCAGTCAAAGGAAACCTAGTGGTCCCCTGCTTAACAGCTAGCCCAGGACACCCCCACTAGGTCCTACCTGTCCGATGCTCTCCTGCCATTTTGACACATTTCGGTAAGCTCTGAACTTTTTCATGCAAAATTTGCATGGAATTCAGTCCATCCTAAGCTACCTTGGAGAACTGGCACACTAACACTTGCATTTGGTTTAAGTAAATCTTCAGGCAAATGCAGAAACTTACTTACCAATTGATTTGATTTTACCGTTGTGGCCGTGGTGATTTGCAGACTCATGGACACATGGGGGGGCATGGCGCAAGAAGGCGCCCAATTGCCATGTGGGGTTGGGGGGGCTTTGCATTCATTCATACACCCACCTGCGCTGCTGCTGCTGCTGCTGCTGCTCGTTCATGGTGGTTGACGGATTCTTTAAAGAGCACAGCCAGCCTCGCCGGCCAATTCTGCAGGCTCGCGACGACGAGCTCAGCTAGCTAGCTGCTACCTAGCTAAGAATCCTACGACATTGCTGCTGCTGCTGCTGGCGCTCGTCGTCATCATCAGTCGTCTTCTTCATTGGCAGAGGTAAGCAAAGTTCGCTTCTGCATTGATGAATGCCGAAGCTATAGCGGTTCTTGATCGTATCATCGAGGGTGGTCGATGCCCCGGTCGCCCGGATCATGGCATTGCCAACCGCGGTGGTAGCCGGCATTGCCGCCGCCGTCGCCACGCTGCTGGTGGCCGCCGCCGTGGCCGCGGCGTGGTGGTGGCGCGTGGCGCGTCGTAGCCGCCGGAACTCCGACACCGGCTCGTCGGAGACCCCTCCTACACTAGGTATACGTCCATATATAGCAATAATCACAACTTGATCACATCGAGTTTGGTCTCCAAATTTAATTATTCGCAGCAGCATCGATCGATCTGTAGCTGATTATTAGCTTGGTGATGATTGGGCAGTGGAGTGGGGCAGGTGTGGGCGGACGTTGTCGGCGCCGGAGTACCAGGGGGCGAGGCAATTCTCGCTGGAGGAGCTCGCGCACGCCACCAAGAACTTCAGCGACGCCAACCTCGTCGGCGCCGGCAGCTTCGGCCCGGTCTACAAGGGCCTCCTGCTCGACGGCACCGTCGTCGCCGTCAAGCGCCGCGTCGCCTCGCCGCGCCAGGACTTCGTCGACGAGGTACACGCAAACTCTGCCTCATCAAAAATCATATACTTGTGCTGACGTCACGTCATCACTGCATTGCGTCATATGAGTCATAATCTCATTGACATTTTCAGTTGGTAATCAGTACACTTGTTCCTGAAAATTGCTCCTTAATTGTTGTCACTTGTCAGTGTCACATTCCATTTTATTAGTTGCATTGAGTTGTTGATCACAGACAAGCCAGTGAATGCCTCTGTAACTTTTCTTTATTATTCTTAGAAATAGCCTCTCTGATTGTATGATAATTGTAAAAATTTGTAACCGAGTGAATTCACTCTCATTTTTTGACAAAGAAAAATGAATTCGCTCTGAATTTCAGGTCAAGCGGCTATCAGAAATCTGGCATAGAAACGTTGTCACTCTCATCGGCTACTGCCAAGAAGGAGGTCTACAAATGCTGGTGTTCGAGTACCTGCCCAATGGCAGTGTCTGTGGCCATCTGTACGGTAATATAACAAAGTTGATGATTCCTGTCAAATTCGAAGCCCAATTTGCTTGAAATTTGTTTCAAACAATAATGATCTTACACTGTTTAGCAAACACCGGCAAAGAGTCAATGACAAGACTAGAGTTCAAGCAGAGGCTCTCAATAGCAATTGGAGCGGCCAAAGGTGACAAAACATTTCAATTTTCATGTGCAGTGTTTCCTCATCAAACCAAAGTGTACAACACAGTGTCTGAAACTATGAAAATTTTCAGGTCTGAATCATCTGCACAGCCTCGTGCCTCCTTTGATCCACAAGGGCTTCAAGACGAGCAATGTTTTGGTCGATGAGAACTTCATCGCGAAGGTGGCTGACGCCGGAATCGACAGGCTGCTCAGAGGATTCGACGGCGCCGCGCCGTCGCATCATCCGTCGTCGTCTTGCAGCAGCATCTACCAAGACCCAGAGTAAGCCTGAACATTGTGCCGTTTTAACTGAACTTTTGCCTCTGAAATTATCAGAAGTATGAGCTGCAACTACATTGTGCAGAGCTGTAAAAATGTTAGCACTGCTTTCTGTAATTCACCAATATTTTTGTCTTACCATCATTTATATTTTGATGGGCTATTTTTTTCTCTCAGGGTGCATTCCTTGGCGCAGCTTTCTGAAAGCAGCGACGTGTACAGCTTTGGGGTTTTTCTTTTGGAGCTCATCACTGGCAAAGAAGCAGCGAGCCTGATTTCTTCAGAACCAAGAGAACCTCTGGTTCATTGGGTAATGCATATATTCAGCATTTCTTTTAGCAATTCATTTATTCAGTATGATTCATCCAAATATTAATTAATGTACAATCTTCCAAGTAAATTTCATCCAGAAACAGAGATTCATTTTTTTCTTGTGAAATTTTGTCAGATGGAGTCACATTTCAGTTCGAACAACGAGGTGACGGATCCAAGGTTGGGAGGCAGCTTCACGTCGGAGGGGATGAAGGAGCTGGTCGGGCTGACGTTGCAGTGCGTCAGCACGTCGGCGAGACGGCGGCCGAAGATGCGGCTGATCGCGGCGGAGCTCGACCGGATTCTGGAGAAGGAGATGAGCCTCACCACCGTCATGGGCGACGGCACCGCCATTGTCACGCTCGGTAGCCAGCTCTTCACGTCCTGAACTTCGTAATCGACAGGGAGGTTGGCAGAATTAAATTTGCATGCATGCCTGATATTTGTAGCCATGCATGGCAAATTGGCAAGAACGATGTGTGTAAGTAAAATTGTGTTTGGATGTGCAATTTAATCTGACCACAAGATGATTAAAGTTTGGTTCTTTTTCATCAGCATGCAACATGCATACGGAGTGAGATCATCAAACTTACTTTTCTCTAACACGATGTGGGCTACTGACATATAGGCCCTCTACCCAGTGAATTCATATGTTAGTGACTCAAAGTCAGAGAAAAATAAATAAGAGGATCCTCTTCCCATGCATCCACAAATTGCCAATCAAATGATCCATAACAACAAAATGGAGCAGGGAGGCAGAAATACAGTAGTGTTAGTGACACTTCATTTTTTTTCTCCATCATCTCATACTGATGACTAAAATTAACATTACACTGGTTCGGAGTATAAATATGCTTATGAGATCTATTTGACTATACTGTTAGATGCTTGCTGGTACATTTGACAGGCCAAAATTTTAAAATAATGCCCAGCACAGCTGGGAGTAAATGTAACAAAGGAAAAGAGTATTGTGCATGTTAACCATGCCAACGGCAAAATGTACATCATGATTCATGTACGCATTATTCCAATACTTCAAATTATCAGCCGATGCTTTGAAGAAAATGAAGAACTAGTCCTCAATTAACCACATCAAGGACCAGCTTGCGCGACTTGTAGACGGACCACTTCATGCGCCGGTAATATGCAGCTTGCAGAAGTGCGAGGGAGAGTAGAAAAATCCATTTCACTCCCATCTAGCACAATTCCAGTATGAAGAAATTAGACAATTAACAGTAGAAATAGAGGACAATTCTACAGGGAGGTTCCAAGAGGGTTACCAGTTTTCTCTCTTCCATCTCAGGCTCCGCCGCCCATGACAAGAACGAGACAACATCTTTTCCCATCTACAATTTACATATGAAAATAGTCTAATACTTCAGTGATAAACCACAGCTTAACTAAACGGTGCAGAGTGCAGACAACTCAAAAACAGGAGCTACCTGGGCTTCTGTAGCTGGAGTGCCATCTTCATACTCGACTGCTCCATCAATAAGCATCTTGGGCATGGCTATGGCACCACCAGGGAAGTAGGGATTGTAATGCAAGCCTTCACGAATCTAAATTTCAAATCAACGCCAGAAGGTTAGGACACTGCAAAAGCAAATTTAGGGAGTGCACTAGGAGGAGTAACAATAACAGAAGCACTTTAGCAGGCAATCTCAACCAAGAGCGAAAAATGTGTTTCACTGGAAATGTTTGCAAGCTGGTAAATCCTTAATTCAGTATTAGAATATTCAACAGTACTATTTGCAAGCTGCTAGATCCTTTCAAGTTCTATGAAATAATCCAGGTTTCCTGACCAGAAAGTGGCACAATACACTCCAAGATTCCATGTATTACTGACCAAAATTTCAAGCGGAGTAGAACAAAATTGGTGAAAACGTTGTTCAAAAAAAACAAACCAAGAACACAAGTTTTTGCACACACAGTACATAACCAATTAAGAAAGGGTATTTTGTATATTACATGCTGGTATAATGCCTATCTATGCGGTGTTCGTCATTCCAACTAACCTTATACTCCATCCATTCCAAAATATAAGGCATAATCACCCTTAACCCAAAGACCAAGAAACAATTATTATCACCTCATTGTTTGAATCATCCTAATAAATATAATGCATACACCCAATAGAATTAGAGATTTTAATAATTAAAGAGTTAAAATAATAATAATTTAGTGGAGAAGAGGTGCTAGTTAATTGCATGCATGCATGCACGCCTTATATTATGAAACATCTAAGAAAAGTAGTTGTGCCTTATATTTTGTAATAGAGGGAGTAAAAGAGAAAGAACTAAAAGGAAAAACAAAGCTCTGAAAGGATCTGGAAAGCCGGTAACTATGCCTAGAGGGAATTTTCAACAGCACCAACAAAGAAAAAAGTATAACATGTTGCATTAATTCAAGAAAGGACAGAAACCTTGAAAAACATGAACGCTAAACTAGAACAGGAAACACCGTATTCATCACCATGAAAAAAGATAGTGCATGATGGATAGAGATGTAGCTTAAGCAATGAATGCACATATTGCATTGTCAAGGACTCGTAGTCCAGTAAAAAATGTGTGGCATGGTCTGCCCAATGCATCCATTGATATAAACTGTTACAAAACCATAGAGCACACACCAAATTATCTCCACTCCCTACAAATCTAACAAATCAGATACTCAGAGAATCATATGTGAAACCTACAAGTAGCGACCAACACTAAAATAACAAAACAATATGTATGAGAGAGGGTTACCGAAACACCAGCAGGTGGATCACGATAACCAGTGAGAAGAGCAAAAACATAGTTCTGGCCATTGTGCCTGGCCTGAAAATATGTAAAAAACAAAGAGTTAGATACAATCTAGAGATGAGAAATTGCACCACATGTGACTGACAGCAATTTGTGAGTCTCACCTTTGTGATTAGACTGAGATCCGGGGGGTATGCCCCGCCATTTGAAAATCGAGCTGCTTGCTCATTTGCGTAGGGTTGTGGGAAACGGTCGCTCAGCTTACCTGGACGTGTGAACATTTCACCTTCATCATTAGGACCGTCAACCACTTCAATCTCAGCAGCCATTGCTTTTGTTTCCTCTTCTGTATAGGCCACACCAACCAAATCTCGGTATGAAATCAAGGACATTGAGTGACAAGAGGCACACACTTGTGTATAAACTTGATGGCCACGCCTTATTCTGCTCATATGTTTTTAAAATAAATAAATAAAGAGGTGAAAGAAAAGATAAAAATATGAAAAAAGAACAGCTCAAAAGACTACCTCAGCAGCATGGGCATATAACAGTAACATTGACACTGCAACATTTGCTTATCTCTAAAATAACAAACAGCATAGTACACTGATGTTTCTTTTATGTTGTACCACATGATGGGGGGAGTATGTTTTTCTAGTTAATCATTATATATTAGATGCACGATTGCTTCTTGAAATGAAGTCAAGTAGTCTCTAGTCAGAACAAGCTATTTAACAAAAATAAGTCTATTCGATAAACTTACGATGCATGATCATATGAGCTAAGGATGCCAGCATGTGGCCAGGGATAGTGTGGGGCTTCCAACCCATGCTCCGCTTCATCAGCAGATGCAATTGTAGCAAAACTTAAAAGGCCAGAAGCACCAACTCCCAGAATAGCCAATGCTCTCAATCCAGTGAAGCCAGAGGACTCTTCATGATTTATCCAGGATGAAGAGAGCGGAGATGAGCTCTGCAAAGTTTATGGTTTCAAATAACAATAGCGAATTAACTTAAATAAATAGTCAATTAAGTTAAACCATTATTGTTCAGTTGCCGCAGTATTAATGAGTCAGCCATTCATTCAACAATTGCATTTAGGTGTTGTGGATTCCTATTAGAGGAACCGACACAAAGCAAAGCAAATGGTATAAAAGAGTTGTAGGAGATAAATTAGGAGTTTCTTGTTAAGTTAGAGCCTGACAGTTGACCCCTTTTTGTTTTCTATCACTATTTCATTTCCTTGTTTTACTTCCAAGCACGGGGATAACTCCAGCTGTTGTGGGGTTTTTTCCCTTTCTTCTACCGATTGGAGAAGCATTGCCCTTTTGCCTGACTGTTTAAGGGTGTGTTCGGATGCCCCTTTTCCCAACCCCTCTCCCTCGTTTTCCGCCGCACGCTTTTCAAACTGCTAAACGGTGCGTTTTTTGCAAAAAGTTTCTATATGAAAGTTGCTTAAAAAAATCAAATTAATCCATTTTTGAAAAAAAAAGCTAATACTTAATTAATCACACACTAATGGATCGCTCCGTTTTCCGTGCGGGAGGGATTAATTCCCATCCCTGAAACCCGAACGCACCCTTAAAACTACACAGTATCCCTAACCCTGCTGGCCTGCTGCCCTTATCTGCCATCATGACACCAACTTTCTCATCCCCTGGTGAGCCCACATTATAGTCTATACAACACAACTAGGCTAAAACAGAAGGCAGCTGCTTTACTCCAAACAAAGTACCTACAAGGAAAAATCTAGAACTACCAAGATAACAGTAATCCAAATGTCTGGACGAGTAGGATGGAGATTCTTTGATTGATAATAACACAAATACAATACTTCCTCCGTTTCAGATTATAAGTCATTTTGATTATTGCTTTAAGTTTGACCAAGTTTGTAGGAAAAAAGTAGTAAGATATTCAACACAAGACAAATATATTATGAAAAATATTCAATTATAGACTTAATAAAACTAATTTGATATTGTAATATTAGTATATATGTCTACAAACTTGATCAAACTTGAAATCTAAAACAGAGGCAGTAGTAGAAAGGACGTGGAATAAATTTATAATTTTTAGCAAAAGAACCATGTACAAGAATAGGGGGGAACCGAAGTTCTCACAGTACTTACAGATGGACGAAATGCTTTCTTCAAAAGCTGACTGATGCCCCTCCCAGCAGCCATTTACAATGCTGTATCAAGCATCACAAACAGAGGGATCAAAATTTCAGGATTGCAGACTTGCATCACAATTATACTCCTATTTAACTTTGCATCAGTAGATGTAACGAATGGAGAGAGAGATACAGTGCGACAGTCTCACACAAAAACACTAGGAACGATATTTGATAATAGTTCCCTAAATCCCCATAAACGGATACTATCATCTTACACTGTCGCCTACCACTACCAGGGGCCAAACTAGTGTCGCGGAGATTGAACTGAACCCCGAATTCCTCTTGTTTTGAAATGAAACTGCCCCTTGTGGACTCAATTTCCATCCGACCACGCATCGAAGGAATCCGGAAGAAAATGGATAGTTCCAAATCCGAACGGATTACCAATCTAGTACAAAGTATCTATCTACTCAAAACTGGCCCGGAAGTGGTAGACGATGGAGTACGGGAGAAGAACGAATACCTTCGGATCGATTCAAGCAGCGATGATGGAGGCAGGTGGAAGGAGGAGGTCGCCCGCGCGGCGCTGCACCCCGCTCGCCGGCGGCGGGCGCTCGAGAGCTCCGCGGATCAGGGAGAGTCAAACGGAGAGGGAGATGGAGGAGGAGGAAGGTGTGAGAGAGAATCGAGAGATGGAAGACGAAGGGGGCATTTTGGTAATTCTCCATTTCTACGTGGGCTTTGTGGCGCTTCGAGGGCCGCTTGAAGATGCACGAGCGAATGCATCGACACGGCGGCATGTTTAAGCTTCATTAACCACCACTTTCTCTTTAAATATTCTAATTATTTTTTAAAAAAACACGGTATAAACGCATATGCTCGTAACGCACGCATACTCGCCTCAATAAACTTACACACCCTACCTTTATAAGTATCTTCGAAATAAGGGCTCAATAAACTTACACACCCTACCTTTATTAGTATCTTCGAAATAAGGGCCGACATATCTTGAGTTTAATGAAGTCATCATGGACGGACGCTTACAACGTGTGTACACTCACCATATAAACACATACACACACCTATGGGTACTATTTTGAAATAAGGGCTCGATATATCTTCGGTTCGACGAAGTCACTACAGATACCCCGCTGTCGATGTTATGTCGCCTACCACTAAAAAAAATAATTAGCTATCAATACAAGCATCTTGTTAAATCTAGCATTACAACTTTCCTATATTATTATATTTTTTTATTATCAACTAATAATTAAATCAGACATTGGTCGGTTAGTTTTTAGCAGTGAGAGATTGGAGCTGGATTTTTCAACTTTCAGTGCTTTTAAAAAAAATAATTCTACAAATAGATCTTTAGAAAAGTTTATTTTCGGAATGAACCTTTTTCGTGGCGCCATGGTCTAACATGACAATGCCAATAACATTGGCGCCATCTCCCTCGTCTGCCGGTGAAAGCTAAGTCGCTAATATGAACATTAGCACCAAGGATCCATTTGTAAAAAAAGGAGACCTATCTGTAAAAACATATTTACAAATAGATCCTCAGTCACTAAATATTTTTAAGCGAGAACCTATTTGTAAATATTTTTCTATAACATTGAATATATTTGATTTTATATTGAAAAAATTACTATATTCTTTTTAAAATTTTATTAGTCTTAACAATGTTATCCTTTCCTTTCTCCTGGGAGTGGGACCCAGCAGGCAGTGAGAGCCAGCGTCACAACGACCTGGGCGTGCGTGCGTGGACGCGGGTGCAGCGGAGGCAGGCAGGTGTCGTCCAGAAGCCGAGGCCACATGGCGGCCTCCGCCGCTTTCGCCCTCCTCTTCTCCAACCTTCCCCAACCGCTTCGTCGCCGCCGCCCTCCTCCTCCTATGCTCTCCACGCTTCGCCTCCTCCGCCGCCACCACCGCCGCCGCCGCCTCGCCGCCGCCTCCTCCGCCGCCATGTCGTCGTCGGGCGGCGCGTCCTCCTCCTCGTCGTCAGGGGAGCGGCACGGCGTGGGGCGGAGCCCGAACCGCCTCGCCGCCGAGCACAGCCCCTACCTGCTGCAGCACGCGTACAACCCGGTGAGTTGAGTGAGTCTCCGCGGGGGCGGATTACGTATTTACGTTTACGCCGTCTTCGCCTCCTCTCTGCGGGATTTTGTCGAGCACCTTGCGCTCTCTTTGAGTTGAGAATGAGGGGATTTGATCGGCTCTTCCGCCGCTTTGGGAGGCATCTCGTAATTTGTAATTTGTAGAGAATCACTGAGCACACCACTTGTGGGAGCTTTTCCTCGAATTAATTTGAGTATCACGTAGTCGACGATGACCCTATGGTTATGGAGATAAAGCGATTTTTTTTTAAAAAAATTATCTAATTCTTAGACATGTAAGAAGCTAACCGAGAAAATTGTTTGATTGTTTTTTTTAAAAATTTTATAGAAGAAACTAGATTAGTGACATACTTGTTTACTTAATGCAGGTCGATTGGTATCCTTGGGGAGAAGAGGCTTTCGAGAAGGCTCGCAGAAAGGACGTTCCCATCTTTCTATCAAGTATGAAGTGTCTAAAACAACAATAGGAACAGTGCATTCTCTCAAATATAATAATACAATAGTGTGCCGTGGTAAAGTATGGTTACAATCATTGTAACTTGAACTGTTTTCAAGTGGAATCTAAGCTAAAAATTCATTCAAATTCACCCTTTCCATATTTATTTTCTCCCTTCTTGTATTCTAACCGCTTATTTTGCTTCATGGCAAATGTTGATGTGCCCGTGAAGTTGGCTATAGCACATGCCATTGGTGAGTTGCCTTTAGTATCTCCTTTTGCTTTTATTAATATCATGTATATTCGTATTATGTGTGATATGTGACTCTCTTCTGCATCTTACACTTCATGTTTAACATCAGTATTGGTTACTATTATTTTTGGTTGAATTTCAAAGGTGCCATGTGATGGAAGTGGAGTCTTTTGAGAATGATGAAATCGCAAAGATTCTAAATGATGGGTTTGTTAGCATCAAGGTACGGCTATTCTGATATTAATTGAAGTGTTCCAGTAGCATTTTTATAGTCATATCATTTTACATGCCTTCACTCCTGGCGAAAAAAAATAATACATGCCTTCACTGTGTGAAAATATATGTAAATGCAATGTAATGATGCTTCAAAAAGAATCAATGTAACTGTATTGCTTTCCTTCTGATTATTAGTTTTGACAGGTGGACCGTGAAGAGCGACCAGATGTTGACAAGGTAATCTTCCTAAGTGTCCCAAGCTGAGTTGTTTTTTTTCTTATTTTGTATCTTCAGACTAAAAGGGTCCCTTGTGTTTCTGTTTCCTTAAGTGTTATACTTTGTTCTTTATTAATCATGGTATATCATCGTTTAGGTGTACATGACATATGTATCAGCACTGTATGGCGGTGGTGGTTGGCCTTTGAGTGTCTTTTTGTCTCCTAATTTGAAACCGTTGATGGGTGGTACATACTTTCCTCCAGATGATAAGTACGGAAGAACAGGATTCAAGACTATTTTAAGGTATCAGCTGAAGTTTACTAATTCTGGACTTGGTTACTGTAAGTGCTTAGCTTCTGTGTAATTTGACACGCCTACACTTGCCTTCTTTAGGAAGGTTAAGGAGGCCTGGGAAACTAAACGCGATGCGCTTGAGAAGACAGGAAATGTGGTCATCAAACAACTGCGAGATGCATTATCTGCTAAAGCTAGCTCTCAAGATATGCCAAATGATCTGGCTGTTGTTTCTGTGGATAATTGTGTTGAAAAGGTTCGAGAAATACTCCATATATATCCACGCTATCATATTTATAAACTCTGGCATGGTCTACTTGAAACTGACTGACCAAATTGATTTCTTTAATGGTGTAACAGTATTGCAGTAGCTAGATTATTTATTTTTTTAGGATGATGAATCCTAGCCTTGTAAGATTTGCGTCACAGTTTAGTGATACAAACATCCTATACTTGTATGCTCCGGAAGCTTGGTTAGATCAAATCAGTATCTTAGGTTCATATGTGGTTAAGCAAGATGAACTTTTCAAAAGTGCTGTCACAAAATGGACTTTGCTCTGTTGTCTGAACTTCTACAAATGTGCCTGATGTAGACGAGGTTCAAAAATAGGGATAAAAATAATATAAGGTCTTCAATTGCAGGTGTTTATGTTTGAACATGCGATGGCTGATGGTACATATTTGTATGTCTTTATTCTTATGTTATTATTGAGTAGTCTATCAACATTGTTTTTCCCTGTACTGGTACACTCTTTTTTGACATATTGCATTGATACACTTCTGAATTAGAATTGAATATCAGCATACAAGGATTTTGTTCTGGTCAATTAGTATATGTAAGCAGCCAACTATGTTGTAGTTGTGACCTTTTTTTTTTGTGAAAAACACTGCTTATGGAATGAAGCTTATAGAGAGCCTGAAAACCTTGGGTTGCACAACTTACTTTTTCATTATTTTCTTACTAGCATCATTATTCATCAGATATATGTGCGCTTACAGATTCTCAGCTCATATCTATGCAGTTAGCAGGCAGTTATGATCCAAAATTCGGTGGATATGGCTCTGCTCCAAAGTTTCCAAGACCTGTTGAGAATTGTGTAATGTTATATAAATTTCGGAAGCATTTGGAATCTGGACAGGTGAGTGAATCCCAAAATATAATGAAGATGATAACTCATACATTGCAATGTATGGCAAGGGGTGGAGTTCATGATCACGTTGGAGGTGGCTTTCATAGATATAGTGTGGATGAGTGCTGGCATGGTAAGTTCAAGGCTAAATTTTCCGTCATACCACTTTGTGGAATTCCCCTCACATATCTCCTCTCTGTATTTAGTCCCGCATTTTGAGAAGATGTTGTACGACCAAGGACAGATAGCTAATGTATATCTAGATACATTTCTGATCACGGGAGATGAGTATTATTCTTCAGTTGCACGTGATATACTTGATTACTTGAGGAGAGACATGATCGGAGAAGAAGGTGAAATTTACTCAGCAGAAGATGCTGATAGTGCAGAATATGATGGTGCTCCAAGAAAAAGGGAGGGAGCTTTCTATGTGTGGACTAATAAGGAGGTACGTCCATCATCCATGAACTATTCTTACTAGTGCATGTGAACATTTTGTTACATAAATACCTCTTCCCAGTCCATAGAAGGTGGGCTTAATGATTTAAACTTCTTAGACTAATTTGTGAGGCTTAACCCTATGTTCAGTTGATTTGAGTTTTACTGCTATCACATCCTGCTAATATAGATATTAAACTCTTCAGTCCCAGTTCCACTTGATTTATAGTACCATTATAGCCTGAAGATTCTTTTGTTCCATACCAAATGTAAGCATTGAAGGAAACGAATTTTGTAAATACTACTCAGTTTTATACAATAGCTCCTAAAAAAATAAATAGTATCTGTTTGGTAGTAGTTACATTAATAATTCCATTGAATTTACACACTTACATTATAGTGCCTGAGATCTAGAGATATGCATCTTTTCATTAAATAGGTACATTATGTTCTTCACACAGATTGAAGACACACTTGGGGAGAATTCAGAGCTATTCAAGAATCATTACTATGTCAAATCATCTGGCAATTGCGACCTTTCGCGGATGAGTGATCCTCACGATGAGTTCAAGGGTAAAAATGTGCTAATAGAAAGAAAACAAGCTTCTTTGATGGCATCAAAGTGTGGCAAGTCTGTTGATGAATATGCTCAAATCCTGGGGGATTGTCGGCATAAGTTGTTTGATGTCCGGTCAAAAAGGCCAAGGCCACATTTGGATGATAAGGTTCTTGCTTAAATGTCTGGCACATCCATTTTTTTATTGTCACATAATGTACTAACTACAGTCTATTTTAGGTTATTGTCTCATGGAATGGACTAGCTATATCTGCTTTTGCAAGAGCTTCCCAAATTCTGAAATCAGAACCAACTGGAACCAGATTTTGTTTCCCAATTACTGGGTGCAACGTAAAGTTTTCTGCTCCACCCTCTAGATATTGCTTCTCATTGTAATGCACATGATTGATTAATTTGTCATTCACTTTGTTCTCTTGTAATCTTTTCCATGATTTGCTGTGGCAGTTTTCCTTGGTCAAACAGTCTCTTGGATGTGCATGCCCATACATGATCTGTTTAATAATAAATGGAAATGTTGCCTATGATGTTGTTCCTTGGGTGACGATGAAAGTAGCATAATGTTGTATTTGAACATTCTTTTCTGCACATGTGGCGCTCTTTGTTGCTTCATATGGCTTCATATCCAGATCTTAGCTACCTCATTAAGTGCGATAAATCTTTTCCTTACCTGGTCTGCATCATCATATTTATCCATTGCCCATCGCTCTGAAATTATTTCTTGAGTTTTCACCACTTATGTATGTGGATATTTTGCAGCCAGAGGAATATCTTGGAGTTGCAGAAAAGGCAGCACGTTTTATAAAGGAAAAACTATATGATAGCAGCTCAAACAGGCTGAATCATAGTTACCGAAATGGGCCAGCAAAAGCACCAGGTTTTTTGGATGATTATGCTTTCCTAATAAACGGGTTGCTGGATCTCTATGAGTATGGTGGTAAGATAGAGTGGCTTATGTGGGCTGCTCACCTTCAAGTCATTCAGGCAAGGAATTTGTACTTGTTTGCCACTTCTATTTTATATCTTGCATAATTTGCTTTGTTCTTTGCCATAATTGTTGACATATGCAGGATGAATTGTTCTTGGACAAACAAGGTGGTGGCTATTTCAATACTCCTGGAGAAGACCCTTCTGTTCTTCTGCGTGTTAAAGAAGATTATGATGGTGCGGAGCCTTCTGGTAACTCAGTAGCTGCTATCAACTTGATCAGATTGTCCAGTATATTTGATGCAGCAAAATCCGATGGTTACAAATGCAATGTTGAGCATCTCCTGGTATGTGATTATTTCATGTTTCTCTATCCATCTGTAGTGTGCTTTGATATCATAACTGTTTACACTTTGTATTAATGTAAAACAAATTGTGGCTGTGTACATCCGATTTGGATGTAGAGGCTGGGTTTTAATCCATTTTCCAAAAAAAAAAAAAGTGCCTTGTGATTTCTGAATCTTGAATTGATCTTTCATAGAAAGTAATGGTACTGTTTGGGAATTGTTCACCAGATGGTGCTGTTTCATGTAAACACATTTAAGCCTATTATCAAGACTGATTTAATTATATATAAAAAATAGTTCCAACATGAGGCTCAAGGTTAGCCTCTGATGTCAATTGGCGAACAAGAAGTAACGTTTCCAGCTAAGCATCTGGGAACAAGAGATTTGCTCATGCGTGTTATACATTTTTTTGTTTCGTAGGCTGTCTTCCAGACGAGGCTGAGGGAACTTGGTATAGCACTGCCGTTGATGTGTTGTGCGGCAGACATGCTATCTGTCCCGTCCAGGAAGCAGGTGGTTCTGGTGGGGAACAAAGAATCGACTGAATTCCGTGACATGGTTGCTGCCGCATTTTCGACATATGATCCAAATAGAACTGTGAGCGATGAACTAGTTGATCATAAATTCTACATTCGACGTAGCGTCTCTACTGTTTTTACTGATCTGGCCACCCTGTTTGTTGATCTAGGTGATCCAAATAGACCCCAGGAACACCGAGGAAATGGGATTCTGGGAGAGCAACAACGCCATCATCGCGCAGATGGCACGTAGCAGCCCACCGGAGAAGCCAGCGGTGGCGCACGTCTGCCAGGACTTCAAGTGCAGCCCTCCGGTGACCTCTGCAGACGCTCTCCGCGTGCTGCTCAACAAGACAGTGGCAGCTGCTACTTCGTCTGCTGCTGCCTGAAGCGTCTTTCCCTCCTACGGCTATGGAGCTCCTCTGGAAAGTACATAAGTAACAAATCGGCAGAGTTTTTAGCCTGCAGAAGGTTTAGCTTTCGGGTTCCCAAAGCTCTTTGAGCCGCCTCGGTTGTGTGTAGATATTTTTCTCTTAATAAAAGCACTGTTTTCATCTTGCTTCCCCTTGAGTTGCAGGCTGTTTGGAATGTATGAATCTCACATTTCACACGAGATAAAAAAAACCAGTTTGCGTTACAAAGATCCCGGCCCAAGGGATCTCAGGAAAAGTGGAGTTCCAAATGAAAAAGGAAATCATACTGATGTTATCTAGTATCTGGTTTATTTGCAGAGAAATTCCACGAGGCACTGTATATCTACAGATGTTCTGTTCCATAAGAAATTCATACATGAAAGAATATATGTGGTAATCGCTTCCTAACAAAAATTGGGATATATCAGCTACGAGAACGCATATTTCCATTACATAGCTGCAATAAAAACGGGGACGCATATTTCCATTACATAGCTCCCATAAAAATTACAGAGCATGCATGTAAATATACCAAAAGGGAAGAGCAAACTACGATCATTAGATCTGATGCTTTATTTGAGCTAAATGATCATATTAACATAGAGAGCCTCTTCATCTGTACCAACTGAAACTGAAAACGCATGGATAAAGCATAGGAATCAAAGCCTCGACTCCAAAAAGGCGGCCACAGGTAGCACTGGAGAGGGAGAAATGAAGATGATTAGTCAATTATCAAATGATATAAAACCAAAAATAATAACTTCCATTGCTATAGATCCGATGTTGCCAAAGTTAATTGGTTCCTCTAAAGAACAGCATATACTTAAAAAGATCTTTCGCTCACCAAGTTCTCTCTGGAATATCTTCCAATTCCAGGGATATAGCTGCGGCGCATATCCAAATGATAATTACAAGAACAAAAAACTGGAACAATTGTAAGTTCATATGGTTTAATGGCTAGTACTCACCATGATTTGTTGCTACCGGGTATCCACGTGACGTCGTGACCTGCGATGAGCATCGCGCTACACTTGGTACGCCATTCCAACTTCTATCAGACTAATATGTGGAATGTGCAGTGTGACCGATGGACCTCTGCAGTTCTTCCGGAGGAAAGAGTAGCCAACATCAATTGCAAATCTCTTAAAAAAACTAGAGTTCTTCCTAGCTTTGATATAGACATGCCCCATGACGTAGGTTACCCCTGTATGTTTTGCCTCCACAAGTGCTAACAGCTCATCTTTAACCTGTTGATCCATGTCATCCTCCTCTGGCAGCTCAAAGCGAACACGTCGCCTCCGGCTCACATTAGGTGATTCCTGCTCATAAGAGGATTGCAAGCTTCGAAGACTCTCTGATTTAGTGCTCCTCATCGTCATGGAGTCAGCTAGGTCATTGGAATCTCTCACAGCTAGTGGAGAGTCATAGTCATCAGATGTTGTTATGACGGCCATTCGTCCTTCATTAGCAGTATCATAACTTGCTGAAGAAGATGCATCCTCAGCTTCCATCATAATGAACTTCCCAATGTTCATAACTAACATGTTCTCAAAATTGTCATCATCTCTCTGAACATCTTTGTAACCATACCTAACAATGCAGCGGTACATCCGATATGCTCTAGGTCCAATCCTGCCCACAAGGTATCGTTCATCTGGCGACACATATGGTACTGGTACTGACTTGACACAAAGAAAGACTAGGACTTCATGAAAGGCAGGGAGATTAGTAGTGAAATGTGTGAAGATGTTGGGTACACCAGTCACCAGTTCTGTGTAAATCAGACCAATTCCTGGGACACGAACTACGTCAAGGCTTGGACCCAGGGACAGGATATATCTCATTGATACCTTATTCTGAAGATCATACTGGTACTTCTTCCTTGTCCCATAGTGCCAAATATACATGACAGACATGAATATTAAAGCAAGCACAAGCGGCACCCATCCTCCCTGAGTAACCTTCATGAGGGATGAGGAGAGATAAACAACTTCAACGGATCCGAATAATAAAAAGAAAGATAGAGCAAATATTATGTTCTTTTGCCAAACGAAGATCATGATCAATGCCATCAAGAATGTAGTGACAAACATAACAGTCATGCACGCAACACCTGCAATGACAAACCATGGCAATGGCAGTGCTTAGACTCTTAGCACTTGAGTATACTGGAAATATACAAAAGGCTATATGCAAGGAGCTCTTGATCACGTGAAAAATCATGGTTACAGGCGCTTACCATAGGCATTACCAATAAGTGTAATATCACGGAATGCAACTGTGACAGCTACACAGAGCACCATAAGGATCCAATTTATTTCAGGAATGTATATCTGTCCATAGATCCACCTTGATGTGTGGACAACCTTCACTCGAGGGAAACATCCCAACGAATGGCACTGCTTCACAATAGAGAATGTTGCTGAAATGACAGCTTGGCTACCAACAACAGCAGCGAGAGTGGCCACCACAAACACAGGCCAAAATATAGGTCCTGGATGACAATTAAAATTAACATTACACTTACATATCTGTGTGCATGCATGCATGTGAGAGAGAGGGGTGACAGTGCAAACCTGGGATAGAATCATAAAAACCTGTGGGCATGTCAAGGATATTTTTTGACAGAAATGCCGCCTGACCCATATATTGTAATATAAGACATGGGTATATGATGGTGATAAAAGCTAGCTGTAACAAGGACAAAACATGGATATATTTCAGCAATAGAAAAAAAATAATGAGCAAAACTGGCAGAAGAAGCAAGCAAAGTTTAGTAAACATAAATTATAATTACTAGCAAAGAATACTATATGGAATCCAGGAGGAGGCTTCAAAATAAAAATGAACCAGATAGGTCACATGAGAGAACTTGTACGAGCAACATTAGTCCACAACAAAGAAAATGACTAGGTTCCTCCATTCCTTTTGAGCCTCTGGTTGGTTTCAAATATGTAGTCACAACTCACAAGCTAACTAAATTTATTTTCAGATAAGGCTGTTTAGTACATTAACTTTTTGCTTCCGTTATATTTTCCCTCAAATTGCTTTCTCTAAGTTTCCATGGTTGCTTTACTAGGCAACACAATATCACACCATAACATATATTAACAGACCTAGAAGTATATCTCCACAAAGTGAGCAACTAAAGACAGATAAGTTAACTCACCCTGACAGATGCACTCGTGAAGTGACCAAGGTCGGCAAACATAGCTTCACAGCCTGTAAAATTGAAACAGAAAATGAACCTTAAATCCCAACAAGTATTTTACTTACCAAAGTAAAGTACAACAAGAATACAGATTATACCCCAAGAGTAAGGAGTAAATAGTAACCAACCTGTCATAGAAAGAAGTATGCCTCCTAGAGCAATCCAACCATCTTTACCTGTCGTCCTAAAGAACTTAACAATATAATATGGAGAGAGAGCTTGGTATATCCTTGGGTTCCAATGTATTATGTTGTATAAACCAATTCCACCAATGCAAAAGAGCCAGATGACGACAATTGGTGCAAACATGAACGCTACCTTCTGAGTACCTCGGTGTTGCAATGCAAATAGACCAACCAACACAATGCATGAAAGGAGTACAACAGAACCTGTACAGAAAATAAGTTATTACACTTAATCCCAAAAGTAGAATAGCAATAATTCCTAAAGGAAATTGTTTATCACGCAAATAGGATGGAAGTCTCACTATATAGAAATAGTCACCAGAAAAAAAATATAGTAGCCAGAAACTTATACTGGCCAACCTTTGACATGGTAAATACAAAATACTAAATTTTGCAAGATACTGTGCAGGTGCATGGTAGTAGCAGGCAGACACTACAAAATACATGGTAGTAGCAGGCAGACACTACAGAACTTAAATTTTGCAAGATACTGTGCAGGTGCATCTTGACATGACAAACTAATATTCTCAGGGAAGTAAATCAAGTGCATTCAGATGTTCACATAAGTAAAAAATCCACAATAATATGAAATTACAGTCAAAACAGAGGTGCCTACTTTTGAATGCATTCAGAGAAAGAATAATTCTATTGATTAATACTTACGAACGTAATTACATAGGGCTGTAAATTTGAAATTGACAATACTCACTCAACAGCCTAGATGTGTTCTAAAATTGTTGCACTAAGGAGTTATGAGTTAGAGGTATATTGTACTTACGATCATGTAAACCAGTAGCTCGAACTTTCAATCCAGACATAGATGACAGAACTGGAGGGGGAAAAACAAGCAGAACAAAGCACATCAACATACAAAGAGGTTGATATGTAACAACTTTGAATTACATGAACTAACAGAGAGAGATGGCACTATCCACCTGAGATTGCTGGAGTAAGGATACCATCACCAATCATCATGCTAGCACCGCACAGAACTATGAGGAGAAGCACGGTTCTGGCATTCTTGTGCTTCTCCATGAACCTTCTTAGCCAAGGTAAAGATCCATGACGTGAAGTAAAACCATTTCTGTAGTATGTCGATAGCTCTTCATCTGCTGATTGTTGATTTGGAAGAAAACTAAGTTTCGCATGCCTGCAAAGCAGTGAATAAAGAGCAAACGGCCCACCTACAAAAGTGACAGGAATTACTTATTTTTCTTCAGGTTGAACAAAGATACAGAGTAAATTTGTAAAAAGAAAAAGACAAGAAGAAGCCTGGTAGTGTGATACTCCAGCAAATAGATTGATAATATATTTACTGTAAGCTGATTCATCAAGATGATAGATAATGTAAGGTCAGGTGTGTTTATACCAAATTTCCAAGAAATAGTGTGTACTGTGTACCTTCACCATTGTCATCAGCACTTAATACAATAGTGACATACTTCAGCAAAGGAATAAGTGTGAAGGTCCAAAATATCAAGGAAAGAACACCAAAGACTGTTTGCTCATCTTGATATCGACGTAGTCTTCCTGAGAATGTACTTTTATAAACGTAAAGAGGTGATGTGCTTAGGTCCCCATAAACAACACCAAAACTCTGGTATGCTAAAAGCAGTAAATTCCTGTAGTGTTGCCTCCACTGAAAATATGTGGAAAAAAAAACTACCATCAGGAAATGTTTCCTTGGAAGTATGAATTTTCATGCTAGTTACTCTTAAGTACCATAATGATCAATCATCAAATAACCAAAAAAATGATCAAAGAGAACGTACCAATACCATGAATATGCAAGTACTAAGGTTTACATATAACAGGCTGATATTAATAAAACTTGCAAGCATCATATGACTAATCAAAATTATCAACACTTGTACGTTCACAAACTCAAGCAGAGTTACCGTTTAGTATATAGCATTAAGGAAAGGGACAGGCATTAAGTGTATACTGATGTTTCTGAATTTACCGATAACAGATGGTAATATAGTAACTTATATCTGCGAATAAATCTAACCAAAGAAAACTACAATTTAATTCGATAACTTCATCCCGACAAGTTACAGTCCTTTCCATTTACAATGAATTGCAGGCTTTTGTATCATGTGACTATAGTAGTATGTGGACTACCGCAAAGTGGCCAATGGGGATCTTCCATTACGAATGATAAATCTATCTGCTTAGCAGGTGTGATCGTACGTCCCCTCTGAATCAATTTTTGAAATCATAATCGAATCCCTGGACCACCTACACGATCAAACCACTCTACACGACCAGAACAAAATGAAGACCTAAGGATTTCACCAAGCGAAACAAACAAACAAACCCAATGACGACCGATTCCTCCAAGCGAAACCCTCGCCATCGAACGCCGATTTTTTTTAAAAAAAATCGCGGGTGAAATTCCTCGCAATGAAACCCTTGATCCCATCCGAAACATAACTCAAATCCACAAAATCCCACCCCCAAAATCATCCCTCGTAATCCACTTAACCTACCAAACCTAGGATCCAGCCTCCGCACCCCCCCCCCCCCCCCCAAAGCGCAATCCGCACCAGCACAGAGAGAGAGAGCGCGCGTGAAGGAGAGCAGAGAGACAGGGCAATGAGGGGGGGAGGGAGCAGAGCGGCCGGAGGCGGGGGGCGCGTACCGGCAGCTGGTCGGCGCCGCCGACGCCGGCCTCGGCGTCCATCGATCGATCGGCGGCGGCGGCGTCGCGAGAGCGCGGCGCGCGATTCCGTCGAGAGGTAGAGATCACGAGGAGACAGGAATGGAACGGAACGGGTTATGGATGGATCACAGATGGCGTCGTACTACTATCACTATCATTATTAATTACCATTATGCCATTTTACCCCTCCCAATTCGTAATTAGGCCATCTTTTTAGGGTGTTTTTGCATATCTCGAGCAAATCTGAGATCACGAGGGAATGCAGATGTAGGGTATGCTTTGGGAGCTACTGGCAGCTAGAGATTAGCTAGTAGAAGCTCCCCAAACAGTATAGATTTTCAATCAGATACTCTCAGTTTCTTCGGATTTTTACCAGCTAGCTTATCAGAATCTTAAAACTCTCCGATCAGGATCATAGATGAGTTTGTGGGTCTTTTGAAATTTAAAATTTGAATCTATGAAGGGGTAGCTGCTAAAGAGAAGAATAATTATTGCAATTTTTTTATAAAACCGAACAAAAATGGATGAATTATTGTATAGCTGGATGATGACTGACGAGCAGTGGCCACTCGCCGCGCGCAGAGACAAACTATGATTGCGAATTGAGGAAGAAGACAAAATAAAAAGGAATTGTTCGCAGCTGCCGAAACTTGGACCGTCGTAAGTTTGTAAGCAAAATGGCCCATATAAAAGCCCATTGAATTGAGTTCACCAGAAAAGCCCACAAGAAGATGAAACAGACTGACCTGAATGGGCCAAGCAACCTCGATTTTCTGGGGCTCCATGAAGCCCATGTAACACACTCTTCTTCTAAAGACAAAATCTTTTAGTATTTAAGATAATGGAATACACAAAATTGTGAATCAAATGAGTTATAGTTACTTTGTTCAATGTAAGTTATTGTTAAAAAAAGTTCAAAGGTGCACCACCATCATCTAGCCTGACTAGCCATGATTATCAGGCGATAACATAAACTAAATCTCAATCTCCAAAAAGGGGAGAGAAAGAGAAGAGTGAGAGATGTGAAATCGGTCAGAGTTTGACAAAGATCTGAAGATTCTGAACCAACTCGTCACTCGATGGAGAGATCGGAGATAATTGCGGTTGCGTCACAAAACCACGATTCATGGCGCAGCAGCGTCGTCAAAAGCAGCAACCAGGCGAAAGCAAAAGGCTTTACAAAGACTAAAATTAAAAGCCTAGAGCGCACTAATGGTTTTGCATTAATCGGTCAGTGAATCCGGTCAGGGTGACAAGCAGAAAGTGCAAAACAAAATTTGATGATTCACATATCTCTGCATGATCATCGATGAATCTCACAGTCGCCGGCTGGGATTCTGACGAATTCCTGATCCTAGTAGGCTGCTGCAGCTGTTTCAGCGACAACAGTTTCCTCTGATTCCTGAATCTTCAGTGGATGTTTCTGGACCTCAATAATCTTGCCCCCTTGGGCCCACACGTCATCTGCCTGACGTGTCACCGACACATCCCGGACAGAATGCTGACCGGTGAGCTCACATGTGACACAACACTGCACTAAGAACTGCTACAGTGTCAGTAGCTTTGCAGCTAGCTATGCACTATGCTCTCTGCCACTGCAAGTGATCTCCAATACAAGTGCAACCATGCATTTCTCGATCTCCCTTTCACCACCATGCCAGTGGACCAATCGATAAACGCAAGTTGATCACCTAAACAAGACAGAAAATGCTTCTTCTCGAATGCTTGAACCACCAAGAAAAATCGGACGGGCAGTCTCTAACACATATGCACATATCCAAGTCTGTATCTCTATCTCCAACCATATAACATGCACCTTTAATGATATTCAAAACGAATTTTCTCTTAAATTACTTATCTAATCTATAATCCGATCACACCGCTGTATTCTTCATAATTAAATCTTTATAACAAGATATCGTATGATTATATTTTGATGAAAGAAAAACATATGTTTCAATCCACTAACACTGGTTGTTTCATATGTGATAGCGATATGTTTCAACGTGTATTTTCATCATGTTTCATAAGCTTTTTAAATGTTTTAGTTGCTAATTTTTTGTTTCATCCTATATAACTTGATATTTCACTCGTTAGTCAACTGGAACATTTGACGGACCAATTTTTTTTTGGTCATGCTGCATACGCAGGTGGTGTGATGACACGCAAACATCATGCGTCCGATATTTGATGGAATATCGGATGTCCGACGCAGAGTCATCTCCAAACAAGACAGAAATTATGCAACTAATTTTGAACTGTCGCTAATTGGTACAGTAGTTACCAATTCAGAATGGACGGCGGTGATGAACCTGGCAGCCACTATATATAAACCACACTCAACCAAGATACTCTGATCAACTGGTGAGTTTGGAGTAGGGCATAGATTCTTGGAGAACTGGGCAAATTTTGGCATGGATTCTGGTGCTGCTGCCGTCTGCGCGGAGAAGGCGAGTGAGATCATCAAGATCGGTCAGGTTGATGACGTGCAGGAGCTGCAGCGACGACTGTGCTCCGCCACCACCGTGCCGGAGCGGTACATCAGGGACGGCGACGACCGGCCGGATCACGCCGTCGTCGACGACGAGCGCGCGCAGGAGCGGATTCCGGTGATCGACGTCGGCGAGCTGCAGCGCGGCAGCGAGGACGAGCTCGACAACCTCAGGCTCGCCTGCGAGCAGTGGGGCTTCTTCCAGGTAATTAACACTACGAGTTTATTTTTTTAAACGACTTGCACAAGAAGTGCGAATTTCTATTGATATAGCAGAAAAAAATTAAGATTATATTTCTGAAGATTATAACCAGGAAAACGAAAAATTATACCTCCACCACTACAAGTTTATTGATTAATTAGCTAGCTAGATTGTGTTTGGGAATGATTTAATTGGTTGTAGGTTGTGAACCATGGAGTGGAGGAGGAGACGATGGAGGAGATGGAGAAGGCGGCGAGGGAGTTCTTCATGCTGCCGCTGGAGGAGAAGGAGAAGTACCCCATGGAGCCCGGCGGCATCCAGGGCTACGGCCACGCCTTCGTCTTCTCCGACGACCAGAAGCTCGACTGGTGCAACATGCTCGCCCTCGGCGTCGAGCCCGCCTTCATCCGCCGCCCCAACCTCTGGCCGACAACTCCGGCCAACTTTAGGTAACAGCTTCTCCCTCCATCCGTTTTATTTAATGCCGTTAACTTTTTTAATTAAACATATTTAACCGTTCATCTTATTTAAAAACTTTTGTGAAATATATAAAATTATATGTATAATAAAAGTATATTTAACCCTAAATCAAATAATAGAAAAAAAATAATAATTAATTAATTTTTTTAATAAGACAAAGGGTTAAACATGTTTTAATGGCGATCTCGAGTGCAGTAAGACGCTGGAGAAGTACTCGGTGGAGATCAGGGAGCTGTGCGTGCGGCTGCTGGAGCACATCGCGGCGGCGCTGGGGCTGGCGCCGGCGAGGCTGAACGGGATGTTCGGGGAGGCGGTGCAGGCGGTGAGGATGAACTTCTACCCGCCGTGCCCGCGGCCGGAGCTGGTGCTGGGGCTGAGCCCGCACTCCGACGGCAGCGCGGTCACCGTGCTCCAGCAGGACGCGGCGTTCGCCGGGCTGCAGGTGCTCCGGGGCGGCGGCGGCTGGGTGGCCGTCCATCCCGTCCCCGGCGCCCTCGTCGTCAACGTCGGCGACACGCTCGAGGTGCTCACCAATGGCAGGTACAAGAGCGTGGAGCACCGGGCGGTGGCCAGCGGCGAGCACGACCGCATGTCCGTCGTCACCTTCTACGCGCCGGCGTACGACGTCGAGCTCGGCCCGCTGCCGGAGCTCGTCGCCGACGGGGAGCCGCGCAGGTACCGGACGTACAACCACGGCGAGTACAGCCGGCACTACGTCACCAGCCGGCTCCAGGGCAAGAAGACGCTTGAATTTGCAAAGATTTAAGTTGATCGATTGATCACCGAGTAATTCAGTATAATTAATCAACCTAAAAAGATCAATTATGTTGACACAATACTTGCGTTTGAGTTATTGTTTATGATAATCTGAAGTATACTAATGTTACTATACTCTGAAGTCTGAAGAAGTATTGTACTATGTCTGGTGTATGTACTAGTATTCCACAAAAATGGACAAGCATAATTTGAACGATTTTCATAATCATTTGGTATTCAATATTTCATCTACAGTGCTGGATAAGATGATCAGCACTACCTCGTGTTGAAGTTAGCTGTAGTAGCTTTTTCATTTGTGCGTCAAAAGTACAGGTAAAGGTGCTTTAAACTACGATCATTCTTTAAACCCATAGACAACGGAAAAGCAAAAGCATTTGACTAGCACGCTTCGAATGGTTTCGGCAAAAAGGAAGACGAGATGACCCTACATGGATTATGATTGATCTTAGTCGAGCTTATCACACTTTTAGATACCTTGAAGGTAAGGCACGAATCATACAGGGAACATTAACGGAGGCCAAGATATGTACAGATAGCACTTTCTTTCAGAAGTTTGGTGGTCATGAGGCCCCATTTTCTCTGATAAACATTTTAAAGTACGGCATTGAAATGCTGCGAGAATCATTCAATGTCAGTCCAATAAGTTTCAAGCATCATTCACCATGGTACTCCAAAATAGAAGAACAATCAGTTGTAATCAATTGGCCAGAATGAACCACAGGAACTCACAGCCTCACAGGCCTCGAGCTGTGACGTCTTCTAACGGTCATTCCATCAAGACAGGCAATCAAAGCAGAGTAGAATCAAGTCACAGAAAACTAGATGAGCAGACTTCAACAATGAACAGCATCAGAAGCAGGCAAAGGCAAGGCAACAGATTACGCGTACCCATTCATCAGATGTCATGCCACAAACTTTTGATGTGGACAGGCACATGCACTCACCCTAACACCTAAAGGCAGTAACAGGAAACACAATGCTGTCTAGCATCCTGTACATCTCGAGCGCATCTGATTCTGCGGAACGCTATGCACCATGAGGCAAAGGAGCCGGAATCATTATGTTTAGGTGGACTAAGAATTAATCTCTTGTGTCCATGCAAAAAAGAAGTATGGATTCAGTATAGCGTGCACATAGAACTCTAACTGAATCTTGCCAATGAGATCAGTGATAGGTCAACAAGATCTATACGTGGCAGCTTCGAGCTATCGCAAAAACCTAGCTGCACAAAAGGTTCTCGTTCATGTAGACCATGTTCTAAAACCCTTCTATATGTAACCTGGCTTATAGGCAGATGTTAGCTAATGCTACCTTACTACTCCATGTGACTGAAAGAATTGTTGTCCAAGCCATTGTCAATTGTCAAGCGACTGCATCTGTCCAGAAGATCATCCTCTACAGTCTGCTATGAGTAAATGAATGGTTAGTTGCAATCTATTAAAAGGAAATGAGCTATCAAACGATACTGGGAATGCAGCTGAGTTTACCTTGTATGTTTGAAGCAAAACTTGACCACCAATATGTTTCTCTTTCGTATAGTTTTCATAAGCTTGCATCAATGGAGCACTAACAGCCTGTTACAGAACAGACAGAGTATAAGAAACAATAGTATCTCAGTTTTCTTTCTTTTCAATTTTTATCAAAGTCTAAAGTAACAAAATTTAATTAAAGATATTTTTTAAAAAAACAAGCATGGTAGCTGATGCAGTGCAGTGGTCCAAGTTTAAGCAATCATAACCTTATCAGGTGCAGGGGGCAAATTGAAAATTGAATTTGAAACATCAAAAACATGGGATAGATAAGGACTGCTTGGCTTCTACTGGACACAGTACACTCATGAAATGCAGAAAAGAACTTGAGCTCATATGCACCCAAGTTATAGTTCATCCATCTATGCACTAGCAACTGCACCAAATTTGTGAAAAAATATGGTCTCATATGCAATGTATATACAAATGACTTTTGTAACACCCATTTTCTTTTTGCAGGTCAACATGTCATTACATATTGTCAATGTATATATATTCTTTTTTAGAATCTTTTAAACTGTAGAAAGTATGATGGGTGCACATGAACTCGAGGTCATAAAACTGTACTCGTAATGATCCTAGCTTACCTTCAAACAGAGGCCTGAACCCTCTTCCTCAGAAATACACAGATAGTGAATCAGTCTCTTCATTTCCTTCTGCACAGTTTCCTGGACCTACAAGATAACACATATAAACAGTGTTCAGAAACTACAAAGGAAGTAACACTGCCTCACTACGTAGTTCTATTGAAGTAGGTTACCTTAGCAAGGTAATCTTGCAAAGGGTATTGCACAATCCATTCATAACTTTTCCTGGAGTAGTACAAGTATGTATCTTGAATAACAGCACTTTTCAGCTTGGTTTTGACTTCAGAACGACATATGCCACGCATAATACCCATCAAAAGATCCATATCAACATTGCATCCATCACGCTCTTGGCGAATCTGGGATGAATTAATTGTTATGCACAGAAGGAATGCAGTTAAAAGGGTAATAAAATGTATACCATGTCAGATTACCAGAGTCAGTAGAACATCTGATATTTCATTATTGAAGTAGGAAAAGACCTGGCAGAAGGACATGATCAGTTGTGTGTACAGAAATAGATACGTAAGCAGATTATTATCACAAATGCACATGGAATATTAACTAAAAGAATTATTGCGTGACACTCACTGGAGAAAAGAAAGAAGTAGCAGCAGCGTCTTCAAGCGAAGGTAGTTTCTTATGTGTAACAAAGCAGCGGTCCAAATAGGCCAAAAAGCCAGTTGTGAATCTAATCATGGCACAATAGTTTGACCACATTTTCACAAGCTCTCTCCAAAATAAGTCACCTTGCTTATGCATCAGATGGGGTAAAACCTAAATACATAAAATAAGTGAACCAAGGGATAGAACGGCCGAACTCTCTTCTCCAACTAAAGGAACTTGTAACACACAAGATGCAAACAGATACAATCATATGTTAATAAGATTTTATATGTGAGCATGCCTGTTTCACGTATTAAATTAATAATATGTGAAATGATAATAAGCATATCAAATAATAACACATATTAGTCAAATCAAACATGCCTGTTTCACAACAGCAGAAGGACCGCTAAGTTGCTATCTTTTTTCCATGGGTACCGATACAATCATATGTGCATGTGAGCTTCATTTTTATGGGAGGCATGGTGTACAAGACCTAACTTCCCTAGGCCTAACAGCAGTACATCAAACAATATGTTAATAAGATTTTATATGTGAGCGTCAAGACAGTGAGCTGTAACAACAGATTTTACAACAGATGATCTATGGAGGTAAATGAAGTTGACATTTCATTAGATTCAAATTGAGGATTTCAATCATCATTATGCAACACAATAAACTTACTTGGCTATGTCTAGAAATATGACATTGTGGATTTAAAAACTAGCAACAGTCTAGTACTGTAGTACCATTGCACAGACGCAACTTTCATGTGTTGCTTTGTAAGAATTGTACATCTCTTGACAATACTGGTCTTTCTGCACAGCCATCCGGTAAGCGCAACTGGAAAACATAGAGGAATGTATGATGAGCAGCAAGTTTTTAATACCATGTGGATAACCGAGAACATGCATAATGTGCAGTGGTAAGATAGAAGCATACTCATAGTAATTCATGTACTCATTCACAGTTGGCCTTCCACCAGGGCAATCCTCCAAAAGCTTTGAGCATTTCACAATCCCCTGTTCCAGGATCTTCCAGCCATCCTCAAAGCGGAGGTGCTCGTTCATTTTTACTGCTTTGCTCCTGCAATGAACTGAAGCGATGGAAATATCAATAAGAGGAATCGATTTTTATGTATCCAGCAATGTTTGTTATGCAAGGGGATTCAGAGAACGTAGAAGTTTTATACAAATAGGCAAAATAACACAAAGTAGTTTCTTATTAAAAATTTCAATAATGTTGCATGATGACATGAAAATAATACTCCTGTTTTTCTTAATTCAATAGACAGTAGCACTCCTGAGTAGTATCCAACTACAAATTTCATCCATGTGCAGTATGCGACACATAACAATCAACCTGTCATGTACCACAAACCCTATTTCCATCCAAATCAAGGAGCTATAAAAATGATGTCATACAGATAGATACATATAAAGGACCTAACAACAATTCAGCATCCATGTCAATCGTTACAGTAGACAGAGGACAACCTAACGTAGGGGCATGGGGATTAAGCCGATTTCCAAAAAACTTCCGAAATGAACAAAACCACCACGCATCAAACGAATCCTCAACAAACTGGATGACTGGAGAGAAAAAATATTTCGATTAGATAGCCCACACCAAAACTCAAGATGAGAACCCACGCAAGACGAAAATATTTTGATTAGAGTTCACCACCAACAAACGTACTAACCTATCCAAATCCATCCCCTCAGCGATGGATCAGTGGTGCGCACGGGGAGGCCTACTCGAAAGCCTTTGCCGGTGAGGGATCGGTCAGACTAACGGGGAAGCCGATAGCCGCGATTCATCCCTACGTGTTGAGCACCGAAGAAGGCGAAGGGGCGAGGGCTACTTCCTAGAAAATCTCGCATAACCTAGGGGGCGGGCGGGCGGCATCCACCTCGCCGGAGAACGCCCATCGGATTGGATCAGATTGCTCGGAACACAACCCGATTCAACCAGATTAGGGGGGAAAGCGAACCAACCAACCATCAATCCAATCAACCAGGAACTCGAGGGGGAGGAAGAGGAGGAGGAGGAGCTTCTAACCAGGAGAAGTGCGCCGGTGAGGATCGGGTCCTGATCGCCGCCGCCGCTGCCGCCGCCGCGGGCTCTCGTCTCGCCTGTCGCTCGCCGGCGATTGGCGAGGTCAAGCGGGTGAGGAGGGTTTTGAGGGGTTTCTCTCTCTTCTCCTCCGTCGCAGGTGGGAACGCAGATAAAAAGGTGGGCCCCGGGAGGCAGTGCCTTAACGTACTATATTATCATCTCCACAATCCGTATTTTTCGGGACAAAATTATTTTCTGAAAAGATCGCTTTATGTGTAGTGCTCTACCATTTCCTCCTCATTTGTTTATTACTACTAGTAGTAGTATAGATAAATTTTGTTAAAATAATTTTATTTCTCTTTGAGATGAAAAATATTTTCGCTTTAGATGGATTATTATCTACGATAAATCAGAAATGGATTAATCTCGTCGAGAAATATTAGAGATAAACTTTAGCAATTACTGTATTGTACTGACATGTTCTTAAGAAAAAAATGGCTGAAAAATCTCTGAAGCCCATAGGTGAGAAAACCTTATGCGGACCAAATTCATCTTTAGGCCCATATATCTTTCTGAGGATTCATAGGCCCATATATCTTGGACACGCTTTCAGCCCAAATTCATCTCATTTTCTCCATGGGCTCTGCTTATCTGCCGAATTCGTGGGCTTAAATCTGAACTGCCATAGCAATGTTCAGAGGAATTCCATGTTCAGATAACGAGTTGCAGTAGAAAGTTCTGAAGAAGTCTGAAACTCTGAAAACCCATGTGTGTTCTACTACTGTTTATACTATGGCACATGTATTAAAGTTTTAAGCACTGTGCTAAGCATGTTTTCTTACATGCTCCCAGAATAAAACGTGGCCTCATCATGAGCTGCATGCATTGCAGGGCCGTACCTACCTACTGTACCTTACGTGTATTATTGCCTTGGAATTCTCACATTAATTTCGCCAAAGCTTTTTCTCTGAACCTGTTCTGAACAGTAACTGTAAACCATTACCCGACGTCTGCTGCTGCTGCTGGCGAGTGACGAAAACGTGCTCTGCTGCTGCTGCCTTTGTCCAGCATCTTCTTCAGCACTGCAACAGTTGACAGATTTAAGGCCATCGAATCATCAACCTTAATTCATTTGCAGTTGCAGGGATCTCTGTCACCCACATTAATTCTCACATCAGTGCAGTCTTCACTCGAGAAATCAAAACCTGAGTGTATAAAAACAACAAAACTCGATAAGTTTCTTACTATCTCTGAAACTCTCTCTTCTTTCTCTGCATCACAAGGGGGATATTCTCTTGAGGTGAAGAGAAATGCAGGGAGAGAGGAAAAACAAAAACAAAAAAAACAAAAAACATCATTTTGAATGTTCAGTAATGCAGAATTAACTTCTCTTCTGGTGATGCATAACTGTCGATTAAATGGATCATTCAAAGGCGCAAAAGTGACGTCGTCATCGTATTCCATTGTTGCCAGAGGTGCCACGAATGATGGATCATTCACCTGGTCAATGTTTAAATTACTCCTACATTTACTCTGCCTCTGACGCCTCTGTCGTTCTTCGTCGTCGTCGCCTGCAGAGCGCTGGCCGCGCGGTCCCTCTCCTCCGGCATTTGCAGAGCAGATTCAGCAAAAGTTTCAGAAACCAGCTGGTGGACGGCCGGAGAAACGCATGCCGACGGCAGCTAGCGACCAACTTCATCTGCGTCATCTGTCTTTCTCTCTCTCGGCGTCATGGAGTGTATTAGGGGGTGTTTGGGAGAGAGTAGCCCCTCTCTCAAAACCATAACAGCTTGTTTGGTAACTTGAGGGAAGGGAATTGGGAGTTTATACGAGGGAATTGATGGTGATATTAAAATGGGAATTTGATTTTTAATCCCAGTATCTTATTTGGTAGAGGTGGTGGAAATTGAAAGGGAGTTTAGTTGGAGTTTAGGTCATTAATGAAAATGGATGGCTGAGATTTGTTTAGGCAAAATAAAGGAGAAATTTCCTCCTAATTACCTCCCCTACCCATGTATTGAAAAGGAGGGAGTTTCTCCCTCAATTCCCCATCCCCATCCCACCAAAATTCCCATGTATTTCAACCAAACAAAACAGTTAATAGCCTCATCCCTCTAAACTCTCAATCCCTCTTAAAAGCTCCCTCCAACCAAACAGCCGTAAGTCCCTAGGGGAGGGACTTATTTTTTTGAGTTTAGCCCCTCTTTCCCAAACACCCCCTTAGGGTGTGTTCGCAGTATTAGCTTTTTTTTTTCAAAAATGGATTAATTTGATTTTTTTTAAACAACTTTTTTTAAAAAAACGTACCTTTTAGTAGTTTGAAAATCATACGCGCGAAAAATGAGGGAGATGGGTTGGGAAAAGGGGTGCCGAACACACCCTTAGGGGTGGAGTAAGTGATTAACCCACAAAACTCATTTATAAGCTAAAATAAACCACAAACCCGCTTATTTTGATAAAAAGTAGGTTCGCGGCTGACCTACTTACACCACTAATTACATTGCATGCAGATGCAGTAATACAGTACGTACTCGCTACATCCTAAATTATAAACGCTTTTTAAAAAATTTTCACGTAAAATTAAATGAGAAATGGTTAAGATAAGATGACAGGTGAAGCACTAATTTCATGAGTAGTGAATGGGTGCATGAGGCATGCATTTACATTGGACCTGGGGTAGGCATTTACGTCGATCCATTGTACGTACAGTACGTGCGTACCTACGACGGTAGGATGGTCGTACCCCGTGCATCCTAAGAGCAGTTACGATAGCGAACTATTAGCCAGCTATAAATATATTTTAATAAGATAAACGATGAGAGAGAAAAGCAACGGGCTACAGATCTGTAGCCAGCTGCAGCACGGACTCTAAGACATACTATGTGTATGACAGGTGGGACCATATATTAATAGTATAGTAAACAACTATTATATGAATTGGCTATTAGATCGGCTATAAATGAATTGGAGCTAGCAGTGGGCTATACTATTAGACTTGCTCGAGGACTCAAGGAGAGGCGTTGAAAAGTTATCATAAAATTTGAAAAAAAAATATCAACGCAGATCAATATATGCAATATATCTTTCCACAAACATAAAAGTTAAAAATCCTACTTATACAATTCGAAACAAAAATAACAAATTTGACTACGGATTACACATTATATTCATAGTTAAATTTATTATTTTTGTTTCTACTTGTATAGTTGTATAAGTTGAACTAGCATGTTGTCCCGCGCAGATTACCCGCTAGCATCATTATATTTTTTTCTCGTATAATAACATATATGTTTTCTCAATTTATTAATATATATAATATATTAAAATGACGACATAATTTTAAATTTCATACTAACTTTACCAAACTACCAATGTGAATCACCAATCAACAGTGGCATATCTAGGATTTTTTATATGGATGATCCAACTTATATAATTCTTTTAAATACTCTAAATATAACAAAGTTATAACTATAAACTGATCTAATGTGCATCATAACATATTAATAAAGAAGTTATTTTTCCTTTTCTAAAAGTTTCTTTTCACATATGTATATATATGTATTGGGTCAGGATTTTTTCAGGTGGTCCCGAGTGGACCGGACTACCCCTGGATTCGCCTATGCCAACCAACCCAGCCATCAGAATGTCCGACTCCCACACAGTCACACTTTATTTCATTGTGGTTAGGGGCTTAAAGTGAAGTCTTGTGATTTTCTTATCTCCTTATTTGCATCTATATATCTATAGTCTAAAAATTGGGCTGTGATTTTGTTTTTTCTCGTTTGATTAATTTACATCGTAATTTTAGGTGTTTATAATGTTTATTTGCATCATTTTTACTGTATATGATTTATAAAAATATATATTACAAGTAAAATTATATCTAGTTTTGAGAGTTTATGTTACGAAGTTCACGTAAGGTCCTCTAAATATATAGCCGGACCCTGTAACCTGGTCATAGTAAAACGAGTATGATTAATTACCATGTGCATGTAGCATGTTCATGTAATTGTGCTAGAGCTGAAATTAACACAGGTAGAGAAATGCTCTTTACTCCCGGTTGGGAATCCCCTATAGTCCCGGTTTTCCAACCGGGAGTAACAATCCGGGACTAAAGATCACTATCTTTAGTCCCGGTTTAAATACTCGGGACAAGAGATCGATATTTAGTCCCGGTTGGTAACACCAACCGGGAGTAAAGAGAAGAATCTTTAGTCCCGGTTGACAACACTAACCGGGACTAAAGGGTTAGTTCCAGGTTTTTTTCCATTGTTCTTTTGAATATTGATTTCACACCAATCTCTCCAAAATCACAAAATCAATCAGAAATTCCAAATCGAAATCAAGATGCTCCCTACATCCCCAGATCAAATAGCAACATCACAAATCATAATATTCACATCACAAATTGTCAGAAAAAAAACATCACAAATTCTAAAAAAAAATTACATCACAATCACAATCACATATACATCACAGATCACAAATACATCACAGATCAAATAACACAGATCCAGATCCATTGAATCACAAGTTATTAAAAAAAGAAAAATCTGGCCGCTGCCACCGCTGCCTCCTACCGCGGGCGGCTACCGCCGCCTCCTCCTGCGCGGGCGGCCACCGCTGCTGCCTCCTACCGCGGACGGCCGCCGCAGCCGCCTCCTCCTGCGCGGGCGGCCACCGCCGCGGGCCGTCGCCACCGCCTGCCGCGGACGGCCCCCACCGCCTCCCGGCACGAGCCGCCGACCGCGCCAGGGTCCCCGCCGCCGCGCTCCAGGGCCGAGCTCCTCCGGCTAAGTGTTGTGAGAGAGAAGTCTGAGAAGAAGATAAGGATAAGTGTGAGAGAGAGGAGGAGGAATAGGAGATAGAAATTTTTTGAGGATAGCAGCAATGGATTATATACGGTGTACTTGATTTTTAGTCCCGGTTGGGAACAACAACCGG